AGTTGATTCAGTTTTAAAAATATTTAGGTTTTACATGATTCTACCTCATACTACACTTTGCATTTGTTCGACTTCACTTCTTAAAAGAGAGCTTCATTTGAGTTTTTTGAATCAAATGTGCGACATTTCAAAATTACATATGACCCTAGCTTGACAAATTCGAGTGTTAACCAATTTAAACTAGACTCTGCGCGCAGGGTATGTAAACACGATGTCAATATAACTATATTTACACTTTGAATTATGATTTCAAAAAATCTCTTTTAAAATCTCTGTTCTATGATGACGTACTTAACCTATATTCAATGACATGGGTTATCATTGAGGATATTTTGCGCACCGATTATATCAGTCAATCACATTTTCGGAATGGTGTTTATTTATGTGCTATCGATCCACGTTCGGGTGTAGACTGCATGCAGAAAATGCCCCTTGGAATGTGTGCAAGTGATAAATGCACCTGGTTTTATAAATAAAGGTCCATTGGCCCTTTTAAGTGATCGTACTGTAACACTAGTTTTCCTTATTTTCCATGCTCAATCAGCAGTCAAAAATAAAATATTACGATCCCGAAATAATAATTACTACTAATTAAAATGAAATAGTTCATTGTATAATTTGATTTGTAAAAAGTAGTTATTTCTCGTATTTAAAAAAAATAAAATGAGAAGGAGGGGGTTGATAGTTTAAATATCCACATTCCATAACAAAATTGACTCAGCAAAAACAACTGAGATAGTGCCGAGCGATAGCATTTTACGGTGGATTTTCAACAATTTCGCAATCTGAGATGTTTACTTTTAGTGCTGTATTATTCGTATCAGTTAGTATGCCATCATCTCCTAATAGATCACAATTAAAGGGGCTTCGAATTCGAGGTGCACAGACCACGAGAAATACTGTTGTGTATTCCTGCGCTTGTATGTACTTTTGTAGAATCTTCCTGAGCAAGTGATGATTTGAAGTCCATAAACATGATAAATCTGAAAATTGATGAATAATTCGCACACAGATCTATCTACTTAAGTTGTGTCCGATTCCAGCCAATTCGTATTTCATAACTGCAGTGCATCATAATATAACCAATCACCGCATTCAAGATCATTCTTTGAATGGTTGTCAAGGTGATAACTTGACTCTACAGATTGAAATTGATGCTTTTCCAACTCGACCCTTGCAAATTGTTTTCCGTTTCAGAATATTTTGGGCTCATACCATTCCTTGTCATGTCTATTTTCTAAAAATACCCCAAAAATATACTTAATTATTTGAGGAAAACTAACAGTTTTTACAATAATGCAATCATTTGTCTCTCCTAGAATGGTTACCATTCTTTGGGATAATTTAGATATTTTTCCTCCAATTTTTGCACTTTGAATCTTAAATAACGTCACCAATTGATTACACATCATGGATCTTTTGGGAGATATAAGGCTATATTTGAGCGTGAGGAACACACTGACCGATTTTGCATTTTTGCCACTCCCTATAGATTTGATTACGCTGCCAATAGCTTATTTACCGTGTTGAATCGAATTTTATGTATATTTTATGTATACTATTATCAAGTTATCGGAAATTACATTATAGTTTTGTGGAAACAATATAAACTGTGACTTATGCTATTATATAGGCCAACGACCCTGAGAAGATGAGCTACGGGAATCGTGACTCACGGCGGGATGCACGGCCCGGGGGTAGAGCCGCACACATCGGCTCAAAGGTGATACACGCAGATCAACTGAAAGCATTACAAAACCAGAGAAAACGACGGGAGTATCGGCAGCAGCAGTCCATGGGGAACGAGATATCATTGAATAAGGTTGGTTTGAAGATATTTTGCAATAGGCCTTTCTAGTTTCTGTCCGCTTATGGTTATTGAACATGATTCTCTGAAATAAAATATGGTATTGGCTTGAAAGTATAGAATTCCGCCAATGTGCAAGTCTCATTGTGAGATCCACAGCAAGTTTTATCCTTTGGAATCGCCCAAAAGCGTTAGGGGAACATGGTGCAAAACTGCCCTGTGGGGCAAAGTGGCCAATCGAAATACTAGTATTATATCAAACGATAGTCTTCAAAATTTACATCGAATTTTCACATCGAATTTTAAAATTTGCGCCATCTTCTCGATTACTATTTTTTAAACCGGCTATTTTACTCTCTTTTTGCAAATTACCCCTCCCACAAAAATCTCCAAAAATTCGTCGTTTTGTATTAACATTTTAGTACAGTACGTATGCATATATATTTTTATTAATCAAAATTTCGAGCTGCAAGTATAAGTCAGTGAAATTAAAATGAAATCGATTTGAAAATCCACACGTTGTGGGGCAGCAAAACGGCCCACAAAGGTGTAATGACCCGAGGGCGCCCCAGGGGAATGACTAACTTTTTTTTTTAATTTTTATATTTCCTTTATTTCATAATACATCATACAAACAGATGAATGAATGACTAACTAATGACTATAACGAGCAAAGTGTAACAAGCCAGATAAAAAAAATTGAAAGAAAGTGTGCTAAATACAATGCCCCGTGTGGGAATCACGACTAATGCTCTACCGACTGAGCTATAAAGGCTTAAGCCACTACAGCTGGACTGGACTGAGTAGCCTAGCAACTTGGTATCAAGGGTCGTTACAAAGGTTCTAACATACAAAATCTTAGCTACAAGAACAATTGATTTTCAAAAACATTTTTAACAGGTAGTCTAAGACGAGAATTGGACACTCGGAAGGAACATCAAAGTGCGCGATGATTGACAAAAAAGAAAACGAGATCGCCGGCGTACGGGACAACTTCAAATTTTATTTCGAGGGCCGCCCCCAATTGAAAAAAGCCTATGGAAAATCATCTCCAATTATCACCTAACTTACTATTGATAATTAGTTGAAAGTTAGGTGTAAAAATTCACATGCAAATGAGCTAATTATCAACTTAATTAACGCTTTAAATTTGCAACTTAATTAACGATTAATAACTACCATCAATATGCAAATGAGCTATATATTGGTCGATTATCACTGATTTACGTAAATTAGTTGAAAGTTAGTTGTAAGTTTGATGTAAGTTAATCTCTAATTATCACCTAACTTACTATTGATAATTAGTTGAAAGTTAGGTTTAAGTCAGATTCGTGACTTCTCAAAAATGACTCGCTTCTTTTTTGCTTCCCTTCGCCCGGAGATTTTTGCTTCATCTTGAACTATTTTGTGACGGAATATTCATTTTAATTAGGATCTTTCAGAACAGACAACATCGAACTTGAACTATTGAAATTTCACAGCAAGAGGAGGGAAATACCCCATGATTCAATTGATGACATATCATTTCCTCCTTCGCACACCACCTTTTGTCGAAAACGTACCCTCCATCTTGGTTTTCAAAGTTTTCAAATTGACCTAGTTTTAAACCAATCAACGATCGACTCGCTAAACCAATCAGCGACGATGTCATCTCAATACAGATTTACATTATAAGCGTATGTCATCTTTGAACCCTGGGGTTTCTCCCCCTCTTTTTTAAAGCTATTCTATTTTGCAAATTTTTAAGATTCATGAAAAGCATGTGAAAACATCATTATTGCCATCAACAATTAAAATCAGAACACAAACATTAGACTATAATGTTCTTGCCCGTAGCCAGCTTTTACCAGGGGGGAGCTTTTCTCCAGGGGGGGGGGAGCTTTTCACAATTTTGATTAAAATTATGCGAAAAACTCTCAGAATGGTGAAAAACAACATGATTTTGAAAGAATTTCTGGCCAGGGGGGGGGGAGCTTCCGCTCCCCCAGCTCCCCCTCTAGCTACGGGCCTGGTGTTACATAATAAGGACGTAACAGATATAATCAAAAATATGTTTTGAAATGTCTTTGATCTAACAATCATTATTTAGAAGAGCACATTTGGATTACTTGTGAAATATAGGTAACCCATGTTAGTACCTAAATTGCATTCTAGGATTAATATTATATGATCTGATTCAAAAAGATTTTCAAATTCATAAACATTTCAGACAGAAGTGTGAATAAGATTTAAGATACATTGTATTCATGTTCTACATACCCTAATAATAATGTTGACCAAATTTCATGTTAGTATACGCATCATTCCCGTTGTAATTCTCAATTTTATGAGAGAAATATCTCTCACATGTTTTCTTTTTCCACCATCTTGAAATTAAACTTTAATAGGGGGTTTGTATTTCTAAATCATGGGCCTTTACGACTAATTATCATTATAATCATCCTATATGTTAACTATCAACCAATAATCTACTTCAGAACAAAAACGTTTTAATTTACCACTTACTATCACCCTCAAACATTTCATATCTTAATTATCAACTAAAAATCATAAATCAGCATTATTGTAAAAGTTAATTTACGTTGAACTTGCTACTGATAATTAGGCCATAATTATCATTGATTTAATTAACGCTTAACTTTAATTCCAATTGCCAGCAGAATTGTTGATAATTAGTTGTAAATTAGTTGGTAATAAGTTGGTAATTAGTTTTATTTTTCAATTGGGCCGTTTTCGCCCAATGTTCCCGCCCTCACGGCTCTAAAAATCAGCGGAATGTGCTCGTCTCATTATTGGTTTTTACCACATCCTTTCAGAAGTGGGGCAAGAGTTTGAAGGCTGTGGAAAGTGTCGCCGTTTAAATCTGGCGCCTGAAATGAAAACAATACCCCCCGTGTATTCAACTAGGGTTGACGGGCTATTCATTTTAGTACACTGAGAACATGGGCCGGCTTGAGTTGAAAGCCCATAAATGATGTGCAGAACAAGGACCACCATAAAATACGATTCATTCTTGAAATGATTAAGATTTACAATGAATACAACTGTAGTATATACAAAGGGGAGAAGTAATCACCGTTAAAGGCACAACTATACACGACTGAGGGATCCACGTACTGACCGATTTATTCTGCAATATAGTGCAGTATGATCGATCCCGAGATATCTGGGGCGTCACGGCGGAAGTGATTAGTGCGCATGCTCTGCATTCCAAAACATTTCTATTTTCAAATTATTTATCTAGTAGTTTTCCGATTTACCAGTCTTATGTGATCAATTAAACATAATGAAGGTAGGCAATATGTGTATAATGTACTTATGCTCAAAGGTGTTTAGGTTTTGTTGAAAGAATCTTCATGAAATTATTAATAAAATCAACATTTTGCACTGTATCCAATGGGCCATTCCATTTAAAAAATGTACGGGGGGTATGGATGCACAGGCTGAGACACCCCCCCCGAATTTTTTTTCTTGCTACCCCCCCCCCCCCCAGAAAATTGCATCCATACCACCCCCCCCCCCCCCGGAAATTTGCATCCATACCCCCCCCCCAGAAATTTGCATCCATACCCCTCTCCCCTAGAAAATTGCATCCATACCCCCCGAAACACGCAAAATCCCCCCTTGAGAAACAATATAAAGGTTATAAGTTGCTCCTACCATTGAAATAGGCAATCAGTTTGCAGAATTTACAAATTAGTGTTAAAGGCACATGTTCATGGAAATACCCATGTTATCGGTGTGTATTACATACCTAGCGAAGCATTTGTATGGAAGTCAATGGGAAAGTTAGCGAGCTATATCCACCGATATTGCCCGATTACCCCGATATAGCCCGCTTACCTCGTTTTGATATTAGATTTCTTTAATAACCATGATAATATCATGACGTCACGTCATTGATACAAAGTAACCATGGGAACAAAGGCATGTAATACATCAGTTATGTCACTATGACGTGAAATATGCCTTCGTTCTTGCCCAAATATAGAGCCTCCCAAGGTCGGCCTATATTGGGAGAACTCAGGCATATTTCACGTCATAGTGACATAACCTCTAAGTATACAATAGAACCTCATGTTATATTTCACAAGTCCAAAAATATCTGCACCAGCTATGCACATATTTCTTACCTCATTATTGATTAGTATCCAACAGACTGAGTGTGAACTCAGTTTGTTATCCTTATTTTCTGTCGTGTAGTTATTGCGGTGAATTGTATTGCACAAAATTATCAATTCATTAGAGGAAGCATTACTTCAATAAAATAAACATTATGAAAATTCAATTAGGTAGTAAGGTACAATTAAATGACATAAAAAGTAACACAGCATATTGTCTAGTCTAAGAGATAAAGCTACATGTAGTGGAACTTAAAAATAATTTAAATATGCAAATTAATTTACTACATCAGTCACTTTGAATTATAATTTACATTAAAAAGATATGTTTGAACAACAACATTTAACATAGGCCGTTTACAGTCTGAGTATTTCTAACTAAATTTCAAAAAATACTGTCTAGAGGATGTAGTCTACTCAATTGATTCTATACACTAGCTTGAATATTCTCTCAAAGCTACAGCTGTCTTTTGAAATACTGGTCGATTTAAAAAGTCTGCGATTTGAGACAGCCGCAACTTTTGGGCTTTGAGAGAACACTTAGGCTGGTCTTTAGATTAAATTGAAGTAAGAAATATGTACATAGCTAGCACCGACTTTTATGTCTTTTGATAAATAACATAATGTTCTTTGGATTCGGTCTGCATAACCTGAGATTTTCTTGGCACAAGATAATTACCAGGCTTACTCAGTTACTTAAAGAAGGCAATGCAAAGATAATTTCCTGAAAAAAAACAAAGAAATAAAACACATGCCTTCATACTATATTTTGTACCAGAAATTTTCAAAATATTTCCATATACACGTGCCTTTAACAGAATGTCAGTAAGTCATACGCTCAGAATGAATTATTGCTTATATTACTGTAACAGGATATTTCTAGGTCAACTTTTTTTGCCTTAGCTATGGTGGTTTTGATGACATCTAGTCTCAACAGTATATTTTCACATACTAGTTAGCACAAAAAGTGTATGTATATATTATCAAAGATACAATCTGATTGAATTAGTCTGAAAATATTGCTGGTAGTTTGAAGTAACCTTCCTTAATAATGTAGACAAAATGAGTGAAGTAATTTTGACTACCAGAAATTAGTGTACCTATTAACGGTTCACAATTCTTTAGAATGTATGAATAACTAGAATATTCAGTGGTTTACTTTTCAAACTACTGTCCTATATTTTCAAAAACACATGAAAAGTTCAATATGTGAAGCAAGTGACCACATAGTTTATGACTGAAATTAGATGCCCAAAATGTGGAACAGACATGACAGAAAATAATACTATGAACTTATAACAAAAGTGTTCTAGATACTCTCATCTACTTGAATAAAGTTATATTTGAAGGCTACACATGTTGCATAATTTGACCAAATTGTCTAAAAGTCTAAAGAATAAGGAAGTAATTGCCAGATTGGAACCTATATATTGGTTCCAACATTGCAGTTTACATGTAGGTCACTGTCACATACACTGTTTTTTGTTTGGATCTAGTGTACTGCTTGTAGCTCTCAATTCAGAGTAAGGTCATATGCCTATTAGTGTAATGTATCCTGATCTCTAGACAAGTTCACTAATTTGTTATATTGAGGTTGTAATATTTATCCTGATATATTCAGATGACCTGTGTACTTTCTCAACAGACTAAATGATTATGAAAAGCAAAAATAAAAACTGAATATTTCATAATTAGTTAGTTGAACTCGCTACCATTGTTCACTTCACACAATCAAAATTAAAATGTAATGTTTCCATTGGTAACTACAATATTTTTTCATTATTTATTATTTCTTCAACATAAATTACACAATGCCGGGCTCAACGATGACGTCAGAAGGAATGACCATATATAGAACATCGGTCAAATTTGGCCAACGAACACTGATTGGCGCGGTGAGTTTACAGGTTTATTTTAGTTTGAAAGAGTGAAGACGAAGCTCTCTTTTAAGAAGTGAAGTCAAACAAATGCAAAGGGTAACGATTCTGTTGTCCTCTGAGCTATTTTTTCGCAAACATGTACATTTTCAAAAACATATGATACTGATACACATTTGTGAGAAAGAATGTCGTGGGGAATCTGCCTACAAAGCGTGAAATAAGGAAAAAGAAAAATCGTGCCTTCGACGTTCCAACAAACCTTTTCGCTAACCAGTGTAATCAAGTGGATCCCCAGTATATAGGATGTATGATATAAATTAGAAAATGTACTAATCTCACTTGAGAATGAAGATATTCTAATTCTCATTGTCTGAATTTAAAAATGTTTAAATAATATGCAGTAACTGTTTCAGAGAAAAATGTCATATTTGTTAATTTTAATGATTCTTCATGTTTTTGGGGAAATCATGTTTTACTGTTCCAGAAATGAAGAGGAGTTCTATGAAAGCCATGACACTGTAGAGAAAGTTATACCCTTAACAAGAGCATAACAAAGTTTTCCTTATCTTAGCATTAAGCATTATATAGGATCACAAATACATTGATGAAAGTCAGAAAAACCTGTATACAGCTAGCTGTAGCATACTTTGTTCTGTTGGCTGGGATTAAATTTCGAAAAAATAAACATGACCGAGATTTGGTGTCAGACAAGTCCATACACAAAATACTCAAGAAATACATGTACATTAACTGACTTATTACCTCCTTTTAAAAGACTGAAAGACACTCCACCCTTATACCCCTATAGAATACTCCCCCACAGACTACCACCACCACCCCCCTATTATTAACCCCCCCTTCATAATGCCTTTGCAAATACCCCCCCCCCCAGAATATTCCATGGTCAATACCCCCCCCCCCCCAGAATTTTTTCGGTCTCCCCCCCCCCCCCCCCCTAGACTATATCCTATTTAGTCTGAATTATATTCAGACTATAAGGCACTTAAAGTGTGGTAATTTTAAATATTTGTTTACATAGGAAGTGCTATTCAAAATGGCCGATTGGGTAAAATTAGTTTGCACATTTGTTACTTCAACTAGCTTTATTTCCACTTGACAATATGCTGTGTTACTTTTTATTGCATTTAATTGTACCTTACTATTTACTTGAAATTTTGTAATGTTTATTTTATTGAAGAAATGGTTCCTCCAAATGATAATTTTGTGCAAAAAATTTCACTGCAATTTCAACAGGAAAGTAGTACATCATAACAGACTGACTTATAAATACTACCCCCCCCCAGAATTTTTCGGTCAACACCCCCCCCCCCCCCAGAATTTTTTGGTCTCCTACCCCCCCCCCCCCCCCCAGAATTTTTCAGTCAACACCCCCCCCCCCAGAATTTTGCATCCATACCCCACGTACATTTTTTAAATGGAATGGCCCAATGTAAATTTTCGATTTTCCGATTTCTTGATCTTCTTGAAATTCTTCTTCATTCAAGTTCAAGGAGGATTGGCTCCCAGAATCAAAGTCGATTTTTCCAACAATGAAAACGCCGAAATTTCGTTATTTTCTGAAATTACAACCGATTATAAATTCAAAATAAACAGTTCAAATGATTCGAACCAATATCTCGATCATTTCTTGTGAGTTTTGGAATTTTTTGTTAGGAAATAAGACCACAATTCACGATTCAAATGTTGAAGTGAACAAAATGGCGGCTGTTGGAATTCAAATTCTGTAACACGATATCTCCATATATGCACGGACATCTGCCAGATTACCTCCTCTGTGTCTAGACTCAATAAATATACTCAAGAACAAGACACGCGATTTTCGGAAAATTTATTTTTCCTTGATTTTGGAATCAGTTTTTCAATAAATATCACATGTCATACCTCAAACCTCGCGTACTGTTGTTAGCTTCAAATCCAATCACTAAGCCACACATCCAAGAAAGCGTCTGTTAATAAAAGCATAAAATAAGCGCGCGTATATTTAATGGAGCGCTTCGGCTATCTCCGTTGTTCAAATGATTATTCTCGAAGTCAAATGCCTTTTCTGAGAATGTGACACCACTCCGGATGACGTCACATCAGAGATTACCAAGAAGTCCAATGACGTTTCTTTTAACTCCCGTAAAAACAATAACAATGGTTTGTTAGGCTACGCAATTCTTTACTTTCATTGGCTGTTTGTTGCAATGTGACGTAATATGAGAGACAAACAACATCCGACACTGCCGGAAATTACCGAAGCCCTCCATTATCTCCCGGGAAAATCATGCAACCATTCAAACTAATACATAAAGAAGAGATTACAGGGTAAATATTGATCAATCAATGTCTTTTTTGGCTGAGTCTACTACCAATAGGGGCTGGATCTGGCTCCGGATCTGTGCATATATGGGATAGAATTTCGATGTTGCACTCTGGGAGCCAATCCTCCTTGATTCAAGTTCTTGTGTTTTGATATTAATTTTTGATTTTGGTTTTCCAAAACAACAAATTGTCTCTATAATATCTGATTCTGTCTTTAAACCAAAAACTCATTCATTTTCCACTTCTGTCAACACTGAGTCCCAAAGATAAGTTTGCAGATGAAAATCAATATTGTGAAAAGTGATCTCAAGGGGGATTGAAAGCCATTATTCAAACTCGATACTCTGTGTGGACCAATTTGGTTACAATATTACTTATATTTTGAAGAGTACAACTACCAATGAAACTTGAATATTCACATAATATTACTTGGTCTTAAGAGAATTTTATAGAATTTTTTGCTAAATTGTTCGACTAGGGGCAACAAAGTATCAATTTTGAATAATGGCTGCTAATCCTCCTTGGTAGATCTTTGATGAAGGGTTGCAAGGCATATTTAGCAAAGATGTATTTTTATAAGGCTTTAGGGATACATGTATCTGAAAGAATTTTCTAAATGATTTATTTATTCATATAAAGACTAGGTGAAATGCTTCGAAACTTCATTGATACTTTGTCATACATTAATACTTTGTCATACATTAATACTTTGATACATTAATACTTTGTCATACATTAATACTTTGATACATTAATTCTTTGTCATACATTAATAATTTGATACATTAACACTTTGTCATACATTAATAATTTGATACATTAATACTTTGTCATACATTAATAATTTGATACATTAATACTTTGTCATACATTAATACTTTGATAAATTAATACTTTGTCATACATTAATACTTTGATACATTAATACTTTGTCATACATTAATACTTTGATACATTAATACTTTGTCATATATTAATACTTTGATACATTAATACTTTGTCATACATTAATAATTTGATACATTAACACTTTGTCATACATTAATAATTTGATACATTAATACTTTGATACTTTAATACTTTGTCATATATTAATACTTTGATACATTAATACTTTTTTGATAATGTTAGAAAATAAATCCATTTGTCCAATGGGTGAGATCTTAATCCAAGATGGCCAATCCTGGAATTGTGAATTATTGGTCATGGTCAAAATAACCTGAATGTTGAAGTGAGTCCCATATAGGATGTAACCCCATATATACATCTTTTATTGACTCTCTGATGTCATTGCAATGACATATTAGTCACCATACTGATATGGACTGATGAAAGATGGTGCTGTCATCGCTTATACTTTTTTTTCAGCGTGTATTTAGTTTATCAGAAAAGATTCATGGCCAGGGTGGAATCTACTATAGTTGGCAAAAGACTCTTGGCAACTACTTAGCAACCACAGGGTAGGTATATCTTACATTTAAAGGAACAATAAAGAAGGTTCCCAAAGTTGCTATCTATATTACTTATGATTTTTGGTTCATATGATACAGTAAGCCACACAGGGTCCCGATATGCATTCCTTCCATCAAAATTGGTGATACAAATTGAAAAACAACTTTTTATTATAATTTTGTTGTGTGGATTTATATCAATCCACATACAGTAAAACCTGCATTTGTGGAACAACTTTGGTACCTTTGTAGTGTTTTCCACAGGATTTTTTCTCGAAAGGGGGTGCAAAATTCTCATTATAACAATTTGGTCAAAAAAAGGTCAAAATTATGCTCATTTTTCATTATTTTCATTTTCATGTAGGTGCTAATAGTACAATAAAGTCATTTCAAAGGGCAATATAGTGAAATATTTGGGCCCAAGGTCCAATATTTCACTATTTTGCCCACAGAAATGACGTTATTACTATTATTACCACCGTTAAAAAATCTTACGCACTGAACGATATCACTTTTCCCGGGAAACATAGCCAGGCGGATAATGTCATTATTGCCCGACTTAAGTCATTAACGCCCGACACAATATTGCTCACGTCAATATAGCAATTTCAATGCCTTCTCAACTAGTACTAAAACCCCTAGAACAGGCCCTGCAAGGTGGTAATAATAGATTTTCAGGTGGGTGCAAGCCTGATTTTAAAATCTCGGTTCGGTCGTGCGCCCACTTGCATTAATGCTTGGAAGATCACTGCTTTGGTATTTTAAAAAATATATACGGACAAAATCATCTAATTTATTTAAATACATGTAAATATTCATTATGAGAAAAAATTATTTGTTTAGCATAGATCAAGATACTTAATTGCAGTAATGCTTCTTTTAACAGGTTTGATCACATGGTTAGGATCCAAGATAGACATGGTGAATTGAAGGATGAAATAAGTCTGCCTGGGTAAGCCCATTGTTTATGACCAATGTCTATTTCACACACATTTCATTAACTTTTTGTACACAATCATCTAATTTTACACATTTTCTGTGCAATGTGAGAAAAATCCTATTTATATATAACTATATATAACAGACATTTTTAATCAATAATTAATTGCATTTCATCATTCTTCACTTCAAAAAACCCTAATCCATCATTGTAGCTTTGGAAATCATGAATTCATAAAAAAGAAACTAGAGACTCATGATTTCATAACTTTAGAATGCTTAAATGGAATCTATCTCTTGCTTCAATTTGTCACCACAAACATGTTGTGATAAATTGCTGTAGCCACCTTTGCCGTAGCTAGGATATCTTAAAGGGGCAACAAGGCCTGTAGAGAGAAAATAGGAAAATTTTAAACTATCAATTTCAGCATTAAGAAGTGTAAATTCAGTTCAAAGCTTCAAAAAGGGGAAATCCGCTTTTATATTTTTAAGATCCACCATGTTTTAAGAGGAATATATGCTGAAATAATGTTTATCTAGTGGTTTTTTTTGTGGATAATAAAAATAGATGTTAGTCTTGATGAAATATCCAAACTTAAATATATTTTGACACTGGTCCATGATCGTTGAATGGCCCCTCTGCACTAATTGTTGCACCTTTAAGGGGGTACAGTGAGGCAAACTTTTTCTCTCAGCAAGGCAAATTCCATCAACGAGGCAAAAAGTTTGGATATCATATGGGGATGCGGAGCTATGACAACCTTTCACTGTTCAAAATTTAGTATATCCAATCCTACACTTAACTACACTACCATTTCAGATTGTGTCATTTTGACCTTGTTTTATTTCAGGATGTGCACAGGTATTGGATGGGATAAAGATGGCGATACTCTTGCGATCATTAATGACAAATCTGGCGTAATATTCCTCTGGGATGCCAACACCCATAAAACATCTCAACTTGATAGTGGTCTAAGGTAACATATTATTACTAGTATCGTACATACATAATGTACTGTTGTACACACAATAGGTATTATTATTGCTAACTGTTTTATTGTAAATTCTTATAATTGGGTATTTTTCTGACACTCCTTGTCCTTGATTGATTGTTGGTTTTTGAACTCAGTGCAGTAAAACATGAATATTTGAATACCTCTCTAATTTGAATTTCTTTTAATGTAAACACGTTCTTTATAAATAAATCTTGAAATGGGAACACCTTGACTGCTCCTTGTAGTGTTCCGATTAGGCAGGATTTACTGTACTACATGTGTCTATAAAGAATTTGAGTGAAATCTTTATTCTTTCAGGGATTCACTTTCTCTATTGCTGTGGTCGAAGACAGGTCCCCAATTAGCTATAGGAACATCAAAGGGAAACTTGCTAATATACAATCACCAAACTTCGAGGTAATATTTTTGTATAAGGTAAAAATATGTTAGAAATATGTAATTATTAAAATGAAGCAGCATTCTTCTCAACAGGTTTTTTTCAAAATGTTTACGAATACTGACAAAAGTTGGTCAAAATATGCTAATTTGGGTGTTTAAATGGATTTTCACGTTGACATGTTTGTGCTGGGGAAATCATCGAGAAATTGTAACCAGTCCATTAGGCACTTAAAAATAAGTGAAAAACATTTTTAGCAAAGTAAATAATACTGGGCAAACACACACAAAATGGCGAAATATCCTTTCAATCTTGGAAAAGTATTACAATATTGGTTTTGAGGAATTATTTACCAATGCTTATATGTATAATATATACACTGTATATTGTATATATATGCACTTGTATTACAATATTGATTTGGAGTAAAGTACTAATGCTTGATTAAACATTACAATATTCTTTTTAATGAAACTAACAATGCAATATTCTTTTAAGGGAAAGTACCAAAGCTAGATTAAATGTTGAAATATTCTTTAAAAGGAAAGTACCAATACTTGGCAAGCATACAAAGAAGATAACATGCGGAGCCTGGAGTCAGCAAAACCTCCTAGCCCTTGGAAGTGATGACAGGACCATAACAATCAGTAACTCAGAGGGGGATACGATACGTCAGACATCCCTGAGGGCAGAGCCTGCCGATATACAATTCTCAGAGATGAAGGGCGATGAAAGGAGCAATATTGGAGAAAACACAGTAATATAATATTTAAAGTCAATAGTATATAGCTCAGAAATATAGTACACTATAGCCATAATTTTATTAACTTACGATGTTGTCTTATTGTCAGCATAGACTAGATTTGTCAGTTATTTTGAAAAGTGCCACAAGCAAGTTTTTGTGTAAAAAGAGGATATATGGAATTTTATGTTCTCTCGATACTGTTCAAAATCACAGGATAGATCTATCTGAATCTTTCTCTACTTGAAACACCTCTCAATCTGATTTTTAGTCCCTTTTTATTAATATTCCATACAATTCTTGAAACAAGAACACCTGTCAATCTGAACACTTTTAGCTTGTCCAAGGGGTAATCAGATCACATAGGTTTTACTATACAATAAAACCTGTCTAAGTGGAACACCTGTGGTACCTCTAAAAATTGTTCCACATTGGAAGTGTTCCACTTATAGTGGTTGTCAGTTTGTATTGCAACTGAAAAGTGTTCCACTAATGCAGTGGTCACATTTGCTCCAATTTCAGCACCGGCGCCCGGCCGATGAGTATTTTCTTCAAATTAGAATTCAATTTTTAACAAAACACTCATCGGCCAGGCGCTGGTACTGAAAATTGGAGCAAATGGGACCATGGCATAACAGAGGTGTTCCATTTCTAAAGGTATGCCACTTTACAGGTTTCATAGTATATAACAAAGATGCATTTTTATATCTCTTCCAGGTGAGTGTGGTGATAGGAAAGAAGACACTGTTTCTGTATAACATGAATGATCCAGAGAATCCAATAGAGTTAGCTTTCCAGGCAAGATATGGCAACATCATAGCTTACAAATGGTAAATACCAGTTTATATTATTTAAGATTATGAGGAATCGTTTATCAGAATTAGATACATTTTATACACAAAAGAAGATCATTATTATAACAAATCAAAAATAAGTTCGGGTTAATCTTGAATTCATTTTTGGCTTCAATTTCTGTGTTCCTTGATTCAGGATGAAACAACCAATCAGATTGCACTTCATTGTTCTAAATGCATTTTCAAATGCATAATTGTGAATATATCCAAAACATCTAAAAGTAAAGTTTGAAATTAATGGAAAAGTTTTGGATAAAATTGTATTTGGTTTCCAAACTTCACTCAAGGACGTGTGCTAAGGTCTAATGTTTACTTTTGAAAATATTTTAGGTATGGAGACGGCTACATCATGATTGGTTTCTCTCATGGTTATTTTGTTGTCATATCAACACACATGAAAGAAATAGGGCAGGTGAGTAAAGTCTCAGTATTAGCCTGCTTTTGCCAAGGGGGGTCCACTTTTTTAAAAATTCCAAGGGGGTTCAGTTTTGACAACTTTGCCCCAGAAGTGGTCAAAATCACTTGAAAATTGCTACGAATGGTGAAAAAGTGCATAATTTTGAAAGAATTTTTGGCATGGGGACAGGGGTGGGGAATTCGTTCAAAATGGGGGAATTCCCCTGGCTATGGCCCTGAGTATTCTAATTGGTTTAGGCTTTATCACAGGATTATCTCTAAACAGAAGCAGCTTTAAATGGAACAAACTCAAACTATAGGAAAAGTAGGCTAAATTTTGAGTGGAAATCTAAGTTGTATGATTGAATGAATGAAAAAAAATGATCGAGAATGTTGTTTCTAAAATATTGCACCTTCACGTTTATATGTTCGTTGACTCATATTCTGTGAGTAATTGTTCTAAAATTAAAAAATACAATGGAAAAGGAAGGCATTATGTGCATGGGTAGACTTGTAGTATATTGAGATTTTAGTGAAAAAGTTAGAAACTGCACAAGGTAGGATGTTAATGTTGTTTAGTTGGCCATTTTACCTCATTATATCATAGCTATTCAATGACCAATTTGTTATTTGAGATATGTGGAGTTGGAAAACAGCACCTGGTAGAGTATGTAAGTACATTAACAGCAATCAACAGGGAACTTCCTCTTATTTTTCCACAATAATTGCCTGTTCGAGGAATGTTGAAACTGTTTGAATGTTAAGATTATAATCACAGGCACCAGAACAGATATATGTACTAGAATTGACCAAAATGAAAGTCCTACCCCTACTCTCTTTGCTCACAGATTGTAGGGGGAAGGGGATTTTCAATTCCGTCAGTCATAAAATCCACCCCCCCACTATGTGTACACAGATTGTAAGAGGAGGTGTGAATTTTCATTTCATTAATTCTAAAATCAACCCCTCCCCAGTCTCTGTGTAGACAGACTGTGTGTGGGAGGGGGGGGTGAATTTTAATTTTGGTCAGTTCTACTATCTGTTCCGATGCCTGTGATTATGATTTCCAATAATTTTGCCTAATGTTTTCAAAAATTTTACCTGTTTTTTATATTAATACTACATAAGTACATGAACAATAGGCAATTTAAATAGGTAAGTTTTTTTTTCCTAAATTGCCTGTTGTTTCGTGTTTTGAGGAGTTATAGCACTGTTGCTAATTCATTTTGCCTGTTGACAGAATGTCTAATGAGACTCCTGCTATTTGTATCAGCTATCAAGTATTTTTATAACTTATTTATATTGTTTGTAGGAGTTGTTTCAAGCAAGGAATCACAAGGACAGCCTCACAAGTATTGCAATCTCACATGCCCTCAACAAAGCTGCATCCTCGGGAGACAACTGGTAGGTCTTACTGAGTTAACCCTTGTTAGGATGACTAGTGTTTATAATAATATCCTTCTAGTGTAGTAGTGTCTTGGGCAAAAAAAGAAAGTGAATATTTGTCACAATTGTCACAACAATGGATAAAACAAAGTTAACGAACACTAGAGTTTTAAAACTCTACTTTAAAGAATATCATAATTGTTATGAAAGTCTTTGGAAATACTTCATGAACTTTTTTTTTATATTAAACCAATTAAAAAAAATTGAACAAAATGTTAGCTTATCATGAATATACCTTTTCCATTTCAGTATCAAAATCCATGATCTGTCCGATTTGAAAGAAATGTACGCAATCATAAACCTTGATGATGAGCGAGGCCTTGATAAAATCTCATGGACTGACGATGGCCAGCTGATGGCCATTTCAACACAACGTGGTAGTTTGCATGTATACCTAACAAAGCTTCCTATGCTTGGTGCGTCATATGGAACGAGGATTGCGTATCTGACATCTCTGCTTGAGATTACCGTACAAGACAGTATTGCTGAGGTCAGTTTGGAAAAAATTGAAAAATCAATTTCCAACAATTATTTTCAAAATATTCATACATAATCGCTTGCAGATTACTGATAATACACATTGCAATATTGTACATTGCAAAATTAAATATGACATTTCAGAATTTACCTGACATTACTTTGTGCTCTTGGTTAAAAATTGACATCTAAATTTGTTGTTGTATAGTAACATCATGATTGTCAGAATGGATTACTAACATTCGAACAGGCAAATGGGACAATCTCTGCAGTTGGAACACATCAATATCTGTTATCTAGAACGGTTTGATGTCACTTGCTTTATTCTATGTATTTTACAGGAGACCCCATTGCCAACAAGTATTGATGAAGAGCCATCGTTTGTGGGATTAGGGCCATACCACTTGGCTTTATTCAATGTACATGTATTTTATAGGAGACCCCATTGCCAACAAGTATTGATGTAGAGCCTTCGTTTGTGGGATTAGGGCCATACCACTTAGCTATTGGCATGAACAACAGATGCTGGTTCTATCTACTGGGGGATAGTGGTATGTATAGATATTTCTACTACATTTAAACATTGAACTGGTTACATTTAAGATATCTACCCAAATTATAGTGACTGTTCATAACACCATTCTTCAATGTGGGTTATCCTGAGTCATAGGCAGTGAATTCAAAAAGGAAATTCAATTATTTTTATTTTGCCAATCTTTATATTCAACCAACCTTTATGTACAACAGACCTATATTTAGCCAACCTTATTTTGTTATACAGTAAAACCTGTGTATATTGAAAACCTTTTGCACAAAAAATGTTCAGTGTTGGTAGGGGTTCAGTAGAGTCATGTGCAGAGGAAGGGTGTCCACAAGAGACAGGTGTTCACTAGAGAGAGGTGTTCTCTAGGACAGATTTTACTGTATATTTATATTTGTCTTATCAATAAATTCAGCCAACTTTTTTTTTAGGGACAGAAAAGCTGAAAGACAGAGAATATCTGGGAACAGTGCAGAGTATAAAACTTAACTCTGACTACGCTGCCGTTCATTTTGAAGGCAAAGTCAATCTTCATATGGTAATTAGATTTTACTAGTTTTAATCAATTGAGATGGTACCCTCCACATTTTCTTTGTAAAAATCAACTTACTGCCCTATTATCAGAACTAATCCATAAAGTATTCAAAACATCTCTGGTTAAGTTGCTTAGCTATTGATGAAATTATTTATTGATATAAAGCCGAGGCACACATTTTGTTGAAATTTTATCCTCACTTCATTATTTTACGTGTAACTTGCATGTATATATAAAAATTATAATTCAGTTTTAACAATTTTAAATTACCTGTTTATTTTTATTATAATTAAGCTGAAATCGGATTATAGTTTAGCACATTTTGAAGTCACTGTGGGTGTACCAGAAAAGGTTGTATGCTACCGTGACCTTGAAAATGTTTTACGATGGTCATTTTAAAAAAAAATAGAAATTGGATGATTCAGTGAGAAATGATGCTTTTGCACTATTAATTGTATGGAACTGTAAAAAATCAGACACTTCAATCAATTTTAGAGAAAAATATGTGTAAAAAGCATGTGACAAGAGTGAATATTTGAAATTTTAAAAGCATAGAATTATATTTATTTGCTTCATTGACCAATGCAATATGCACATATATTTGTTTTATTTTAATGTACATGTATCTGTTTTGATATAGAGGTTTGTATGTTTTTCCTGAACATATCAAACTTCAAACACAAATTATCCCTACAACGTATGCTTTGCAATGAATATTTATAGAAAAATTAATAATTTAGAAGTTTAGGAACAGGTTATTTACACATGTATTTGGATTTTTGGTTAACCCTTATCCACTAAGGAATTTTTTGATAACTTTTTTCATAGTTTGTCTTTTGATCTGAAACTTTTTGGCTTTTCTTTGAATTGAGTAATGCATGTTTTAGCAAAAATTATTGTCTATACGTAAGAATATCACACTAATAGATGTATAGAGCTGCACCATAAATGGAATAATAAACATGCTATAAGTCAGTTGCAAAATCTCTCTATTGACTGAATTCTTTGTATTTGATTTAGATTGAGTCAGACACTACGAATGATGAACGTGACACAAGACTTTTCCCAGACAAGGATGATAGTAGAATCACATGTCATGACATCACACCCGAATTCCTTATTTATGGCACTGATGTAAGTATCGCTTTTTTGGGCCACAAAAAGATTTTTACACAAAGTCAGTGGGTCAGGGGACAATAAAAAAACTGTTCCACTATGGAGGTGTTCCACTTACAGAGGGTAATTTACATATCAATGAGTCGAAGGACTTTTGATAACTTTTCATTTACATAGACCAAGCTGCTCCACTTGACACTTTGTACTCTTCTACAATGCATCTGCTTAGAGGCAGAAGGCGCTCTGTGCAGTTGAGAGAAATTTTTACATGAAATGAAAAGAATACATCATATTTCCAAAGTGTATTAATATCTAAGTGATTAGATGATTAATAAAAAAGTTATTTTGTTCCTTAAAAAGGTATATGCACTGATTCATATTGGGTTTCATGTTTGTTTCCGCATTTTCTCTAAATCAGGAAAAATGCACAAAGGCCCTTTTGCCTCTAAGTAGGCGACTGGTTATGTTGTTATGATAAATAATAAATGTTGTTGATTCTTGTTTTCAGTCTGGTGGCATTTACTACTTCCTCATAGAAGACTGGGCCTATGTGAATGAATTCAAACACATCGTGGGGATTAGGAAACTTTACCCAGATCCAAGCGGGACACGTCTTATTTTCATCGATGATAAAAGTGACTGTTTTGTGTACAATCCAGTAAGTAAACATTTGATTTTAACCAGTTTTGGAATGTATGAGAGGCAACTTTAATAAGTCTAGGCAAATTTTAGTAGGCAAGACAAAGTTAAGATAAAGATGATATTGAAATTCTATTGGACATCATTTTCATAGTTTCATTTGAAAATATAGCCTGAACTTTTATATTTTATATGTAAACATTTAGTGAAGCAGTTGCCTTTTGCTTTCACTGTCATACCCTCCCTCTGGATAAACCTAGATACAATCCTAGATATAACTTTTTATAATGGCCTCTTACATTAAAACTGTACATGATGAAATATAGAGTTACATTTGCCTACATAGACCCAGTCACCCAGTGCCATTTTTTGATCCTTAAATTCACCATTGATTAAGATAAATCAGAATGGTCTGTTATTTGCATCATCAATGGACTTTGTTTTAATCCTTTTTTTCCTGTAAATGCATGAGCTTCAAAATTTCTCAGATTGTTGCATGCTCCCATTACGATTGGCACATACTGCTAACTGGATTGGCAATATGAAAACTTGGGTACTTTTAAAAGAAACAGAGCCCTTTTAAGTTTTTTATTATTCAGGTGAATGATCAGACAATTGATGTCCCAAAGTTCTCCAGTACAACAAAGGGGATTCTCTGGGACCAGTGGCCACTGGATAAGGTACGTTTTCTTCCTTTTAATCATATATTAAAAGGTGAAATATTAATTGCCATCAGCTTAGAGAATGGCAGATTGGCTCTGCAGTGCAAGACAAACCACTTTATAAATTGATTTAAAAATTTTGTGTCCATCTTTTAAAAATATATATTTGTCAACTTTAAAAAAAATCAAACTTTAATTTTTGACTTCAGTTTTTTATTGTATCGAGGGATGCACCTGTGGATCTGCATAAGTAGTCCTCATTAATGCCTGGATTTCCTGATGTTATGAGTGTGAGGGGAAAATTCCCTGATGCTTTGAGTGTGAGGGTAATATTCCCTAATGCTATGATTGTGAGGGTAATATTCCCTAATGCTATGATTGTGAGGGGAATATTCCCTAATGCTATGGGTGTGAGGGGAATATTCCCTAATGCTATGAGTGTAAGGGGAATATTCCCTAATGCTATGAGTGTGAGGGGAATATTCCATGATACCATGAGCGAGAGAGGAATATTCTCTGATGCCATTAGTGTGAGAGGAATATTCCCTAATGCTATGTGTGAGGGGAATATCCCAAATGCTATTATTGTTAGGGGAATAATCCCAAATGCTATGAGTGTGGGGGGAATTATCCCAAATGCTATGAGTGTGAGGGGAATAATCTCTAATGCTATTATTGTTTGGGGAATAATCCCAAATGCTATGAGTGTGAGGGGAATTATCCCAAATGCTATGAGTGTGAGGGGAATATTCCCTAATGCTATGAGTGTAAGGGGGATATTCCCTAATGCTATGAGTGTGAGGGGAATATTCCCTAATGCTATGAGTGTGAGGGGAATATTCCCTAATGCTATGAGTATAAGGGCAATATTCCTTAATGCTATGAGTTTGAGGGGAATATTCCCTGATACAATATTCTCTGATGCTATGTGTGAGGGGAATATTACTTTTGAAAGTGGTGCGGTCGTCCCTGAAATAAAGAATAAATAAATTAACTGTACTGCAACAATCACATGGAAATATGACATGCAAATCAAAGGATGAGTAATAATTAAGTGAAATAATATTGTTATATTTATAACAGGGTAGAGAAGGTTTTGTTACATTTGATGAAGAATATATCACAACCTATGCACTGACCAATCAGGCCATTATACCGCATCACTATGATGGTATTATTTAGCATAAGTAATTCACAAAATTTAGTCAAATTTCAGTTCTCATCAATTTCAGTTTTCAATATGTTCCCCTTTTCACCTTTTTTGATATCACTTTTTCGCAGAAAATTCTGCTGAAATAAATGCTCAATATGTAAGATTTGACATGTTGTAAACAATAAATTGTATCTTTTGCTTTTAATTTTTTACTGAGAAAGATGTATCTGATATTACAGTACATTATATTTAGTTCTTTTGCTAATAGTACTATCAGTGGAACATATTGAAAGGTGTATGATTTATATTATAGAATAATGTACAGTTCATCATGTTTTAAGTTTGACTTTCTGCATCCTAGGTTTGACTGTTGACTTATTTTGTAACCTTAATTGATAAAATATTGAGAGCAAGCCTTATTTATTGCCTTCAAACGGCAACAAAAATGTCGAGAACTTAATGCTAATATCATCACTTTCATGTTTTCTAGGGTCTTTTCATTGCCTATGACGAGGAAAAAATCTATACATATGTGTATAGCAGAGAATCTGTTAATGGTAATAGTACTATGGTTACAAGCGGCGGTTATAGTACTAATGCTTTGCCTGGGGTTGAAACCACAGTTAGTAAGTCGCTTTGGTACATGTACACCTCCCAGCTAGTGTGTTGTGTTATTATATTTATCCCATACTTGGACGTGTTACAGGTACATATACAGGGTGGGCCAAAAAAAACCACCCCCCTAGCCATTATTCTTGATAAATATTTATTTTTTAATATGTACACAAACAATGATATATCATTTTAAAGATAATTTAATTTGCAACAAAATGATATATAAAAGGACAATTTTCAACAACCCTGGCTCGAGATATAACCATTTATGTGACATGGGGGTAAAAAAAACACCTTTTCAGTTTTCATCGATTTTGCGAAGAATAGCCTATTTCTACCAAATTTTACTGTTCAGTTAAAAATTTCAACATTGTCATGAGTCTTTCATAATTGGATATTATATATTGTTTTCATTCAGTTTTTGAACCATGCAAGATCAATAAAAATGTGTATGGTTATAAAACAAATTTATTTCTTCTTAAGTCTGTCCAAATATGGCTCAATAGACGCACCCCCCGGATCCATCCTCTGATCAGATTATTCGCTTAAGATGCGGAAGCCATTGGTTGATGGCATAATTGATGGATGTATGCGGAAGTACCATTCAACTGGTAGTTATTTCTTTCTTTTAGTTCCTCTACATCCCTGATAGGCTGGGGATCTTTAAATACAGACTGTTCTAGATGCCCCCAGGTACGGTAACCAACATTATTGGCATCTGGACTGTCAGTAAGCCATTTGTCCGGGCTAGAGATGATGTCATTTTGAATCTCCAAAAACTCCAGGGTAGCATTGGACCTGTGTGATGAAGCACTTTCCTATCAGAAAATGAAATTTCTTTCACATGTTTTTTATATCCTTGAGAAGTCCTTTTTAACACCTCATGTCATTAACATTCAGAGTATATTTTTGCTCCTGGTTCAACAAAAGTAGGGCCTGGCAGTCTTTCCTTTTTGGGAAACATCGAGTGGACACCACTACCCTTTCAGAGAAATGTCATCTCGATTTGAGTAGCCTTTTATCGCAAACGTCCCTATTCTTGCTTACTGATATATAGAGTCTATCCTATTGATTACATGTACAGTACTCGGGGCATTTAGAACAGTTGGTCTATGAAGATCTCTCGCCCTATCAGGGATGTAGACAAACTGAAAAAATGAATAATTAGGAGTTTGATGGTACTTCCGCAGAGATCCATCAATTATACCAATGGCTTTCGCATCTTTAGCGAATAATACGATCAGAGGATGGGTCCAGGAGGTGGGTCTATTGAGCCATATTTGGACAGATTTAAGAAGAAATTAATTTGTTTTATAAGCAGACACATGTTTATTGAGCATGCATGGTTCAAAAACTGAATGAAAACAATATATAATATCCAATTATGAAAGACTCATGACAATGTTGACAATTTTTAACTGAACAGTAAAATTTGGTAGAAATAGGCTATTCTTCGCAAAATCGATGAAAATTGAAAAGGTGTTTTTTGACCCCCATGTCACATAAATGGTTATATCTCGAGCCAGGGTTGTTTAAAATTGTCCTATTATATATCATTTTGTTGCAAATTAAATTATCTTTAAAATGATATATCATTGTTGGTGTACATGTTAAAAAATGAATATTTATCAGGAATATCAGCTAGGGGGGTGGTTTTTTTTGGCCCACCCTGTATATATTATATATATTTTCATCAGTGGGCAGATATAACTTTACGTCCCGCTCCCGCTGCTCACATATTTGTTCGTAATTTGTAACGTTCGCTTAATGACTGTAAATGACAATTGGGAGAAAACACAGACAATCTGGATCTGTTTGATGGTTTAAAAAAGGGAAGGAGTATCCACTTAATCAATCAAAATTCGAGAAAATAAATATGGGAATATTTGAGAGAACAGGAAAATCCGCCCACGGCCAAGAAAACAAAACTGGACATGAATATTCAAAAATATTTCCACGATTGAACAATGTGAACCAGGTGACCAAGATTGGTATGGGATAAACATATTATCCTATATGAGGTTCAGGATATTGGGATTATCCCTTGGCCAATATAATATATTTTCCCTTGGGACCTGTAGCCCTCGGGCAGATATATTATATTTGCCTCGGGATAATCCCAATATCCTGAACCTCATATAGGATAATCTCTATATATGCACCCAGTTTTAATACATGTACACCTAGCTAGTGTGTTGTGTTATTGCGAGCTTTTCCCAAGGGGTTCAGTTCTTCTTAAAGATTTCAGGAGGGGTTCAAATTTAAGAACTTTGGCCCAAAATCAGTTGAAAAGTGCTCAAAATGGTGAAAATCTGCCTGATTTTGAAAGTACTGTATATCACTCAAGCCCCCCCCCCCCCCACCCTCCCTGCCCCTAGCCAAATGCTGGCTTGATTTATCGGCAAAACTGCATGTTTTGACAAATTCACCTCCATTTTTTAATGTATCTTATGTTTCTTTGCATGACTGCATGAATAACACTACTTGCATATCCTACTAATTTTTTGTCACCAAAACTCCATGTATTATAGATTTACTTCTCTTTTTTCTTAATTATTATATTCTCTGCATGTCTATCACATTTCTGTCATATGTTGATTAATCCTGTAGTTTATTAATCTAAATTGTCTGTATTAATGTGGCTTTGATTACACTAAAAGCAAAACCACCACCACCACAAGTGGTGACATATTGTTTTAGTCTCTGACTATTTTGTGGATGGTGTTTGGTGCTCAGGTGGTTAATGCCTTGTTATAGTTTTTATTTATTCAACAATCCTAAATTGTACACTTAGCTTTAGACATGTTAGAGGCACTCAGGTAGTATCATAATTTGTCCACAAAAATAGAAAAAGTTACAAAAACATCTAAGACAATAATTTGGTGACATTTTGTATTATTGTTGGGACATTTATGCCCATATTTATTAATGTCATATTTTAGGTTTATATTTTCCATCTGTCTGTAAAATGATCGTTGTGAAATGACATATGTTAATGAATTGGTACAGAGTATCTGTAAACTAATATGCATGACATAAGATATTCATACTAATAAATGTGACAAAAAGAGGTTGGGAGTTTTTTTCGAGCAATTTCAGAAACTGATAATCTAGACTTAGTCTGAACTTATGATCTAAACTATACTAGAATGAAATTATGAACATATTATTTCTCAGGTTCACAGTGTACATTTGCTGGAACTACAAAACTCCCATATGGACAAGTACCCATAATGCTTCACAATGGGGAGATTACATTGCAGACGCAAAGTGGAAAGGTCGTGACCTTGACCCTTGATACCCACAATTCACCTGATGATAAGCCATTGGAGATGGATCCTGTCGTGGTGCGTAGTAATACGAATATTCAAATATCAAATTAAAAAGGATAAAGCATGTTGGAGACTGAAAATTAGTGATTCAAGTAAATGATAATATATATTGTGGACTTACATGTTAGTGGATGGAAATATCAAGAAGTCAGTTTGTTTAAATCATAAAGAGTCATGATCTAGAACGTCATAGCATCAATACTTCGTTTACATTTAACCATTTAAATTGAATAATTTTGGTATTCATGTAAAATACCCATGTTTGAAGAAACTGTCATGACATTGAATTTTATGTGTGTTTCAGCTACGAGAAGCGCTTGGAAAGTGTATCGCTCTACATAGGTTAGTTTCCTGAACTACATTTTTTGAACTAAAACTGTACAATAACGTTTCAAGTTTTTTGGACAACCTTCATACAAATCTGTCTATTTTTTTCTGTTTCATTGAAAATGGAGCAATATGTCATCTTGTATATCTGAGGAGTTTTTATTAAAAAATCCGATGTTACATGTATGATTTTTTGTAGGTTTAAAGATGCCTGGGGGTATTGTATATGCTTAAACAACAAAGAGTGCTGGAATAACCTTGGGAAAGCGGCCCTCATGAATCTGGACATTGAGTTTGGAATACGTGTCTATCGACATATTGGCAATGTAGGCATGGTTATGTCCTTGCAGAAAATAAAGGTCAGTTTGAATATTAGCTTTTTTCATAATTTTGAAACTTCAAATACTGGAGCTAATTTCAAATGGTATATGTTCTTTAAGCAAGTAAATTGAATTTCAGAGATTTCCCTTAAAATCTGTTGTCATTAGTCAATATAAAGCAAGTACTAAAGGTGATAACAACCTTTGAAAGGATAAAGGTTTTCAACACTCTAAAGGATTTCCCTCGTGATAAACCCCATAACCAAACCCTCCCATATTAAATGATATTGATTATACTTCATTTTCAATTTTTCAATGGGCATTAAGATGGAATATGTTTAACCTCAGAATAAACCCAAATTCAAAATATTCCATGATATTTTTTTCTCACACTATTCATTGGAAAATTTCCAGTGGTCAGTAAAGGGTAATATATTTTTCCCCAGGATAAACTCCATATCTGAACCCTCCCATATGATTATCCTCCATCTACCTTGCAGGGCATTGAGGATAGGAATCTTCTCTCTGGTTACATAGCAATGTTTATGGAGGACTTTGACTTAGCGCAAGATCTGTTCCTTAATTCCAGCCAACCTCTAGCTGCTTTGGAGGTAAGAGCAAATGTTGATATTTTTTGAAAAAACAAAGTTTAAATGGTTAAGTTGTCACCAGCTTGCTCTCTGTCAATATCTTGTATTGTCGCTGTATTATTTTGTACATATTATTTTGTAATTTGTCTTATCGTATGTTTGTTATTGTGTACCTGATTATTGTGGAAAAAGAAATTAAGTTTAAGTTTCGGAGAAATTATGCAACCTACTGTATCTTTGAATTATATTTTTATCGTTTATCTATATATCATAGACAGAAACTTCTAAACCTGGACTCTGTATAGAAGTTATAGAATTCTTGAAGTTTCCATATCAGATTATGTGTTACATGCATATTGATTTGCAGCATATTGTATCTTGTATTCTATTGTACCCTATTATTTTGAATTTATATTTATAATGTAGATGAGACGTGACCTTCTAAACTGGGACTCTGCATTAAAGTTGGCAAAGAGTTTAGCTCCAGATCAGATACCATATATCTCAAAAGAGTATGCCCAACAGCTAGAATTCACTGGAGACTATGGTTCGTCCATTTTTTAAACAATATTTCAATTTTCATTCAAATACTATGGTTGATTTAACAATGTAACCCTATAGTTTTAAATGAACCTTTTCACTCATTGATTATATCTTCTAAAATTTTCTTGTTTATTTTTTGTCATGCTTATTTTGTATTTACCATGTACCATTTTATGTTTTTTTTACACAAATTGGAGTGTTAACTACATGCCTGTTTACTTTATTCCTTGCTGATTCCACTAATTTCCACTCTATTTTTCCATTTTAAATCATGACCACCATTTACATTTTCTCCAGGAAATGCATTGAATCACTATGAGAAAGGTCTTACCAAAGATGATGCTCAAAGAGAACATGATGAGAGTTGTGCGGGTGGCGTAGCTAGGATGTCGCTACGTATGGGTGATATACGAAGGTAAGCTGACTGCCTTTGAAAACATTAGATACTATTTAATGATTTATTTAAATTCCACCATGAGACATGAAAAATTCACTACTAACATGTATTGTGAGTGATGAAATACAATGTCATTCTTTAAGTTGCTGTAGAATATTACATGTAAAGAATATGACAAAATATAATAATATGATACGGCTTGTGATGTTCTTTCAATGGTAACACCATTTTTCAGGGGTGTTGGACTTGCCTCAAAGATGTCAAGCAAAGTACTGAAGAAGGAATGTGCCGCTATTCTGGAGAGTATGAAGGTATAATATGTGACTAAGCAATCAGCCATTCAGTTGCCTTTTACTTTTATATTTCATATTCAATTTCAAAGGACAAGTCTCGGTTTGGAGATCAGTCTCCTGGGCTAGTAATTTTTTTATGAAAAATGTAGAAATATCACCCAAATTAAATTATGAATATTCAAAAGAGGAAATTTAAATCTACAATATGTAAAATATCACAATTGTCCGAAGCAGGGGTTACAATTAGAGTGATTCTCCAAACCGAGAACAGCCATTCATTTGTCATCCTCACTCATTTCCAGGATCTTGAAATTGACAAGCTAGGCCCATTAACTCATATAAAATCCATATTTTTGTTGCATTTATGAAAATAAATGGCCATTTAAGGACTTAAGGAAAAAGTGATCTAATCTTAGGAGCCTATGTGAGCATCTAGCTATCTATGATAAATATGCATGCATAACTATAAATTTAATTCACAAAATATGTTCTTTGAAGGCAATATTAAAACTGTCACCATGACAATGTGTTTCTCATGTTTTCCATGTTTGTGTTTAAGCAATGGTCAGAAGCTGCAATGCTGTATGAAAAAGGTGGATATTTTGATAAGGCAGCATCTGTTTATATACGCAGCAAAAACTGGTAATTATTTTTGATTTTTTAATGTCTCATTTATTTTATTTATATATAGATTTGCTGTTTTATAAAGTGATTATTTTCTGTGAAATGGAAGTATTTCTTCCACAGATGTCTTTGTCCCATCCCTTTTCACAGTTTAAAAAATATTTCACAGAATAACAAACACAGAATGTGTATTATACTTCAGATCTGGATGAAAATAAAATAATGAAAAAAAACTATAATATATCAATAGAAAAAACGATTTTTTCAGGGCAAAGGTTGGTGAACTTCTCCCGCAGGTTACATCCCCCAAGATTCACTCCCAGTATGCAAAAGCAAGGGAGGCTGATGGGAGGTACAAAGATGCAGCGACCGCATATGCTAATGCCAAAGATTGGGATAGTGTTGTGCGTATAAACCTGGAACACCTTCAGAATCCTGAAGAGGCTGTTAGGATTGTTCAAGAGACTCAGAGTGTTGATGGAGCAAAGATGGTTGCAAAGTTAGTATTTATGATTTAATATTTCATTTATATATTTTACAGAAGATTTTATCAACACGGTAACCTTGACAGGTTGGTTCTAAAAAACGTGTTCAAGAAAAGGGAGTTCAGATTTGAAATTTGGAATGTGTGATATACATTTACTTTCTGACTGAAGAAATGTTTGCGTCTAACTCGTTTTCATATTTCTTGACTCCAAATTGAGTTCAGAAGCAACCTGTCAAGAAAACTTTTGTGTGATCGGATACAGTAAAAGCTATATATTGGAACACCTCTCTAATATGAACACTACTTTTGTCCCATTTTTAAACTGCCACTTTTTAGAAACCTTAAAATGTGAACAACGCCAATCTGAAAACTTGACCAGTTCTAGTGGCATTTGGATTAGACAGATTTTCCTGTAGTGTGTCCATAATGGCCGATTCTCCATTGTCACAGTCAGTACTAGATCACATACAATTGTACCTATGTATTTGTAGGTTTTTCATGAAACTAAATGATTATGCATCTGCCATTCAATTCCTTGTGATGTCTAAATGCAACGATGAGGCCTTCCAACTTGCCCAAGAGCACAGACAGATGGAGATATATGCTGATATTATAGGTACAAAATTTTAACTATCAAAAATATTATGTTGACAGGATTAATGACCCCATGTTAAGGGATAAGGTAGAAGCACGATGGAATGTTATTTGTTCTTGTTAGGTTGAACTTTGGGCAGAAAACCTTTTTGAAGAAGATGGGCAGAAATAAAGCTTTCCAAAATCATTTAGAATACGCTACATGGTCCTTAACAATGTTTACATTCTAACATTTAAGAATTTCACCAAAGGGATACATACTGTATTTTTATTGATTCCTTTTGAACAACCATTAATAGAATACTGTCTTAATTTTCCAGGTACGGATGCTACACCTGAAGACTACCAGAGTATAGCCCTGTACTTTGAAAATGAGAAAAATCATTTCTTTGCCGGAAAATTCTTCTTACTTTGTACACAGTATCAGCGGGTAAGTTGCTAATTGTAATCGTCCATCGCATGTAATTTCTAGAAATATGATTGGTCCTTGGACAAAAAATATCCTGTTTTCTTTTGCATCCACTTTTCTAGCAATTTTGGACCAAAGTTGTAAAATGTGAACCCCCTTTGAATATTTTGCATTTTAACCCTATCCCCTTGGCAATAGATGGCCTACAAGCCTTCATGCAATTGAGATGTTCATAGTTCATACTAAGCTATGGTTCATCAGTTATTATTATTATTAATAAGTTTATTGGTCTCTTGAACATGTAATGTACATCGAGATGTAAGTCCAATAAAGCAAATAACAAATAAAACATTTATGTACATGCATGGCAAAACAATACTTACAATCTAATTTTAACAATCACTAAGTACTATACTTAATAGCATAAAATGATTTCACGTCAATTTTGTTTAACAACTCTTTGGTAATATTGTGAACTCTTGTAAAATAATCACCAATTATTTCATTAATTGCATCATCGTGCGCTAACAAGGAGTATAAAAATAGACTTCTTGTATTAAAATGAGAAAAACTATTGTTTATACTTTTTATTTTACTGATATATAAAGATCGAGCTAGTATTAGTTCTGATTGAGAACAACAGAAAAGAACATGTTCTTCATCACCTATTGTATTTTTTGAATTACAGAAGAAACAAAATCGTTTCGATTTTTCTACTTTGAAGTATCGACCTCGTTCAATTGGGAAGTTATGCATCGATAACCGTACCTTAGAAATAGATTGTCTATAGGTGGAGTTCTGTAAATTAAGATAACTTTCTCTTTTTATGTCCCCACCACATAGTGTGGGGCCATATTGTCGGCCTAGGCGCGTCCGTCTGTCCGTCCGTCTGTCTGTCTGTCCGTCCGTCCGTACGTCCGGCAGTTTTCTCCAAAACCGCTACCGATATCACCTTCAAATTTTCAGGGATAACTTATGAGTGCATACAGATGTGGACGAAAAAGTTTCAAGTCGATACCTACTTCCTGTCGGCCATTTTGAAGTCAAATGCTAAAATCCTTGTCTGCAAACTTTAAGAAAAATGGCTTCACTGTTGCTTTTAAAACGTTAACATCCTGTTCAGCTCACTTGATTCTAGATCTGATTAGGTTTTGGACCTGTTAGCCCAGTCATGGCAGCCATTTTGAATGTTTTAAGAAAAGTTAGCGTGCGATAATACTTTGTATCATATTGAATGGTGTTTTTGAGTTTTCATACTTAGACTATTTAGTAGGTTTATAAAAAATTTCAGGTGTACTTTATTGTAAAAGCCTATGTTATTGTTAACAGTAGTTATATGTGCTAATTTTGTAAAAAGAAATCAGCAAAAAAGTATAATCACTTTTTTATTGTCGGCCATTTTGGATTTTTCCATCCTAAAATTTTGTCTGTAAAGTCTTGTCTATGCGTTTTCAGGCGAACCGTTTGGTAGATCATTTTCAAATTTTCAGGGATGATTATTAGTATGAAAATCTAGATCTGATTAGTTTTTTGGCATTCTGGGTAAATGTCAAGGCAGCCATTTTGGATTTTCCGTCCTAAAATCTTGTCTGTAAAGTCTTGTCTACACGTTTTCAGGCGAATCGTTTGGTACATCATTTTCAAATTGTCAGGGATGATTCTTAGTATGAAAATCTAGATCTGATTAGTTTTTTGGCATTCTGGGTAAATGTCAAGGCAGCCATTTTTGATTTTCCGTCCTAAAATCTTGTCTGTAAAGTCTTGTCTACGCGTTTTCAGGTGAACCGTTTGGTAGATCAATTTCAAATTTTTAGGGATGATTCTTAGTATGAAAATCTAGATCTCATTAGTTTTTTGGCATTCTGGGTTAATGTCAAGGCAGCCATTTTGGATTTTCCGTCCTAAAATCTTGCCTGTAAAGTCTTGTCTACGTGTGTTCAGGTGAACTGTTTGGTAGATCAATTTCAAATTTTTAGGGATGATTCTTAGTATGAAAATCTAGAACTGATTAGTTTTTAGGCATTCTGAGCAAATGTCAAGGCAGCCATTTTGGATTTTTCCGTCCTAAAATCTTGTCTGTAAAGTCTTGTTTTCTGGTTTACTGTTTGACGGATCAATTTCAAATTTTCAGGGATGGTTCTTAGTATAAAAATCTACAGCTGACTAATTTTTTGGGCATTCTTGGTAAATTTTAAGGTGGCCATTTTGCATTTTCAATTCCAAAATTGTAACAGTAAAGTCTTGTCTACTCATTTTCAGGATAACCATTAGACGGGATCACCCATTGGTGGGGACATATTGTACACATTTGTGTTCTTGTATATGCATGTTTTACTAGTTTATAGCTTCTGAATTTACCCGGAGCATCATTTGGTCTATTGATGTCTTGCATAAACATGCTTTTGTATTCTTTTTCTAAATTTGTCATTGTAGATTTAATTAAATTATCAATTTTGACTTTATCACATGTATCGATTTTTGGTATATCAATATTTTTATTGGATATTGACAAAATTCGAGTGATAAATGAAAAGAAGCTCCAATGCCCTGATTCATGTGAGTCTTCCTCATGTTTACTAAAAATGAATGAATATGAATCAGTTGGTGACTTTTTCAAGTGAAACCAAAATTTTAGAGTACTAACTAGTATATTAATGAGCAGCGGGTATCTGCCCAGTTCAGCCTTGGCTGATACGTTACTGCAGTTATTATTGACGCGTAATACCTGTTTGCAATATCTATTGTGTAACTTCTCAAACGGAAATGAATTATCTAGAAGTACGTCCTTCAAGGATTTGTCTTTTAACTTTACAATATCTGTAGCCAAAACGTCAGAAGCATAGAGAGCAATCGGTTTGACTAAAGTGTCAAATAATTTTATCTGCGATTTCACATTACTATTATAAAATACATTTTTGACTGCATATTGGGCCTTTAATGCTTTTGAGTACAAAACATTATATGCAGATTTAAAATTACCGTTTTGATGAAATGTTACACCCAAATAACAATAGTTTGCACACTGTGTAACTATGCTATTACCAAATTTAAAGATATTTTTCTTTTTAGTTTCATTAAATATCACCACACTTTGGTTTTGTTAATGTTAACATTTAATTTCCATGTATTACAATATTTTTCAAATTTGTTCAGCATCAGCTGTAACCCTTTCGCTGTCTTACTAAACAATACTATATCATCGGCATACATCAATGTGTTGATTTTGTTTCCGTCTAGTATATAAGGATCAAAATTAAGGATCAGTACTATAAAATTTAATGAACCATGAGCTCATGAACACTCTTTACCAAATACACTCATTAACTACATTGTATCTAATTCAACACATTTATTTATATTTAGGCATTAAAACATTTCCTGAGATGCCAGAACACAGATGACAACCAAGCAATTGAGATGGCCATAGAAACAGTGGGCCAAGCCAATGATGAAAACCTGACACATAATCTTATTGACTATTTAATGGGAGAGAATGATGGGGTGCCAAAGGTAGGATTCCCTTTTAAGGAGAGCTTGTTTATTTGAACAGAAATGGGAAAAACAATTCGTTATGGAGTTTGACTTTTAAATAAAGAAATAATTTGATATAGAGTTACATTAAAAATGTCATTGCTGTCATTTTTTGTGACTGTCATTAAGACTTTTTTATGTAACAAATTGTTACATATTTGCATGCATTTGCACTTACCAGATGGTGAAATTTTGTCTTACTTTAAATACCTTGTCTATTCTTAGGATGCCAAATATTTATTCAGACTATATATGGCTTTGAAACAACACAGGGAGGCTGCCAGAACAGCCATAATCATTGCCAGAGAAGAACAAAATGCAGGTAAAGTGTGGGGGGGGGGGTTGAATTACGAACAAGAACAGCCTTTATAATTAATTATCCCTGGATTATTTCCTTAGCCTGATTTTATTGGTTACTCTGCTTACGGTAGTGATTTCATGAACAAAAATCGTCAATATTTATTTGCTAGGTAATCTCTGTGCTAACGATTGTGATATCATGAACAAAAACCTCTTTATTTTTTTAGGTAATTATCGCAACGCTCATGATGTGTTGTTCAGTATGTATCAGGAACTGAAACAACAAAAGATCAAAATACCAACAGAGATGGCATCAAATCTTATGATTCTCCACAGTTATATATTAGTCAAGGTAGGCTGCAAATCACAATTCAATCCATAAAAAGTCTTTTGAATGACCAATTCTTAATTTTTCACTTCAAAAGAACGTACTGATTTATTGTCTGGTATTTCATACTTTAAAGTGGTCAATAATTGATGTTTTACTCGCTTTTTATTACATTTTGAAATTGTAAAGCACTATTTTGTATGACTTTTGTAGATCCATGTGAAAAGAGGGGACCATTTAAAGGGGGCCAGAATGTTGGTTAGAGTTGCCAATAACATCAGCAAGTTTCCATCACGTAAGTTAAACATTTTATTATGACATCATTAAGAGTTATTAGAGGTATTTCTGTACTTTTTGGTTTCAGGTTTTGCATTTGAAGCTTTCTTCAGCGCAGTATTTATGGAAAGATCATATGCTGTAATCCCATTTGCTATAATTCCTCATGGGAACCATATGCATGAATTGGATTTCTGGAAAAAAATATTTTTCTAAAAATATTTTGATAGGCAATTGTGACATCTATTGTAATATTAAAATGTATGTTATTTTCGGGTATTATCCCTACCATGACATCTATAGTCATGAGTGCTTGTTATTTTCAGATATTGTTCTTATCCTGACCTCTACAGTATTTAATTAGATGTCTTTCTCATGTGTGTGCTATTTTTCAGATATTGTCCCCATCTTGACCTCTACGGTGATAGAGTGCCATAGATCTGGTTTGAAGAATTCCTCATTTAGCTACGCAGCTATGTTGCTCCGTCCGGAATACAGAAATAACATTGATCCAAAATATCGCAAGAAAATAGAAGCAATTGTTAGGTAATCAATCATCTTCTTTTATGGTGATGGCATATTGTTTTATTGGGAGCAAATATAGATGATTGACAGGCTCATAAATTCTTTATCTATCCTCTGAGAGTCATTTTCATTTTTTCAGTTATTTTTTTGAGTTATCCTACTTTATAGTAATAAACATCTGAAAAATCTTTAGTTTTCTTTAAAGTATGAACTTTTGGAGTTCTTAGAAAATGGATATAACATGGAATGATATAAGCCAAAAATATTCTAAAATTGAAAAAAAAGTTTTTAATATCTGCTTTGTATTGTACTTTTTATGTCCCCACCACATAGTGTGGGGCCATATTGTCGGCCTAGGCGTGTCCGTCCGTCTGTCTGTCCGTCTGTCTGTCCGTCTGTCCGTCCGTACGTCCGGCAGTTTTCTCCAAAACCGCTACAGATATCACCTTCAAATTTTCAGGGATAACTTATGAGTGCATACAGATGTGGATGAAAAAAAATTAACTCGATACCTACTTCCTGTCGGCCATTTTGAAGTCAAATGCTAAAATCCTTGTCTGCAAACTTAAAGAAAAACGGCTTCACAGTTGCTTTTAAAACTTTAACATCTTGTTCAGCTCACTTCATTCTAGATCTGATTAGGTTTTGGACCTGTTAGCTCAGTCATGTCAGCCATTTTGAATGTTTTAAGAAAAGTTAGCGCACGATAATACTTTGTATCATATAAAATGGTGTTTTTCAGTTTTCATACTTTAACTATTTACTAGTTTTATAAATAATTTCAGGTGTACTTTGTTGTAAAAGCCTATGTAATTATTAACAGTAGTTATATGTGATAATTTTGTAAGAAGAAATCAGCAAAAACTCATAATCACTTTTTTATTGTCGGCCATTTTGGATTTTTCCGTCCTAAAATCTTGTCTGTAAAGTCTTGTCTACGCGTTTTCAGGTGAACCGTTTGGTAGATCAATTTCAAATTTTCAGGGATGATTCTTAGTATGAAAATCTAGATCTGATTAGTTTTTGGGCATTCTGGGTAAATGTCAAGGCAGCCATTTTAGATTTTCCGTCCTAAAATCGTGTCTGTAAAGTCTTGTCTACGCATTTCCAGGTGAACCGCTTGATAGATCAATTTCAAATTTTCAGGGATGATTCTAAGTATGTAAATCTAGATCTGATTAGTTTTTGGCCATTCTGGGTAAATGTCAAGGCAGCCATTTTGGATTTACCGTCCTAAAATCTTGTCTGTAAAGTCTTGTGTACGCATTTCCAGGTGAACCGTTTGGTAGATCAATTTCAAATTTTCAGGGATGATTTTTAGTATGAAAATCTAGATCTGATTTAGTTTTTTGGCATTCTGGATAAATGTCAAGGCAGCCATTTTGGATTTTCCGTCTTAAAATCTTGCCCGTAAAGTCTTGTCTACGCGTTTTTAGGGGAACCGTTTGGTAGATCAATTTCAAATTTTCAGGTATGATTTTTAGTATAAAAATCTAGATCTGATTAGTTTTTTGGCATTCTGGGTAAATGTCAAGGCAGCCATTTTGGATTTTGTGTCCTAAAATCTTGTTTGTAAAGTCTTGTCTACGCATTTCCAGGTGAACCGTTTGGTAGATCAATTTCATATTTTCAGGGATGATTCTTAGTATGAAAATCTTGAACAGATTAGTTTTTTGGCATTCTGGATAAATGTCAAGGCAGCCATTTTGGATTTTCTGTCCTCAAATATTGTCTGTAAAGTCCTGTTTACAGGTTTTCTGGTTAACTGTGTGACGGATCAATTTCAAATTTTCAGGGGTGGTTCTTAGTATGAAAATCTAGGACTAATTTTTTGGCATTCTTGGTAAATTTTAAGGTGGCCATGTTGGATTTTCCGTCCTCAAATTGTGTCGGTAAAGTCTTGTCTACTCATTTTTAGGATAACCATTTGACGGGATCACCCATAGGTGGGGACATTTTGTACACATTTGTGTTCTTGTATTTTCTTACTTGACTAATGACCATCCAGTTTTATAAGGTTATTTCATTGTTGATTTTCAATATGAAGTTTTTTCCAGGGTAGTATGAGAATCATGACAATATCATAATGTCCCTCGGAATAAAACCTGTATTCAGTCCTTCTCAGTAAATAACCTCTACTTATCTGTTAATTCCAGAAAACCGGATAAAACAGAGGAGGAAGAACTGACCAGTCCCTGCCCTTACTGTAAATTTGATCTCCCGGGATCTGAACTTATGTGTCCAGAGTGTAAGAATAACATACCATACTGCGTTATAACAGGACGACATGTTGTCAAGGATGACCTCACAGCATGTCCTAATTGTGACTTCCCTGCTATACACTCAGAGTTTATAAGGTATTTCTTTTTTATTGTATTGTTTTATTGTATTGACCCGTGGGGCCCAGCCCCTTCCCCCTTTTGTGGGCCCTGAAAAAATTTAAAGGCCCCAAAAACTTGTGGACCAAAAAATTTTGAAGGGCCTCAAAAAATGGGCATTTTGGGCATTATTTGGCAATCAATTTTGGCCAGTCAATGTAGCATTCAGTTTGGAAATTTCACTGTAATTACCTGTTTATTAAACTTTTATGCCTATCTATGGAATACTTTTTGTATTTTTCAGTATCCTGGAGACAGAAGACATGTGCCCGATGTGCTCTGAGAAAGTTATGTCAGAAAATGTACAAAAACTGTCAAATGTTGAGAAATACTTGAATCCTGATGAGGGAGATGAATAGATGAATCTCAGATTCTGTTTATTATATATTAATATATGAATAATATATATTAATGTATAAATAATATATATTAATGGTTGAAAGATGGCGAAATGTAAAATTTTGAAGCTGGACTTTATTAGGGTAGTAATCACAGGCCAATCATTCCACAAGCTGCTCAAACTAGTATAATGAACATTACGTATTAATGAACATTAATGAACATTAATGAACATTGACACGAAAGTCATACAGTGTAAAGAATGGTCTCGATCATACAGTCACGCTGTAGGCTATTTGAGTATACGGTGTGTTGTTGATACTACAAGAATGACAAATTATTTAAGATTGTTTTTTAATGAAAATGTTTAAATTTATTGTTTGCATTTTAAATGTACAGTTTGTATGACATAAATTAAACAATGAATAAAAACATATTTATGTAAAATCATATATTTTAAGTGGCATTGTTTGCTTTAGAATTCCCCCAATACATCATTACTATTATGGCTGTCTTAGCTGTTAGTTTCAAACTATTACTTCACGTTCTTAAGACGTGGATTGAGGAAGGAACAATCCACTTGTGATATACAGGACGGGTCAAAAAACGTCCACATTTTTTGTTTTGATATAACCTTTTTGAAAATGCATGGATTTCAATGGAACCTTGGTAGAATACACAGAAATCAATTTTGCAATTGATGAAAAAATTTCCAGGGGTCTTTGAATAATTAATGTAAACAATTACATACACCAGGGGTCCAATTGAAAAAACACCTACTTCAGGATATGTTATTCAAAGCAACAATTTTACTCTGATATTAGTCATGCTTTAAATAAGTATCAGATTGACATATTCAGTCTGTCAGAGAAAAACATTGGATATGGTGTTCAATATGTTGTGAAAACATTTCCAAACAAAAATAACAAGTAAGCTGATTCAGCTTCTGGAAAATCTGTACAGAATGTTTTTATGAGATCTTAATTACATGTATAAGATGGGATGTCTAGATTTTAAATTATGAAGGATTGAAATGAAAAAGCACATTCTACATTTAGAAATTAAGATTAAATCGTGTATACATTGCCGTATCCATTTTATGTACATTATTGTTTATATGTTCATAATCATCACACTTGAATTAGTGGTGTTTACTATTAAATGTCATTGTTGTTCATTTCTAGGTGAAATTGTCACTTTCACAATGCAGTTATTGTTGTCCAGCGTATGTTAAATTTGATGTTGTTACTGTTTTTGATATACTTGCCTTTATTATGAAGGACTGAAATATAATATTATTGTTGATATAATTAGTTTATTTCAGAATTCTTATCTAAAAAGATATATTTTGATCATTAATTTAAAAATGTCATTCATATTATAATTTAATGTATTTTGCAATAGTTTCCTTTGCGTTATTGTATCATAATTACCGTGGTCTCAATAAGTAACAATGAACAGATCGCCCATGTCATCTGCCACAAGCAATTGCCCTGCCTGGCTCACATAGACAGCATTTGGGCCGTTCATACCATCTGCAGCTGTCAGGAGCAAGCTGTCGAACGTTGCATTCGGTGTGAGGAGCTGCACTCTATTGTTAAAATAGTCTCCGACAACTATGAATCCATTGCTGTCTGTGGAAACGCCGCTGGGTCCGAAAAGCTGTCCTTCTCCTTGGCCATACTCGCCATAGCTGAGAACTTCTTCGCCACCAGTGTTGATCACTTTGATGAAATTACCGGGAGAGTCACTTACTACGATGAGATCATTGTTGTCTACCGTTATATAATTAAATCCGTCAGAGAACATACCAGACTGGAAAATAGCGTTGCTATTCCCAGTGGAGGGATCCACAATATACACTGCCTTTGTTGGCATATCAAAGACTACATACTCACCTGTAGAAAGTGTGGCTATACCAGCTAAACTTGTAACAGGTGAGGTAATAGTGATATATCGTAACAGTGTACCATTCTCAGTGTAAACATCGATCCTATTGCCACCAGCTGTGAAGGCCAACTCGCCCTCGGATGTTTGGGTGACAAAGTTGAAGATCACGTTGAGGTCTTTGATCTGTTGGAAAGCGCTGTCGAATATCTTCACAGTAGAGCCACCAAAGGTTGCAACAATATGTCCCAACCGAGTGACTGTTAGATCATATATAGGACTGTTTAGTAAGTGTATCTTCTCAACAATTGGCCAAACTGAAATTATATATAACCAATCGATATAAATACATACAATTCATCATCTCCGAACACAGGGGTACATCATTCTCTTTCCCAGGGGATTCAAGAACAAAAGTGGATGGTGTCTAGACCCCTCCGTCCATGGACGGGGGGAGGGGGTTTCACGGAAACTTCATATATACTAATCAATATAAATAGATAATTACCAATCTAGAGCATTTTCAATACAGATATTATGATGTTGATCAGATCAAATAAATCGACGACATACAAGGCGTTAACTTAAAAGCTTTGTTACAGACGCCAAACGCCGGAAACTGAATGCCGAACACCAACTGCCGAACATCGAATACTCTCCACACATAACAATACGTCACTGCTTTTGGCGGTGACATAAAAAGTAAACAATTTTCATAAAATGAGAATTTTAGATGATCCAATGCTTGGAATCATAATTACATGTAAATTAATTCTCCAAATGCAGTAGGGTCCAAACACCACCCTCTTCCCCAGCTAACACCCCAGTCACATTTGAAGCACGGAGGCCGTAAGTCGACCGCAGATCAATTAAATCAGTGTATTTCTGCGGCGATCGTTGGAATTATAACTCGGAGTTATAATATTTGTTCATTTCTGCGGTGCCCGTAGAAATCAACTGGCTCAACAAGATTGAATCATTATTTGTCAATGTTTTACGATCACTTTTCATTTGATATTACATCCTAGCACTATGAATAAAATTGTCCCGATGTTAATAAAATGAAGAAAGGAAAAGTATTGTATATCACCAGAAATTTAAAATTCACCGTGCGGCTGCCGTGGGAAATGTGACTGCAAAAGTATGAGAGCGCAGAAATTCTACGGCGAGCGTAAAAAGCTACTTGCCGCAGAAATGATAGACCGCACGGCGGCCGTGGGAAATGTGACCTTGGTGTTATTCAAAAAAGATATATTTCTGTAAAAAACTGGATACGCCGTACGGAAGCCGCAAGACGAGCGTAGTTTTTCTACGCTCGCCGCAGAAATACACTGATTTAATTGATCTGCGGTCGACCTACGGCCGACGTGCGACAAATGTGACTGGGGTGTAATTAGGCCACACACTTACCATACGTTAAGATTGCTGATGGCTGCGATGGTTCCCCAATACCGACCCAATTCTCTGCTAGGACACGCACTTCGTAATCTACACCTTTTGTTAGATCCTCAACCAAGTAACTGTTACCAGGGATGTATTCGTTTGTGTTAAGTTGCACCCATGTGTAAAGGATAGAACTTCGCATCTCAATTATGTAGTTTGTGACCTTTACGCCCCCGTCATCTTGGGGTGGTGTCCAAGTAACATTAGCGGTTTTTCCTTGAAGGGATACGACTGGTGTTCCAGGTGGTCCGGGTTTACCTGAAATAATTCCAATAAATACAATAGAAAAGAATCAATCATGTTATCTATCCGGAGAATTATTTTTGAATCTGAAGACGAATACTTACTAAACGAGAAAATTGGCGATGGCTGCGATGGTTCCCCAATGCCGATCTCATTCTCTGCTAGGACACGCACTTCATAAACTACACCTTCTGTTAGATTTCTTATCAAGTATCCGTTATCAGGGATGTATTCGTTTGTGTTTACTTGTATCCATGAGTAAAGGTTGGAACTACGCATTTCAATTTTGTAATCTGTGATCCTTACGCCCCCGTCATCTTGGGGTGGTATCCAGGTAACATTAGCAGTGTTTCCTTGGAGAGATACGACGGGGGTTCCAGGTGGGCCGGGTTTAACTGAAATATTTTCAAAGTATGGAGAGAGTAAAGAACCATGTTTTCCCCTAAGTTCCTAATTCAAAGTGGCAGAAAAGACCGGCTAAATCTTATAAATCAACCTTCAGAAACGATCTTCTCAAAAAACTTAAACAAACATAATACGACGTCGGCTATCGTACATGTACCTTACCACAGGGGCTCTACCAAATTAAGCGTACGTGACAGTTGAACGCGCGGGGTAAGTTACAACACGAGGGTGATGAAAAGAGCACTTAGGTTATCGCAAACAATTCCAAACGATTCTAAGTTGAATTATGAATATTTTCTGGTCATAAACATGGGTGTATCTTTTAGACTCATTCATTATGTTCAAGAAAAGTAATGATAATTTAGATAATCAGACCAACGTGATATTGAAGGGGTAATAGACCCATCAACATACTTTTTCAAAAATGTTGACCTAATTTTCATCAAAAATGCAACCTTTTATTACATTGTTGAATGCATAATTAGAATGTGATTTGAGACATGTTCTATTTCCTTAAAGGAAAAGTTGATTGCTCCGGTGACTTTAAATATACTGAATTTGGATGACCAAAATGAACTGAAACCAATAGATAGCACGACGCTTTTCAATGGAGAATAACATGGGGAACACTTATCTTAAAGCAATTAAGTTTTTCTTTCAAGTAATATTTGATACATTAAAATAAAGAATAGTAATTTATTAAACAATGTAAAAATGATTGCATTTTTGTGAAAATGAGGTCAACATCATGAAAAGTGTGCTAATGGGTTGATTGCTAATAAATATCTCCGAGTTTGTTTGACTTTATTATTACTGTATATGATTGTCTTTGAGATAATGAATGGATCTAGAAGATATGCATGTCTTCATTGTCAGTAAATTGTCACAATATCAGATATAACCGTCTGATATTGTTTGCGATAACATACGTGCTTATTTGAGCAAACTGGTGTTTTCATCGTTTCAGAAAGATCTGGTTTAGTTTCTAGATCTTTTTATAATATAAATGTCTATAATAGCATCTTAGATAATGAACTTGAAAAAGAATTCCGACCATAGTTAAACCTACAAGAACTCAGAATGTAGTATACGGTACGCATCGGTCAATTTACTTGAGATACGGCGTAACGCAAATTCACATTTCCTTGTGTTGTTCCTTACCGTTACCCCGCGTTAAAACATTTCATCGTCCTTGTGTTGTACCCTACCCCGCGTGTTCAACTCTCACGTTTAATTTGGTGCGTACCCTGTGCTTACGGCGTGACATTTTCTCGCTTGAACTCGGTTACCCCTAATGACAATAGTAAGCAAAGAAAATTAACAGTTAGCTTAGACGCATGATCCTCAAATGCTTATTCATCATCACCCAACATTTTGTTAATGCCTTAATCTTTTTACTTTGCATAATGGAGCATGTCTATTTCTTGGACGTGTTCACAAAAGCATTATTCATGCGGTACATGTATAAGTTGTAAAATGCTTCTCTATAATTAATGAATGTTTACCTGCTTTTAAGAAATATATTACTTCATCAGTTGTAGGAGTCGGGGGAGATGTGCTAGGCCCGTTTAATTCACAAACAGCATTGTATTTGTCGTCATCTATTTTCCTAAAATTATACGACCTGCATTCCTTCGTCGATGTACAGGCTGCAGCGCATCGGCTGTTGGTCATCACTTTTAAAGATCTAAGTGGATTTTCTAGTTGTTCTTTGTATGTTTCTTTTACATAAGTTATTTTCACCGGTTGTTGGTTGGAAAGTTTAATTGAAATACGAACTTCTTCCATTTTAATCAATGGAACTAAACAGGCAAAAATAACTATGCTTAGCTTCATCACCATCGTCCTTTATTTATATTTTCCCCTGAATGTTTATTAACCAGTGCGTCTTCTTGAAATCTGGGCAGACGATTTGAGCTTGGAAATAGTAAAGGCCTATATTTGAGAGAGTGGCATAGTTTCCAGTGGAAACGCAGTCTCATCTTTGACGCATGAATCTATCCCACTTATTCAAAAGAGATCACATGTTGTTTTTCATTAGTATAACAACTGACATATCGAGATTGACAGCCACATATTATGACTGTTAATATGTTTTGTTAACTTGTATCTGTGTATTCGAGATCGATCTATGGAATCTTCGGCAGAATGCTGTTGGATTTTGTAAAGGTATTTTTGCCTGCCCAACAATTAAACAGTAAAAATACGGTTTAGACAAATTTCGAGTCAATATATTATGCACTGGCGGATCCAGAAGCTAGCAAGGGGGGGGGGGCACATTGCAAGTTAGAAAAAATGTTGGCCCTTCAAACCAAATATTGGGGCCAAATTTTGAAAATTTAGGCCCTTTTTGATAATTTGGTCTAAAGGGCCAACGTATGACCAGAAATCCAGAATGCCTATTTATTGGGCTATAACAATTTTCTGGGCCTTCCAAGGGGAGTGGGGGAATGGGGGAATGGGTCCCCCTGAATCCACCAGTGCTATATGCCATTTTAAACCCCCCAACTTCTTGGACTTTGTGTTTATGTTTTACATACACGACACGAACACGACAAGAATTTAATAATGATATTACCCGAGACTAACATAAAATGGATCAATGGAAGGCTTCCAATCCCTTTTATGTTAGTCTCTGATATTACTTTCAAAGTTGAAACTATGAATTGACCACTTCCCCTATATTGCCTTGATGTATGGCGTTAGAACAATGGTCAGTATAACTGGACAACACTTCATCCCTTCAAAATAAAACAAAACTTTTTATACACGGAATGAGTTAATGCCACATACTACTCAATCCTTAATTTAGTCACCATTCCACAAACTCAAGCTCCTATACTATAACGCGATGTTTCACAAGGTACTCACATGGAAATAATATTGTGATAAAGGATACAATACAATACAATGCAATACAATACAATACAATACAATACAATGCAATGCAATGCAATACAATACAATGTAATACAATACAATACAATACAATGCAATACAATACAATGTAATGCAATACAATACAATGCAATGCAATGCAATGCAATACAATACAATACAATGTAATACAATACAATGCAATACAATACAATGTAATGCAATACAATACAATACAATACAATACTATGCAATGCAATACAATGCAATGCAATGCAATACAATACAATGTAATACAATACAATACAATGCAATACAATACAATGTAATACAATACAATACAATACTATGCAATACAATACTATGCAATGCAATACAATACAATGCAATACAATGCAATACAATACAATGTAATACAATACAATACAATACAATACTATGCAATGTAATACAATACAATGCAATGCAATGCAATACAATACAATGTAATACAATACAATGCAATACAATACAATGTAATGCAATACAATACAATGCAATACAATACAATACAATGTAATGCAATACAATACAATGCAATGCAATGCAATACAATACAATACAATGCAATGCAATACAATACAATACAATACAATGTAATACAATACAATACAATGCAATACAATACAATGTAATGCAATACAATACAATACAATACAATACTATGCAATGCAATACAATACAATGCAATGCAATGCAATACAATACAATGTAATACAATACAATACAATACAATACAATACAATGTAATGCAATGTAATGCAATACAATACAATACAATACAAGGGGTGTGGACTATACGTCTGCAACGATTTGTTAATGTTAAGATAAAGCAGTCAGGTAAATATTGTTACCATCGGAAGTGGTGACAAATTATTATAATCTCCAACTTTTTGTGGAAAGTGTCCGGCGTTCAGGGGTTGAGTTCGACGGTCAGCGTTTGTAACAAGTGACAGGTGGTGACATTTTGCACATTAATTAATTTCTTTCTAGTTGAAAGCAGAAAAATGACTGGGATGAGTATCTGAATGGGGAAGCTTCATTTGCAAATAATGTAGTTAAAATCAAACTCGTCATAGTGCAAGTTGTCAGTTGTCATAGTGACAGTTCTTCAAAACAATAATTCACGACAATCATTGAGAGGGAGCTTCTGTTGGTTTCGAGAGAATGGAGATAATGTTATATAGTTGTACAGTGGTAAAGTTGTGTTGTCGTATGGTTACTTATATAACAGTTCTTAAGTGGCTGTCTATCATGTCTATGCAGTACGTTTTGTCGAATTGAGATTTGTCTAAAAATCCCTTGAAATACAAGTTTTCCAAAGTCACGTTTTTTAACGTGACTTTGAAAAACTACAATTACTGGTTACTAATGAAATCACATTCAATATAGAACACCAGAAACAAAGAGTCACGTAAATTTATGCTTTAAAAATCTAATAGCATGTGTGATTTATGTGATGTTATTTTAAAGGAACGTGCCAAATAGACAAGTACTTTTAGACATGCTATAATGAATCGAGAATCGAAGTTCAATGATCGGTGGTATATGTTTAAATATAACAACGTCACGACATATATAGTTCAGAGCAATGTATGTTATCAATTAAGGACTTAAGGCCTTAACTCAGTGTATTGTTTGCTGAATCATACCATGAAGGTGTTGTTTTCAAATCTTGGCCGAGCGGGAATGCAAAGTTTAGGAAACAACTGAGTCTTGGGCTTAAATTATTTTCACACATTGCAAATATTTTATAATATTAACAAGCTTACAAGCTAACTTGTAAGCTAACAAGCTTACGGAAAGTTAGAAACTATAAAAACTTGAAATAAACTTTAATCTAAAACGGTGTTTTCATCATCTAAAATGTCCATGAATAAGATGCGTGATAACGGTTTATCGTTCATGTTGAAGACGTAAACCATAGTTGAAGAAGCGTAAAAAATAGTTTGACGATATTGTGAAAAATTCTCATACAAATAAGTTATGTTTTTATCTTCCGTAAAGCGTAAGTCATCATAACGGACAACAGTTCATTGACCTTAGGGAACTACGGTCGGGTTTGGGTAACTGGAAAATGCACAAGGTATTATCAAAGAACTAAATTAAACTGAAAGAGAGGTCCAGTCGAAGGGTATATTGCTTCCGTGCTGCATCGAATATAACATGTCTGGATAATCAATGCATACAAAGGCCAATCAAAAAGTTTCTTACCGCAGGCTCTAGATTTTATAATAAGAAGAGTTGGATGCTCAAACTTTAACATGAGACAGGATAGTGAGTTAGCTTGAAACTGTACGAGTCTCATATAAATTGGTTTATTGATAGTGACACAGAGTCAATACATATTTTCAATGACTAAGTTAGGTGGAGCAGCGTTATATATAAAATATTTGCTGAGTTGTGGTTCTGGAAATTTACCGACATCGTTTACAACCTCTCATATGAAGGCCTTAAACATGTGTTTTTGGATTGGGTGGACAGGTGCATTGCAACTGGGGTTGAATATTTTGAAGGAGAATGAATATTAGCATAAAAAACTGCTTAGTACATTTCTTTTATGAAAAACTCTGCTCCACCTAACGTAATCATTGAAAATGTGTATCGACTCTGTGTCACTGCACTTCCAATGGAGCAATTCATATGAAAGTCAAACTGTTTAAAGCAAACTTATTACCCTGTCTCTATATAAACGTTTGAGCATCCAACTTCTCTTATTATAAAATCTAGAGCCAACGGTAAGAAACTGTTTGATCGGCCCTTGTATAAAAACCACAATATGTTTCGAGACAGGCTGTTTCAAATGTTTTCAAAATAAAAGAAAAAATTAGTTTGTTACAACGGTTTAATCCTTAAATAGCATATTGCGTTTTGTTAAATCGATCTTTCAGCAAAACGTTTGGTATATTGTTTTGTGTGAACAATCCCTGGGATTAACAATTGTCTAGAAAGTCCATTGATGTAGCGTGACTCTATACAGCAGAAGACAAAAGTTCCCGACGAATGAAATCCCAATTGTATATCTATTAGATCTGCTTTATATGAGCTTATTAGCCTTTTGCAGATTATTGACATAGACATAGAAAAGTTTCCATATATTTTAAAGTCTCCCTTATTCTCGTTTTTCATGAGATTATAAGAGATTTTGACTTTTTACCTCTAACGACTAACTTTTCATTCTTTTTAATAGCATATTTGAATTCAATGAAAAGCTTTCCACAATATTAACTTTGATTTATACAGTTATATCATTTAAAGGCCCACTTCGCTTATTTTCAACGTTTTTGAGCAAAATAAAGAATTACATTTGAATTTTATAGTATATCCAATGTATTGATAAGATTCTTATCTTTCATTTGACACCAACAACAGCTCAAACGGACCACATCAAAGCTTACAATAAATTATCAAAAAATATTTTCGATCTGTCAAGCTTTCTATATCAAGTTTTTATTAATGCCATTGAAAGATGGCAGAGTTTTTATAGGATTGTCGCCATCTTTTAAATCAACAGTAATTTAAAACATGCAGTTTGTTTAACATGTGTATGCGTGTCTAATGATCTCTGAACTTCAAATGCTAATTTTCTATGTGAGTTTCTTGGTTCAATATTAAAGCAAATCAAACTTTGTGTCATATTTGAGCGAGTGTGTGAGTAACATGTTTCAATGATTTTTGATTTTTTCTTCTAAATTAAGTATAGTGGGCCTTTAAATCATTTTCCATGACTTTAAAAAAAACTTGGGCCAAATCTACATTGATCGATGCAATGCTAAGATTCTTAAAAAACTTGTTTTTTGGTTTGAGAAACAAAAAATTCATGATTAATCACAACAGGTACATTGACAGGGTCATCACAAAGTATGGCATTCGAGTTTTAGACAAATTGAACCATAACTTTTTGATAAATCATGAAATTAACTGACTATTGCAAGCGTTCAACATCGAAGTGAATGGCCGTCTAGCCCAAGCAAAATGAAGATTGACAAGGGTAACATCTATTATTTCAGCTTTATTCAGTTACTTTGTAGGATACAGAAACAATACTATTTCAGAACAATAATTTCAAAAGTTTAGAAATTATCATGTCTTCAAAGTTTTCGTTCCTACGCACGGGGTCAACGACCTGGCCTTCCCGATACATTTCCATCTCTATTGGATAGTGATCGCTGATAGCTAAAGCCTGAAAAGGAAAAGAAAAGCATGAATATTTCATGTTTGAATTAAAGAAAAATATCCGTCTTAGTCAAGCTACAATTCAAGCCCTTGTGACCTCCATTACTGTGTGAGGAGGTGTTTAGTCAAGTAGTATAGATGAATAAACGCACGGAGCACACCGCGTCTCGAACTCGCAACCTTGTGGTTACGGCGCCCAATCACAGAGGCTTGTAGCTTGACAAGATATCCGTATAAATTACATTTTATGAGTTGCACAATTGATATAATCATTCTACCATTTGTGTGCATGGTTGTTTCTAGATATGATTCATTTTTGAGTGCATTACTCAGTAGAGGGGGGGGGGGGTTACAGAGGCTTGTAGCTTGACAAGATATCCGTCTAAATTACATTTTATGAGTTGCCCAATTTGGTTCGTTCTACCATATGCGTTTTTAGATATGATTCAGTTTTAAAAGCAATATTTTTTTAACAATCTGATGAATAACCCCCCTCGAATTTCCCTCTCAGCTTAACTTATTCCATATGCCAGGCGAAACTTTAGCTGTTCGGTTCCCCATAAGTTTGCAAAAATCACCTTGTCAATAGAGGTCACTTTACTTACCAGTTCGCGTGAAAGGCTATACTCTTTGTCAAAGAGAAAGGGCTTAGCTGAGCCCGCCTTTAAATAAGTTCTCATTTCACTGCTGTTTACGAAGATGAACCTGAAATAATATGGGATCACGCTGTCAAATTTAACAATAGATAATAGGCAAACCATGCTACGCCAGACGAGAACGGGACCGACCACTGACCACCGACTAGTCAATCTCTGCAGTTGGGTACACATGGTCGGTGGTTAGGTGTAGGTCTTTTACACCAAGATGAATATATGCAAAATCACAATTATAACACAATTTCTCAAACACCGTTTTGAGGCTACGGTGGGCCTTTTCGTTAATACGAAGAGAACCTACTAGTTAATTTATGACCCTAAGGGGTACCTCCCCCTTTCGGTCTTACTTTTACAATACCTTTATTTTGCACTTTCAATGATTTTAAGGATATATAGTTTTACTCATGATATACCTATCATATGCGCAGTTTGAGTTGGACACAGTTGTATCAACATCAGCCCCAATCGGCCAGTAGTAGTCACTGGACTTTAAAACTAACGCATCCCTCTCACCAGCGTTCAAGTAGGAACAATCAGCGTTAAAGTCACCCATGAAAACAACCTCATCTGTGTTAAGGCGGTTTATAATGTCTGTTTTGACTTGAGCCAGGGCGTTCAGTTCAGCAAGAGCATCTGATGGTTTCACGTGTATACCAGCTAGCACAAACTGAGGAACGGCTGGAACATTACATTATATCGATGTGGTTTTGAATTTTGATGCTCACTTATAGGAATTACTTACACCGAATTAAAAGTTGAAAATCAAATCAGGAATTTGAAAAACCTTTCTACTAAATTGTCACTTTAACAGTAACACATTTTAAAAGCAAACTTTCACACTGGACAAACCTGCGTTTTCGGCAGAGAATTCCACGATATATGGCTCCCTCTCAAATATATCTTCAGTGTCGTCAAACACGTAGGCATATGTCACCTTTGTTGTGGATAACCTAATGTCAATAGTTCATAAGGTTATTTATTTATTTGGGATACGACGGAAGATATGACTTTAAAAAAAAAAACATAACACTCTCCCACTATGTGTTATACACTATGCTACATCCTTTATCTCGCATTTGACTCATAGTTTAATGTACAGGTACCTACCTATACATATAAGCATATTGTTCTTTGCTGTTTGATCTCCCTAGACGCTCACTGACGACCACAGCATATTGTTCGGGCCTGGCAATATAAATTAAGAAATGAACAAATTGTTCAAGCTCTGCATTTGAACGTGAAATACTACAGGCCTCATCTCAAGCGACATTCACAGGACTTAATGAAAACCATTTACTCAAATCACCATTTTTCTTGATGCAGAATCAGTTTTTCATCATTCTACTTATTGTCTTGTGATACTTCTTATATTTCATATTTTGTCTGGAATCTATTTCAGGATGTAGAACGGAACATCATACCATGCCCCATGAGATTCATCCAGTTCCCAAAAATATAAATATGAGCATTTTTGGTCCACTCTTCATGCCTTTAGTTTGGATATTTGCTACTTATCATCTAATCAATGAAAATCAATGCTCAATCATTGATCTTCTCATTAACTTAATTATGAAATGCAATCATATTCTGAATAACAATGTGTTTTGTACGTTGTTCTTTGTGCCTCACCCTTCTGAGTTTGTTAAACTCAGTAACTTCTCGATTGCATCGCCGGTTGCATCTCGTATCTCCTGGATGAATATGATATCATATCTCTGGATTATCTGAATAAAATATATATGAAATGCGAATATTTAAAGTTTTTTTTGTTTTGAATGAGATATTAAGAATTGGCACAATGATGTACACGATTTTCTCAAAATGAAAAAATAAACTTGTAAACGAACACACATGTACTTTGAATGCAATTCCATTAATATACGCTAACTGTTTTAACAAATAAAGATTTTGATTCATAATTTTAAATGTTTTATTGTTAAGTTTTGGAACTTGTCCATGTATTTAATGGTATATACTACAGCATGCTATTAAACTTATCTTTTCCATCATATGATCCTACACTAGCCAATGAGACTATGGGAAAAATGTCAGTGATATATTAAATTAATTTACTCACTCACCTTTGATAAAACCTCCATAACATCTGCTTTAGATGCCTTTGTATCACCGAATATTTGAATATTGAACGAGCCAATCATGTAGCCTTCTGGTTTAGTCTCGGTTTGAGTCAAAGTTGGGGCCAAGTTTGGGGCCAAGTTTTGTGTGAACTCGATCTCAATCGGGTAGTGATCACTGACCTTCAAGGCCTAATTGAGATAAAAAATACTGATTCAATTTTAAAAGCTATAGCATGATATGCTTGTAAACCATTGGTCGATATTCCCCTTTAAACGTTTCGCAATCAAGAATTATCCTTTAAGCATTGTATTAAAAGTTACCAGATTTTAACAAGCCATCGCAAAGGGAGTCATGTCGCAAAAAGTACATGTTTGCTACCTTAAAGAGGCAGCTACTCAAAATCCTATGCGTACATTTGTGAAAACACCCTCGAATTCCCCTCTCAGCTGAACTTATTCCATATGCCAGGCGAAACTTTAGCTGTTCAGTTACTCATAAGTTTGCGAAAATCACCTTGTCAATAGAGGTCACTTTACTTACCAGTTCGCTTGAGAGGCTATACTCCTGGTCAAAGAGAAAGGGCTTAGCTGAGCCAGGCTTTAAATTAATTCTCATTTCACTGCTGCTTACGAAGATAAACCTGAAGAAAAAGGTGATAACGCTGTCAAATTTGCTCAAAAACAGGTCAAGCAGCGCCAGAAAAGAACGGACTTACATTTAAAGACTCAAAGCCGACCACCAACAAGTCACTCTCAACAACACACGATCGGTGGTCGGCTGTTTGTCTTTTACATCAATATGAATATATATGCAGACTAAGTGGAAGAAAGAAAAAAACTAAAAGAAATAGCAACTAAATGGCTAAAATAGTTTAATAAGGTCGTAATAGAAATGTGTTTAATTGTAAATCAATATATGAAAAACGTAACAGCCTTGTCTGTTATGTCATCTGTTTTGTCTTTCAAATAATACTTGATGTTAATTTCTTTGTTTTTTAGAAGACAAATTTCGATAGGGTAAAACAACACTAAGTATATCTCACTTAACTAGTATAGTATTGAAAACAATTTTAGCCTCGATAAAAAAAATCTTTTAAAAAAATAATACGAAACGTAATACATGAATTTTCTTCGGTCTTTTACACATTTTCCTCAAACGCTGTTGGTCGCAGGTCAATGAGGTCGTCGGGCCAGTCTTTTCCGTAAACAAAATGAGAATCTTTTCGTAAACCTCCTACACCTATTAACTCTCCCATTTGATCTTAATTGTGCTCATGATATACCTGTCATATGCACAGTTTGATTTGGACACAGTTGTATCAACATCAGCCCCAATCGGCCAGTAGTAATCACTGGACTTTAGAACTAACGCATCTCTCTCACCAGCGTTCAAGTAGCTACAATCAGCGTTAAAGTCGCCCATGAAGACAACCTCATCTGTGTTAAGGCGGTTTGTAATGTCTGCTTTGACTTGAGCCAGGGCGTTCAGTTCAGCAAGAGCATCTGATGGTTTTACGTGTATACCAGCTAACACAAACTTAGAAACGGCTGGAACATTATATCAATGTGGTTTTGAATTTTGATGCTCACACATAGGAATTACTTATGGTAGATTGAAAATACCATTTTAAGGAACTGGTGAAAGTAAAACACCGAATTAAAAGTTGAACTAGCTGAAAATCAAATAAGGAATTTGAAAAACCTTTCTACTAAATTGTCACTTTAACAGTAACACATTTTAAAAGCAAACTTTCACACTGGACAAACCTGCGTTTTCGGCAGAGAATTCCACGATATATGGCTCCCTCTCAAATATATCTTCAGTGTCGTCAAACACGTAGGCATATGTCACCTTTGTTGTGGATAACCTGATGTCAATAGTTCATACGATTATTTATTAATTTGGCATACGGCGGAAGATATGACTTTTTTAAAAAAAACATAACGCTCTCCCACTATTTGTTATACACTATATAAGCTACATCCTTTATCTCGCATTTGACTCATAGTTTAATGTACAGTACCTACCTATACATATACGCATAATGTTCTTTGCTGTTTGATCTCCCTAGACGCTCACTGACGACCAAAGCATACTGTTCGGGCCTGGCAATATAAATTAAGAAATGAAGGTAACAAATTGTTCAAGCTCTGTGTTTGAACGTGAAATACTACAGGCCTCATCTCAAGCGACATTCAAAGGACTAACACCCCAGTCACATTTGTCGTACGGAGGCCGTGCGTCGACCGCAGATCAATTAAATCAGTGAATTTCTGCGGCGAGCGTAGGAAAACTACGCTCGCCTTGCGGCCTCCGTACGGCGTATCCAGTTTTTTACAGGCCGCGGTGTCGCCGTAGAAATTATAACTCGGAGTTATAATATTTGTTCATTTCTGAGGTCCCCGTAGAAATCAACTGGCTCAACAAGATTGAATCATTATTTATCAATGTTTCACGATCACTTTTCATTTGATACTACATCCTAGCACTATGGATAACATTTTTAAATTGTCCCGATGTAAATGAAATGAATAAAAGTATTATTTATCAAACAGAAATATAAAATTCACCGTGCGGCTGCCGTGGGAAATGTGACTGCAAAAGTATGAGAGCGCAGAAATTCTGCGGCGAGCGTAGAAATGATAGACCGCACGGCGGCCGTGGGAAATGTGACTGGGGTGTTAATGAAAACCATTTACTCAAATCACCATTTTTCTTGATGCTGAATCAGTTTTTCATCATCCTACTTATTGTCTTGTGATACTTCATATATTTCATATTTTGTCTGGAATTTATTTCAGAATGTAGGACGGAACATCATACCATGCCCCATGAGATTCATCCAGTTCCCAAAAATATAAATATGAGCATTTTTGGTCCACTTTTCATGCCTTTAGTTTGGATATTTGCTACTTATCATCCAATCAATAAAAATCAATGCTCAATCATCGATCTTTCCATGAACTTAATTTTGAAATGCAATCATATTTTGAATAATTATGTGTTTTGTACGTTGAACTTTGTGTCTCACCCTTCTGAGTTTGTTAAACTCAGTAACTTCTCGATTGCATCGCCGGTTGCATCTCGTATCTCCTGGATGAATATGATGTCATATCTCTGGATTATCTGAATGGAATAGATATGAAATGCGAATATTTAAAGTTTTATTTTTTGTTTTGAATGAGATATTAAGAATTGCCACAATGATGTACACAGTTTTCTCAAAATGAAAAAAATGAACTTGTAAACGAACATACATGTACTTTGAATGCAATTCCATTAATATACGCTAACTGTTTTAACAAATAAAGATATATTAATTTTTGATTCATAATTTTAAATGTTTTATTGTTAAGTTGTTGAACTTGTCCATGTATTTAATGGTATATACTACAGCATGCGATTAAACTTATATTTTCCATGACATGATCCTACACTCGCCAATGAGACTATGAGAAAATTACCAGATATTATTAAATTCATTTAATCACTAACCTTTGATAAAACCTCCATAACGTCTGCTTTAGATGCCTTTGTATCGCCGAATATTCGAATATTGAACGAGCCAATCATGTAGCCTTTTGGATTCGTCTCGGTTTTAGTCAACGTTGGGGTCAATTTTGGGGTCAAGTTTTGTTTGAACTCGATCTCAATCGGGTAGTGATCACTGACCTTCAAGGCCTAATTGAGATAAAAAATACTGATTCAATTTTAAAAGCTATAGCATGTTATGCTTGTAAACCATTGGTCGATATTCCACTTTAAACGTTTCGCAATCAAGAATTATCCTTTAAGCATTGTATTAAAAGTTACCAGATTTTAACAAGCCATCGCAGAGGGAGTCATGTCGCAAAAAGTACATGTTTGCTACCTTAAAGAGGCAGCTACTCAAAATCCTATGCGTACATTTGTGAAAACCCTCTCGAATTCCCCTCTCAGCTGAACTTATTACATATGCCAGGCGAAACTTTAGCTGTTCAGTTACTCATAAGTTTGTGAAAATCACCTTGTCAATAGAGGCCATTTTACTTACTAGTTCGCTTGAAAGGCTATACTCTTTGTCAAAGAGAAAGGGCTTAGCCGAGCACGTCTTTAAATCAATTCTCATTTCACTGCTGCTTACGAAGATAAACCTGAAGAAAAAGGTGATAACGCTGTCAAATTTGCCCATAAACAGGCCAAGCTAAACCAGAAAAGAACGGACATACATTAAAAGACTCAAAGTCGACAACCGACAAGTCACTTTCTACAATCGGGTACACACGATCGGTGGTCGGCTGTCTGTCTTGTACATTAAAATTAATATACAGGCAAACTTAGTGGAAAAAAGAAAATAAACTAAAACAAATAGCAGCTAAATGGCTAAAATAGTTTAATAAGGTCGTGGTAGAAATGTGTTTAACAATTGTAAATCACGATGAAAAACGTAACAGCCTCGTCTGTTATATCTGTTTTTTCCTTCAAATAATACTTGATGTTAATTTCTTTGCTTTTAGAAGCTTAAGACCAATGTCAGTATTGTATACAATTTTAGCCTCGATAAAAAAATATATTTCAAAATGGCGTAAAATCACATAGTCATCTTTTTAAAGAATAATACGAAACTTAATATATGAATTTTCTTCGGTCTTTTACACATTTTCCTCAAACGCTGTTGGTCGTAGGTCAACGGGGTCGTCGGGCCCGTCTTTTCTGTGAAAAAAATGAGAATCTGCTCGTAAACGTAAGAATAACACCGTTCACTGATTAACTCCCCCACTCGATCTTAATTGTGCTCATGATATACCTGTCATATGCACAGTTTGAGTTGGACACAGTTGTATCAACATCAGCCCCAATCGGCCAGTAGTAGTCATTGGACTTTAGAACTAACGCATCTCTCTCACCAGCATTCAGGTAAGAACAATCAGCGTTAAAGTCACCCATGAAGACAACCTCATCTGTGTTGAGGCGGTTTGTAATGTCCGTGTGGACCTGGGCCAAGGCGTCTAGTTCAGCAAGAGCATCTGATGGTTTCACGTGTATACCAGCTAGCACAAACTTAGGAACAGCTAGAATTTTCAAGTTCACATAGAAATTAATCATTTATTTATCAATTAAAAACTATTTTTTAAAGAACTTCATTCTAGAAGATACTATGCATGCATTTAGCAACAAAAAAACTTGGTCTTGCCGAAAATCAAAATAAGGGATTTAAAAACCTTTCCTTTCGAACCTTTAAAATACACATTTTTAAACCAAACCATTACTACATTGAACAGTGTCGCACATAAAGACATTTAAAGATCTTAACAAACCTGCTGATTGAGAAGAGAATTCCACGATATATGGCTCCCTCTCAAATACATCTTCAGTGTCGTCAAACACGTAAGCATATGTCACCGATGTTGTGTATAACCTAAAGTCAAGAGTTCAGGTTAATTAATATCCTTTTTGAGACGATAAACAGACATGGCTATTCTTGACATACAATTCCTTTCATACTTGCACGTTTGGCTTTATAATTGAAGAATTGATAAAAAAAACATTTTTTATACATTTCCGAACTGCTGCATTAAAAAAACAATTGAATTCTTATGTTCACAAGCTTTGTTAGGCTATTTAATGGATTATTTACGAAAGTCACTGAAGCAAATTGGAATCATAGTTAAAAGTACCAAAATCTAGTACGTCTTCATAAGTTAAAGGTCATTATCTGGTATTCGTGATTTATGATAAAATAGATACAATTTAAGCAATCTGTAACTCAGAATACAAATTATTTCAAACCGTCCGATGATGTCCTAAAATTATTTTCGACCCGATCAGACAAATATTTTAAAAACATACTGAGGACTGGGAGTATGGCTGGATGGTTTGGGAATGAGGTCAAACACTTGACATTAACACATACTGTTATGCACACTACCTACCTATACATGTAAGCATATTGCTCTTTGCTGTTCGATCTTCCAAGTCGCTCACTGACGACCACGCCATATTGTCTAGGCCTGACAACAGAAATGAAAAATGATATTATAAATAGGTCAGGCTACACGGTTTGAGAAAATGTTTTACGTGAAAATTTCATGAACGTGCTCGAACGATTAGGTCATACAGAACTTAGAGCATGCTAAACCTTTTCTTGTGATCGTCACGTTCTTCAATCAGAACGAGTGACAATGGTACTTAAGACGAGCTGCATGTACTACGATCGGAACTGGTTGTTCTACTCAGTCCAACACCTCTTGTATTTTCAAAAAGCAGACGGATAAATATCAAAATGGAGAATTTGCAATTCAAGATGGGGGAATAATTTTTGTTTATTGATGAACTGGGTCAAATTGAAAGAATATCTGAATATATAAACCATGATAAATGAAAGATAACATCAGATTCAGAAAGAGTGAGATGCACCACACCTCGTGCAAAGTTCGAAACTTCACCTTTGAGGAATCATTCAGTCCACAATGTACTGAATCCAGGGCTTAAATCCTTAAATCTTAGATTGACAAATTTTAATATACCTCCGTTTCTTTCCCTCTTATCAACTTAAAAAATGTAGGATACATTCGTTCTAATACATAATATGAGCCAGGCCACGGGAAAAGGGGTCTTATCACAGATTTTTTCAATATCTTGATTTTTTTGTGATAAGACCCATTTTCCTATGACGAGGCCCATATGATTATTATACTGTTTTTAATGCCTCACCCTTCTTCGTTTGTCAAACGCAGTAACTTTTGTATGGCATCACCGGATACATCTCGTATCTCCTGGATGAATATGATATCGTACCTCTGGATTATCTAAATGAAATATATTACAATGCGAGTCTTAATCAAAGTTTTGCATTAGACATTACAAATTGCCATTAATTTCGTAAAGGTTCTCAAAATGCAAAAATGAACAAACAAACACACTTGGTACCTGAATACTTCTATGAAAGTATTGCCAAATGAAGATATTATTTCTTGATTCATGTTTTGGTTTTTTATTGTTGAGTTAGAAACGTCGATGGATTTAATAGAATATTGTGTAACAGCCTGTTATTAAGCTCATTTTTCATCACATGATCATATATATGTAAGCCAATGAGACTATGAGAAAGATGTCAGTGATATACTAGATTAATTCACTCACTCACCTTTGATAAAACCTCCATAACATCTGCTTTAGATGCCTTTGTATCGCCGAATATTTGAATATTGAACGAGCCAATCATGTAGCCTTCTGGTTTAGTTTTGGTTTGAGTCAAAGTTGGGGTCAATTTTGGGGTCAAATTTTGTGTGAACTCAATCTCAATAGGGTAGTGATCACTGACTTCCAAGGCCTAATTGAGAAAAAGATATAAACGCAATCATTTGAACGTAAGATTCTAGATTTTCTCTTGATTCTTATAATGGAAGGAAGTTGTTGTGAATGTTTAATCACTGCAGACAGAGGATGATGGAATCTATATTTAACTATTCGTATTCAAAAAACATATTTTACTTATCTACATTTATATTACTAATAAGCTTGAGAATCCTTAATTGATAGTTATATCTTGAACTTTATTATTTGTATTAGTATAAAATTATTAAGTATTCATATGTATGTATGTTTGTAATCATATGTGTAATTATTTCCGGTGGGTAAATAAACATAAGTGAAGAAATAAAGATGTAGCGAAATGGCTGCGAAAGCCAGAAATGAAAAAAAAAACGTAAAAACGCTTCTGAATCAAATCCATGTTTTTGTCGAAAACTCAGAAGTATTACTAGTTGCTTTAACATTTTTGCGAGGGAATCTTTTGGGGCCAAATATCCTCGATTTGACACTGCTCCAAATTAGAGTAATTCATGTATGTGGGATGACTTAGCTTTCGGGACAGTCTATTTTTTCCCGATCACTTTTTTAATCCTCAATATTTTTGCATTCAAATTAATAAAAAGACATAAATATGGTCCCTTTTCAGAAGCTGGTCATCATATTTGACAAGCTGTTACGATTTAATGATTATTTATACCGGGTTAGTGGTTTGTATATTAAGAATGCTTTGAAGTTCATCCTGCGAAAAGTTCGCAAAAATATATCTAACATCAAAAATGTTGTAAGAGACAATTATGACTTGTCCTTTTCAACTTTTATTAACCGGAACCTCATTAACTTCTGTGCCATACCTCATTATATTCAGAAGTTGACCACCCACCAACTTACGAATTCATTGGTCAGACCGTATTCCTGGTCAAAGTGGAATATCGAAGTCGACCTCCCATAATCAAAAAGCCCAGGGCTGGTTAATATGAACCTTAACATAAAACACAATCATTTTAATAGCAACGAGAACCACAAAGAATATTGTTAATTTTATAGGTTTAATGTTACTGTGATAACCCAACAGATTTACTTATTTGTTTGCTTATATTCAGTAATGTCAGTTCGATGTCTCACCACTGTTGGGTTTCACTTAATGTTGTTTATATATTCACATACATGTTTAGATCGTTATTATCCACTAAAGTGTCCTATTCTAGTAATTTGTGGATATTGTTGCTCCCGTTCGTACTTTTGGCGTAATTCTCGAACTATTCTTAGTTCCGTTCGTACTTTTGACGTAAAAAGGTCAAGGTTACTGTCGTAGTTTTCTGGTCTAAATTTCACCCTGTTTACTATGTTTTATCGTTAATTAAGTAGGATATGCACCTAATACGTAAATTAAGCTCTCTATAGGTAGTTTAAACTTTGCAATCGGTCCCGTATTGGTGAAGTTATGGCCGTTTTTGTGGATTTACATAAGTTCGTAATTTATGTAGGGCGCTGCGCGTGCGCAGAAGACAGGTAGCCATCTTATGTTTTTCGAGTAAATCATTCGTGATTTGCTCCGCTATCTTCACTCAAAATGTCGCTATTGTTGACCGTCGAGGTGTCTAAACTGTCTCACGATTTACACCAGTAAGTCGTCCGTCCACATGAGGTGATTACAACAGGATCTGCACGAAGTCTGACCCCCAAATCAGGCTTGAAGTTTGAGGTTCACCCCTCCCGCATGACTTGCAATTGTCAGCACGTCTGTCAAATGGCGAACTACATACCACCAACAACCAACCACTCATATGCTGATGCAAATACCTCATGTGGATGGACACCCTACACCTCATTTCAAGCTGTAAGCACTCTATGTATCGAGTGTGACAAATTGGCAAGTATTACATTTGGATTTGGATTTGACTTGTTAATGCAAAAGCACATTGGAATAATTTGACCTAGATTTGGTTTGCATTGTTGTTTATCAATACCCAATTTGATCATGTCAGTTTTCTTCATTGTTGATGATCAATACCCAAATTGATCATGTTTTGGTACACTGCAAACTACCCTGTGCAGCTGTATGTTAAGTAATGTCTCGCTTGTATGTAGTCGGCTTATGGAGTTCAAGTCTTACTGTTGGGCAACACTTAGTATCAGATAGATGATTGTAATGAGTTAAACCCTGTTGGAACCCTGGTTTATGGTCTAGCCTGATACTAGTTTTGAACTTGAACTGTTCTATTGTTTATCGATGGTTGGAGTGTCGGTTTTATTGTATTGTTGCGTTAAGGTCGTACTATAATTTATATACTGTATGCATGTATGGCTTTCCCCAAAGCCACCCTAGGGAGATACAATTTGTTGCACCCAATATTACCAAAGGGAATACAAGTTGTTGCACCACCCTTATGTTGTGTCATGGAATATTATAAGTTGGTGATGTACTACTACCAACTTGGGTATACAGTTTCACTCATGTTCATGATTGATCACTTACTACATAACATGCACCCACTTGTTACATAGCATGTACCCACATGATGTGTAATCGCACCCATATGTCATGTAGCACGCGTCGGCATGTTTCATAGCAGGCGCCCACTTGTTGCGTGACATGTATATCCATGTCATGTGATTGCACCCACATGTTATATGACATTAATTTTCCTAGCATGTTACATAATGAGCAGTCATGTAAACATTGTTATCACTAATTGGTATGTTGAATCAAATGTTGTACAAGTTATTGTTATAGTCATTTTTTGGTATGTTTCACCCAAGCATGTGAATACGTAATGTTACGTTGATATTTCTAGTCGGTCTTACATTTTGTCAGTGGTTGTAATTAGGTTCTTTGCGTCATGTCGTACACTCCAAGGTGCCAGTTGTTGTTGTTCTCATTGTCAAAGGTTGTTGCAAAGTCATGGTAATACATATTGCTATGTATGTTTATTTGGTCACCAGTTGTGTCACACACTCTCCCAGATGAAAGTATTGTATGTTATATGTGTAGTTAATGTAGGATTTATGAATATGAGCTCAATAATGTGTAATTGCAGTATCAGCTTCTTGGTAATTATGTAATCTTACTAGAGTATGTATTGTACTTGATAGGAAATACTATGTATATTATCGTAACCACATATCAGGGATCTTAATTGCATAACGATCCACCTTTGTGCGTAATCCTTGAATATGGGTACCTGTTGCCATTGAGTAACGCTGCACCATATATCATCCATGTGTCACAATATCAGAACTTTTATTCATATATATATATATTTCCACACTATGTGTGTAATTGTCATAATTACTATACTCACTTTATAATCATAGTGTAAATAAACCCATAATCATGTTATCATTTATATTTAAACTAAATCATCTGTTTTGTCAGTTAGGTGTATGTTTTATGTCGCAGTGCGACATATTCAGCCATTTTGCCATTCAACCAATCATGTCTGTAAAACCCTTGAGAGCATATACAATCATAACACGGACCCAGTAATAATGTGACGATTCTTTCACTCACTCATAACCCTTTAACGCTACCACTACCTTTCGCGCTTACCACGCAGAGTGAGGGTCGTTACATTTTGGTGGCAGCGGTGGGATATAATCAGTTGTGATTGGCTCTCCTTCAATGCTGTGACCCAAAATGGCAGAAACTATGTATATGGCAATATAAGTGTTACAAAACAGTTTCCAAGAAATTGTTCAAAAATGTGTTCCTCAGTGCATCAACTCAAAAATCCATTGGGACACTCATTTATTATGTCAGGAATAAAGCTGACAGTTACGTTACTCAAACCACTCTTAAGGTTGTCATATTGATAACTTTTGCGACTTAGTTCAACTGGGATGTGTGTGACCCGTAAATGTGTTTTAAGGAAAAAATACCAATTTCCTTATCGTGACAATGCCTTCTCTGTGCTCTTGGTGTGTTCTTTTGCTGGACATGTGGTTAGTTGTGATGTCTTGGTCATACCGTACGTACTGACCTAGAGTGACAACTCCAACGGTGGGCCACAGACCAGTGTTCCTACCTAGTGGAGTAAGCTGTATTTACAGGTAACTTCTTCTGCAAACCAGCTGAAGAGGTTCCTCACACAGTTGTTATTCACCTCATTGCATCTCACCACTTGACAGGTTCAGTTCACGGTTTGAGTTCTGAGCCGTCATTGTTACTATATCTAGTAGTAGAGAAGTTTGTGTTGTCATGCTCGACAGGCAACTCATAATGTCTCTAAAAATGGTTCCAGTTAGCCTAGAAGAAATTTGTAAAAAGTAAGCAGCTAACTTTTTGCAACATGTTGCTTGAGCCAATGGATCCGGTGTTTGTAGTACTGGTTGTGTCCGATATGCCTTTTGGCGACATAACTAGTCTACTCCAGCAATGGCCAGGGTCTCAGGTCATCAGATTGAGTATAAAAAGTAAAAAGACGCCAACTGTATGTATGTTACCACCAAAAATAGAGTTGGGCTTGAGTGATTAGGTGAGATGAAGTGTGATATTTAAATGGACAACCTGATAAGCTGGATTAGGTTGTAGGGTTACGACTCTTATGGTCTCATATTCTGGCATATATGTGACCACCGTTATGATCACAGTTTGTTGGTTTGTTGCCCCTAACCAACTTATCTGTTTTCATGATTTCATGTTTTATGGTTGAGTCATAACCCTAGATGACCTGGAAAAAAGAGATAACCCTGTAGCACATGAAGTCTTCTAGAAGATGGACTATGTTATTTGCGAGGCTTCATGACTTGTAATGATGTACACCCATGTTGTAAGAATGTTCTTATTCCAGTAGTCATGTGGGTTTGTGGTGAGCCTTCATGTTTCTATCAATGGACTGAGACTTTACTCTATGCGTATATCTATTCAGTGTGCTGCAGTAGCTGAATCAAGACAATCTTACTATGTGTCCGTCACATGTGATAAACTTATGATGCTGAGTTTGATGAAGGAATTGATTGTCCCGGACACAGCGAAGTCCCCAACTCTAACGATGTCAGATGGAGCAGCGGACACAGCAGAGTCCCCAACTTTAGTGATAATCAACCAGCACCTTTGCTGATGGACAATTTAGTATTAATGTATTGTAAAGTTGAATTTAGCCTATTTATATATATATCAGTTTGAACTCCTTTATCGATTCAGCCTCATGTTCGAGGACGAACACTTTTCAAAAGGGGGAGTAGTGTGATAACCCAACAGATTTACTTATTTGTTTGCTGATATTCAGTAATGTCAGTTCGATGTCTCACCACTGTTGGGTTTCACTTAATGTTGTTTATATATTCACATACATGTTTAGATCGTTATTATCCACTAAAGTGTCCTATTCTAGTAATTTGTGGATATTGTTGCTCCCGTTCGTACTTTTGGCGTAATTCTCGAACTATTCTTAGTTCCGTTCGTACTTTTGACGTAAAAAGGTCAAGGTTACTGTCGTAGTTTTCTGGTCTAAATTTCACCCTGTTTACTATGTTTTATCGTTAATTAAGTAGGATATGCACCTAATACGTAAATTAAGCTCTCTATAGGTAGTTTAAACTTTGCAATCGGTCCCGTATTGGTGAAGTTATGGCCGTTTTTGTGGATTTACATAAGTTCGTAATTTATGTAGGGCGCTGCGCGTGCGCAGAAGACAGGTAGCCATCTTATGTTTTTCGAGTAAATCATTCGTGATTTGCTCCGCTATCTTCACTCAAAATGTCGCTATTGTTGACCGTCGAGGTGTCTAAACTGTCTCACGATTTACACCAGTAAGTCGTCCGTCCACATGAGGTGATTACAACAGGATCTGCACGAAGTCTGACCCCCAAATCAGGCTTGAAGTTTGAGGTTCACCCCTCCCGCATGACTTGCAATTGTCAGCACGTCTGTCAAATGGCGAACTACATACCACCAACAACCAACCACTCATATGCTGATGCAAATACCTCATGTGGATGGACACCCTACACCTCATTTCAAGCTGTAAGCACTCTATGTATCGAGTGTGACAAATTGGCAAGTATTACATTTGGATTTGGATTTGACTTGTTAATGCAAAAGCACATTGGAATTATTTGACCTAGATTTGGTTTGCATTGTTGTTTATCAATACCCAATTTGATCATGTCAGTTTTCTTCATTGTTGATGATCAATACCCAAATTGATCATGTTTTGGTACACTGCAAACTACCCTGTGCAGCTGTATGTTAAGTAATGTCTCGCTTGTATGTAGTCGGCTTATGGAGTTCAAGTCTTACTGTTGGGCAACACTTAGTATCAGATAGATGATTGTAATGAGTTAAACCCTGTTGGAACCCTGGTTTATGGTCTAGCCTGATACTAGTTTTGAACTTGAACTGTTCTATTGTTTATCGATGGTTGGAGTGTCGGTTTTATTGTATTGTTGCGTTAAGGTCGTACTATAATTTATATACTGTATGCATGTATGGCTTTCCCCAAAGCCACCCTAGGGAGATACAATTTGTTGCACCCAATATTACCAAAGGGAATACAAGTTGTTGCACCCACCCTTATGTTGTGTCATGGAATATTATAAGTTGGTGATGTACTACTACCAACTTGGGTATACAGTTTCACTCATGTTCATGATTGATCACTTACTACATAACATGCACCCACTTGTTACATAGCATGTACCCACATGATGTGTAATCGCACCCATATGTCATGTAGCACGCGTCGGCATGTTTCATAGCAGGCGCCCACTTGTTGCGTGACATGTATATCCATGTCATGTGATTGCACCCACATGTTATATGACATTAATTTTCCTAGCATGTTACATAATGAGCAGTCATGTAAACATTGTTATCACTAATTGGTATGTTGAATCAAATGTTGTACAAGTTATTGTTATAGTCATTTTTTGGTATGTTTCACCCAAGCATGTGAATACGTAATGTTACGTTGATATTTCTAGTCGGTCTTACATTTTGTCAGTGGTTGTAATTAGGTTCTTTGCGTCATGTCGTACACTCCAAGGTGCCAGTTGTTGTTGTTCTCATTGTCAAAGGTTGTTGCAAAGTCATGGTAATACATATTGCTATGTATGTTTATTTGGTCACCAGTTGTGTCACACACTCTCCCAGATGAAAGTATTGTATGTTATATGTGTAGTTAATGTAGGATTTATGAATATGAGCTCAATAATGTGTAATTGCAGTATCAGCTTCTTGGTAATTATGTAATCTTACTAGAGTATGTATTGTACTTGATAGGAAATACTATGTATATTATCGTAACCACATATCAGGGATCTTAATTGCATAACGATCCACCTTTGTGCGTAATCCTTGAATATGGGTACCTGTTGCCATTGAGTAACGCTGCACCATATATCATCCATGTGTCACAATATCAGAACTTTTATTCATATATATATATTTCCACACTATGTGTGTAATTGTCATAATTACTATACTCACTTTATAATCATAGTGTAAATAAACCCATAATCATGTTATCATTTATATTTAAACTAAATCATCTGTTTTGTCAGTTAGGTGTATGTTTTATGTCGCAGTGCGACATATTCAGCCATTTTGCCATTCAATCAATCATGTCTGTAAAACCCTTGAGAGCATATACAATCATAACACGGACCCAGTAATAATGTGACGATTCTTTCACTCACTCATAACCCTTTAACGCTACCACTACCTTTCGCGCTTACCACGCAGAGTGAGCGTCGTTACATTACTTTAGTAGAGCTTTACATGTTGTGTTACAGTCAAGGTTATATCAGCTAGATATACAAAGGAAGTCTTCAATGGATCACGTGTTCAACCTTTGTATGATTTTGACAAATCATCAATTTTGACACATCGAAAAACGAATTGTTTACATTTTGTAGTAATTGAATATCCGACTTATGTAGACACACTTCCCAATGGAGACCTATGGAAACTAAAATCGAAGATGGCCGGAGATTGCCGATGATGGCCGATGATAGCCCTAAAACAAACCCTAACTGAACTAAAACCTTCACCAGGAAGAATCGGAATTTAACTCGACCATCTTCGATTGCGATGGATCTGTTATATCCATATGGAGAATAATTTGCTCACCTATCGTATGCGCATGATGTTGTTAAGCTTATTGTAGTGTCATCGTCATCGTTTATCAACCAATGATATTCTGGAGTTTTACGTAAAGCAAGAGCAGCTTTCTCAGTGTTGGTCACATAGCTACAATCAGCGTTTAGATCTCCGAGGATCATGATGTTTTCAGTAGGATTTTCTGAAAATCGATCCTTTATTTGAGCAATGACAGGAACGAGGCCGTCAAGCTCAGCTACGGCGTCTGTAGGCTTAGTGTGAAGTCCTACCAGTGTAAAATCAGTTACATCTAAAATGAGATCATGTTTATATAATATCTTAGACAACGCTGTTTAAAAGATCAATTTGAAATTGATTCTTTTACAGATTGCTAGCCGTTTATTTATAGAGGTGTTCTACATGAGGTACCCGACCGTATTATAGTGACAGTATAAGGGACCAACATGTATAAAATCGACACGTCAACCTATACGTATAAATCGCCCATTTAAAAATGCATGAAGTTTTATCACTTAAATATTAATCAATTGATTAGAGTGTTAGTTTTGACTCTACTGCAGCGTGTAGTATGCCATTGATAGTTACATGTATTTAGCTGGTTTTCTATGATATTTATAAACAAGCTCGTTTCGTAAGATATTTTGAGCTAAAACATGTCCGACATACATCATTTTCTTCAGAAAGCATTATAGTGTGCATCGAAATCAAAATTGCCACCATAGTATTCAATAGCAAGAGTTTAATGATTCCCAGTGACACCAACGTGAAATTGCAAATCTCCTGTTCTAAACACGAAACTGAAGCTGATCGGGAATCTAAAGTAGACTAAGTAGCGCGTGTTTTGTATGCGCGCTATACACATTACTATATTGATTTATGTACTTAAGGTTGTGAAAAACATTATAAGCTAAAACTCTCTATTTACAGATTTAACATTGCCAAGATATAGAGTGAGGTTTAAAGTAGGTAAACAACATCCATCTTTTTAGAAATCAAGCGTCTCCATTAGTGGAGGTGTTTCTAAATTGCTGCATAATGCGAATTCGTCAATATTGCAAAACACACTTAGAATCTTTAGCAACCGATTACATTAGTTTTTTCTAGGGCGGGGGGGGGGGGTATATTTCGAATGGAAATGTTTCACTTACGCTTTCCGGGAGCTTCAAATCGTACAATATACGGCTCTCTTTCAAAAATATCTGATAGGTCATTAAAGACGAACTCATCGGTCACATATAGGTCATTCCTGGAACGTAGAACACAGAATAATTGTTTTTCGCTTTTTGAATAATTAACATAGCACAATATAACTAGTATTATTGTTTAAGACCTGCGGTAAAGGTGGTATGCATATCAGAATAAGAAACCGCCTATACGTACCTGTATAAATAGGCATATTGCTCCTTGCTACTCGTCCGACCTAGTCTTTCGCTCTGTACCATAGAGTAATACGTAGATGCCCTGGAAGCAGGAAAAGGCAAGGCGAATAAATCAAAGAATAGAATATAGCACGGAACGTAGCATGTACTCAATGGAAAATCTTGTACATTTTCAGAAGTATGATAAGCATATATTCGGAAAATCATTTACAACATTCGGGAAATTATCACTTGGAGAGAGTTCAGACTTCGTACATACCCTTCGTTGATCATGGCTAATAGATCAAGTATAGCAGTCTCTGTAGAATCTCGAATCTCTTGTATAAGGATTACATCATATCTGCGAACAATCTGAAACGTTAAGAAGACGTCGTGCACCTAGTGTTTTAGATTTGCTTCTCATGCTGTTGTAATAATATTGCTATTTTACTCCTTACTGTGTTTTTGATGATCGACGGAAATATTAAAATTCACAAGGGGAGGCCAAAAGTAGTGAGGTGTTCCCAAAATTACTTGTCATGTTGTGCCACTCATTAATAATTAGTCAGCATTATGCTTTTAGTCAATAGGCTATCCAATCAATTAGCAGGATATTATCACGTGAACAATAATCTCGAGCACATGTTTGATAGAACCGCGCATGCGCAAAAAAATGAAATCGTGGAATTGTAAATCGTTAAAATATAAATAAATACGTTTACAAACCCGTTTAAGTATCTCCATGACTTCCAAGTTTTGTGCCTTGCTCTGTCCAAATATCCGGACATTAAAGGCAGCTATCTTCTGTCCTAAGATACAATGGGACGGTAGCAGAACCACTAGAAATACGAACAGTCCCTTCCAAAACATCTTCTCCACTGTTCGCCCATGTATTCCAGGTACTCGTCACGTTCGGTTACTTTACTGCAATGCGCTACAAATGCTCTTAATGTATTCAAGTTAGATGTTAAATTGCACATTCTGATACTCAAAGCATCTTTCTGTTTCACCCGAAACATGATCTCAGGGCTGAGAAGAAATGAGATGTCATGGTTTATCATGATGAATATTACATGACTTCTAGTCAACTCGGACCCTAATTACCTAGACCCTATAGTTAAGGGGGCCTTAGCCAACTTAGGATTTTTTAGATCTCAAAGGTTGGGTTAAGTTAGATGTAAAGAAAGTTACCAAGTTACTACGTCAGACATCCTATTCCGAGGATCAGATACGAACTCACGTCAAATTGTAGATCACCTAAAAATTTGTTCAATTTGAACTAACTAAAAATTTGACGAATGATTTCGTGCCTGTGTAACACTACAATCCCTTGCTGTGAAGCTTTTCCGTCAAATGCTTCATAACGAAGCCCGCTGTGCAAATCTGCTGTTAAACGCTTAAAATATCCCATTTGGGAATTAACATAAGGACATTGCTCCCTTTATGTTCACAACGGAAAACTGTTTCATTTCGTCGCTGCAAACCGTATCTTATTTTCAATGTGCAATAGTACGTTAAATTTACAAAGTGGTGCCAAAAAGCGTGTCATTTTATCAGCTATTTCTTTTTTGTTTTAAGGTGATTCTTTTTTCAAATTTCCAATCACATTTAAAAACGATGATGCTTTTTCTTGCTTTTGCTCTTGCTTCCTTCCAGTTAAGTTCCTTCGACAATCGGCCTACACCCGACTCAACTCGAAAAGTTATGATAACATTTGTATTACAATTGAATTAACAGTAATGTGGTTATATTTTTGTATATACTTAGTAAAGTCATACTTTAAAGACTCTTATGAAAAACTTGATTTTACATTTTGAAGCCTAATATTTAAATCTTATTTTGCAAATTGGTATACAATCATCGATTAGCGACAGTCTGATCATAGTGAGTCATTGCTTTAATGCAATGATCGAATATGAATTGTAAATCGAAAAACCAAGAAAAATTCGAACACAGTGTATATAATTGTAGGGCTCTCAAAAATTCCCTGGCAAGACTTTATTTAATAATTATTTTTTTATAAATGCGTACAAGATTACATGGTAACGTTAACACCAATGACCATAGACGTTTTCCCAGACATGATATATATAAATTAATAAGAGACAACTTCATAAGATTTAAAAATCTACAGCTATAAATTAATATTTTGAATTAAAGCTATGAATTAACATTTTGAATGGTTCGTAAAAATCGAAAATGATTTTAATCTAATGGTACCTTTAATAATACGGTAAACTTACTTTGGTTTCACGGTGCTTGCTCCTCAATATTTTATATAAAATGGGTATGGGCCTCATATAGTCGAGCAGCTTAAGTGCTCGAAAAAGTAAATATCGTACATGCGTTCCGTTGTGAATAAACTATACGTCAAATAAAACCATCCAGCTACTTTTTGCCTACTACGTTCATTGATACACACATTGTATAAATACATGTAAATGTAGAGTAAACAGCTTGCTGTGTTTTAGGTTGTGTTTTGTATTTGAAGGACTTCTAATTCAAGGCTTGCTGATTTCGTTTTTGATGCCAAGTACACCATTGCAAAATATTGTGTCAATTCGATTTTTGGCTTGTTTGAAATATCGTCATATATGAGCGCATGATTGTTTAGAATACTATACGCACAACCCTGGTTGTTACTTTTGTTATCTAATGATCATCTTCTATTATATCACATATTTTGTAAGGACCGTTAATTGCAATTTAATTTATTTTGTAAGATTTAGAAAGTTTTCTTTAACTTTTCAAATTTTTGAATTTGGTGGCAAAATATTTTTCAAGCGAATAGTGCGAAGACCCTGTAGCCCCAAGCGTTCAAAGTCAATACCGGCCGATTTAAAAAGTGAAGTGAACATTACTGCAAGTCGAGACAGCTGCGTCTTTTTAGCTCACTTAGTGAGCCTATGGGATCGACCAGGCGTCCGTCCGTCCGTTGGTCCGTCCGTCCGTCAACATTGGCCACACAAATTAAAACTGCTATTCGGATTGAGTCATATCCACATTCATTTTATGCATATCCATAATGCCTATTTGATCAATCATTGCCATTTCCCAAGTTCGCCCGGTTTCCTGATTTTGACGTCAAAGTCAAATTTTCTGTAAATATGAAGGTTCTACACTATGTGAACACAGGACCTTTGGTCCTTTATTTGCCTTTGGGGGGACGTTTTTCGTGGTGTTTAGAATTGATTTAGGTAAGAAACATGTGCATGGCTAGCGCCGTTTTTTTCGACTTGAAATCTAATGTGAGCTTCAAAATGTTTAGATTGAAAATTTCTGCTGTCCGAGTAAGACGGAATAGCCACACTTCTCCGGAAACAATGTCAAAGGAACCGATGACGTCATTGATAACTAAAAATGGCGGCGTTCGTAGCTGTCTAGGTATGGGTACTTTGACCTTCAATTACACGTTAGTTCAAACCTTATATGTCATATAAGTGTTATGAAATGATACTTCATTATAAGTAGTCAGTGGGTATAAATCAAAGCATGAAAGTTGGCATTCCCTTTAAGTCAAACTGTGACTAAAATTTGGAGATCATTTTCATTTTTAACTGTATAATGAGCCATGCATGCGTGTCAGAAAAAATGCGTGTTAAAAATCAACAGAGAAGGCACTTGAATCAAAAGACAGTGTGATAATGGCAGACATAAACTTTGCAGTCGGCGGTATATTTGATGATATAGCTGTCACGAAAAGAACTCCTAGAATCATGAAAGATGATCTTGGCGAACCATTCCCTGTGCACAGAATAGATGGATTTTCTTAGCCAAAATTTATCCGACAAACAGTTCATAATGACATGACAGATTTTTGAAGTCAGGGATACTGATATATGGTTCTTTTCATACCCTAGGTCTGGTAAGATACAATTTATTATTTGGCTGTTAATAAAAATAAGAACAATCAAGGGGAGATATTACATATTTTGGTTTTATAAATCGGATCAAGGTAACCTGCCTTGTCTTTGAAACGACAGTTAACAATTGCAATTGTAAGGACACTTAGTTGGCAAATATACCAAATAAATGCAGCTAGTCATTAGTTTACGCCGATGTGAATGATGTGAATAAAGTAGAGTTCACGACTGAAGTCTATAACATTGTTGTCATAATTTAACAAATGGAGCATTCAGTCTATTGCCAATATGGGCAACAAGTTCATTGCCAAGAGTAAAATGCAATAGACCAATACGCGATAGACGAAAACATGGTCATTAACATAAATATCTCCCGCAATGCATCGCTTCAAGTGGGACAAATTTTTATTGGTCCGTTGATTAAACCAAATTCTCGCAACCTTAAAACCATATTTTTGCGTATTGTCGGGACGATAAAGTTCACATTAATATCAAATTAAACCCTCACAATTGATATAAGTCAAACATATATAAACATGAAAGCAAGTCCATGTTACGTAGACGAGAACTTGCTTCTTGTTTCATATCGAGTAACGGATATCAGCTTCCGGAAACTAAGTGACGTCACGGTAGAACATTTCATGATTATCGTCAGTTTCGAAAAATATTCGTGAAAACTCTTTGCAGATTGTCATATGAACCTATATTTTTATCGATTGTGCAAATATACGTGAAGAGGACCCTGTATATTTCAATGGGGAGAAAAACCGGATGTAAAAAATCTGTTCCCGGAATTTGAGCTCTTCAACACGGGAGGTGAGAAAATTGTTGTCATTCTGAACTATCGCGTATAAATCTATTGTCATCGGTAGTTAGGCAGTTGTGTTTTGAAGTCCATGGATCCCTCGAATAAACACTCATTTGACTCACGTTATTTTTCATCTTCTCTATACCCCTGACTAACTTAACCCATTCTCTGTATTTACAAAGGGCAGCATTGGACCTTGAATATTGTATACAGACTGACGCATGACCTACAAGAGGCCCCTAAGGGTATGGAGGAGTTCTGTATGCCTGAGTTAGTGACAAATGATGTTACAAGTACAAGTAAGAACATTAATGTACATGAGTATAAGTGTGTCTCCCATTCATGAGAAGGATTTCAAAACTTTACGACTTTAGCGTACCATTTCTGTTTTTTGTAATTTTTCCTCTGAACTCTGAGGATTTCCTTATTTTCATTATTACCTTTATGTAGACTGCCAATATGATTTGTTGTCGTATTAAAGTCGATTCTAGTTGGTGCTCTTAGGACCCGGTATAGACGCCGTTTCGGTGACAGTAGAGGGAATATCACACTTGTACTTCGGTGTCATTTTGGCATTGAATTGATGTCGGTTTAACTTACAAACGTTAATACTTTCCAGCAAATGTAAGGCGATCAACCTTGTGCGTCACCCGAAGGATGTGGCATATAGTTTATTCAAACATCAATCGACGGGACTTCTTCATTGCTATAACTGCACATGGGAAGGCTTCCTGCCTATGTGGCTAAGAGGAGAAGGTACCAACTCAGAATTCATTGTAATGTATGGGGTTGAAGATACAGCACTTTAAATCATGGTCAAAAGTCATAGTAAAGCATGTAAACGTAGATATTTTTAGTGTTTTTGAAGAACTTTTAAATTAACATTTTGTATTTCTTCCCTTAATCATATTTTGTTGCATTCAATATATTTCAAATATGTATTTTGGTAAATAAGAGTTTCAATTAGAAATATAGAATAAATGATTCATTTACAATTTACATTTTCTAATTGTTTTGTATCTTCAACATACTTACCCAATACATATTAACACTGGACAAACCTATATTTATAGCGGCATTGAATGATTGGTTCAAGCATGTACAAGAATACAAGAAACTTGCAGAAAATGTTGATATGCTGTTCCTTACATATGAAGAAATAAAAAATGTAAGTATATATGGTGTTTTTTTAATATAAGGAGATTTAAAGAGTGCATTTTTAAGCCATGAACGATAGTCAGAGTTCTTCGAGGAAGGAGAATACTATTATTTTCTTTCCAAGACTTGAAACGAAAATAGAAACCTTTTTTCGCCTTATTTAGGTGGACTTGAGTATTTAAATTATAAAAAATTACATCTTCCTTATAAAAATGGTGGCCATTTTGAATTCAGTAGCCACCTTGAAAAAAATTCCTGAAGTTTTTTTCAGTGGGATAATGAGCGACTATATCATGAGAATGGACTCATTTGATCAATCTGGATTGAACAAGAATTTAATAACAAAATGTCACTCTTCATTATAACATTCATGCGTACAGCAACCAATCAAATCAATTTTAACTAAGGTTAATGAAATATGTACATTTAGGATACACTTGGTACCATAAAGAAGATAGCAGAGTATATAGGTGTAAGTTGGAGTGAAGAAGATTACAAGAAAATGGTCGACGAAACGAAGATTGATGTCATACAATCTCGCAATAAAGAATATGATGCCTATGCAAAGGATGGAAGAGGAGCAGATTTCATGTTCAGAAAAGGTTTTAATATAATACAATATCACGTGTATACAATATCACCCTGAATATCACATGTATATATCTGATATTTGGACACTTCTTTTATAAAGTTGAACTTGAACTTCTTGCATTTTGATAAATAAAAGATGAAAATGAAATAGTTTTTAAACATTTTTTCACCCACCCTATATTCATGGCTGTCTAATTAAAACTTCATAGTTGAGCATTCCTATTCTAAAAGTATATTCAAAATGTATTACAGTAAAACTTGGTTTGTTTGGTATGAATGAAATTGCCACCGATACTGGCTAAATGTTTTTCCAATATATGAGGCAATCAGAGATAACAAATACAAATCAGGGACCGAGAAAAAGTGTTCACAGTGAGAGGTGTTCAGGTTAGGGAGGTGTTTGAGTATATAATTGAGTGTACATTTCACTGTATTTTCTGTCAAATAGTAATGTTATTTCTTATTATTTCAGGGGAAGTTGATGCATGGAAAGAACACTTTACTGTAGCACAGAATGAGCTTTTTAATAAAGTCTACAAGGAAAGAATGAAAGGAATACCATTTGTCTATAATGACTTGTTAGACGCCTAAGAATATGTTATTTAACAAAACATGTAACAACACTTTACTGTAGCACAAAATGAGCTTTTTAATAAAGTCTACAAGGAAAGAATGAAGGGAATACCATTTGTCTATGATGACTTGTTAGACTCTTAAGAATATGTTATTTAACAAAACATGTAACAACACTTTACTGTAGCACAAAATGAGCTTTTTTATAAAGTCTACAAGGAAAGTGTGAAGGGAATACCATTTGTCTATGATGACTTGTTAGACGCTTAAGAATATGTTATTTAACAAAACATGTAACAACACTTTACTGTAGCACAAAATGAGCTTTTTTATAAAGTCTACAAGGAAAGTGTGAAGGGAATACAATTTGTCTATGATGACTTGTTAGACGCTTAAGAATATGTTATTTAACAAAACATGTAACAACACTTTACTGTAGCACAAAATGAGCTTTTTTATAAAGTCTACAAGGAAAGTGTGAAGGGAATACCATTTGTCTATGATGACTTGTTAGACGCTTAAGAATATGTTATTTAACAAAACATGTAACAACACTTTACTGTAGCACAAAATGAGCTTTTTAATAAAGTCTACAAGGAAAGAATGAAGGGAATACCATTTGTCTATGATGACTTGTTAGACGCTTAAGAATATGTTATTTAACAAAACATGTAGCAACAATTTACTGTAGCACAGAATGAGCTTTTTAATAAAGTCTACAAGGAAAGAATGAAGGGAATACCATTTGTCTATGATGACTTGTTAGACGCTTAAGAATATGTTATTTAACAAAACATGTAACAACACTTTACTGTAGCACAAAATGAGCTTTTTAATAAAGTCTACAAGGAAAGAATGAAGGGAATACCATTTGTCTATGATGACTTGTTAGACGCTTAAGAATATGTTATTTAACAAAACATGTAACAACACTTTACTGTAGCACAAAATGAGCATTTTAATAAAGTCTACAAGGAAAGAATGAAGGGAATACCATTTGTCTATGATGACTTGTTAGACGCTTAAGAATATGTTATTTAACAAAAACATGTAACAACACTTTACTGTAGCACAAAATGAGCTTTTTTATAAAGTCTACAAGGAAAGAATGAAGGGAATACCATTTGTCTATGATGACTTGTTAGACGCTTAAGAATATGTTATTTAACAAAACATGGAACAACACTTTACTGTAGCACAAAATGAGCTTTTTTATAAAGTCTACAAGGAAAGAATGAAGGGAATACCATTTGTCTATGATGACTTGTTAGACGCTTAAGAATATGTTATTTAACAAAACATGTAACAACACTTTACTGTAGCACAAAATGAGCTTTTTAATAAAGTCTACAAGGAAAGAATGAAGGGAATACCATTTGTCTATGATGACTTGTTAGACGCTTAAGAATATGTTATTTAACAAAACATGTAACAACACTTTACTGTAGCACAAAATGAGCTTTTTAATAAAGTCTTCAAGGAAAGAATGAAGGGAATATCATTTGTCTATGATGACTTGTTAGACGCTTAAGAATATGTTATTTAACAAAACATGTAACAACACTTTACTGTAGCACAAAATGAGCATTTAATTAAAGTCTACAAGGAAAGTGTGAAGGGAATACCATTTGTCTATTATGACTTGTTAGACGCTTAAGAATATGTTATTTTACAAAAACATGAAATAACACTTTACTGTAGCACAAATTGAGCTTTTTAATAAAGTCTACAAGGAAAGTGTGAAGGGAATACCATTTGTCTATAATGACTTGTTAGACGCTTAAGAATATGGTTTTTAACAAAACATGTAACAACACTTTACTGTAGCACAAAATGAGCTTTTTATTAAAGTCTACAAGGAAAGAATGAAGGGAATACCATTTGTCTATGATGACTTGTTAGACGCTTAAGAATATGTTATTTAACAAAACATGTAACAACACTTTACTGTAGCACAAAATGAGCATTTTAATAAAGTCTACAAGGAAAGTGTGAAGGGAATACCATTTGTCTATGATGACTTGTTAGTCGCTTAAGAATATGTTATTTAACAAAACATGTAACAACACTTTACTGTAGCACAAAATGAGCATTTTAATAAAGTCTACAAGGAAAGTGTGAAGGGAATACCATTTGTCTATGATGACTTGTTAGACTCTTAAGAATATGTTATTTAACAAAACATGTAACAACACTTTACTGTTGCACAAAATGAGCTTTTTAATAAAGTCAACAAGGAAAGAATGAAGGGAGTACCATTTGTCTATGATGACTTGTTAGATGCTTAAGAATATGTTATTTAACAAAACATGTTACAACACTTTACTGTAGCACAAAATGAGCTTTTTAATAAAGTCTACAAGGAAAGAATGAAGGGAATACCATTTGTCTATAATGACTTGTTAGACTCTTAAGAATATATAACTTTACAAACACATTGAACAACACTTTACTGTGGCACAGCATGATATGTTTAATAAAGTCCACAAGGAAAGAATGGACGGAATCCCATTTGTCTTCGACGACTTTCTAGACTCTTAAAATATGTTACTATTTTCCAAAATGGTAAACAAGTTATTATGCAAATTGGTATATGAGTAAATCATGATGTATTTGACAATAGTAGGTAATTTACAGTTTTAGTTTAAAATAGTTTATTTAAGTGTAACACGTATACAAATTACACTAAAAACAATTAAAATATACATACACATGTAGAGGTAAAATAACTAGACCAAGTTCAATTCCAGAGCAGATTCTGTGGCAGTCAGGATGCTTGGCTGGATGTCAGTTTAAGCGAAGATTGAGGCTGTATTTTTGTTGGGAAAATCTCATTACCCACAATGCCATGTACTAGCGCAGCGGGCAATTCAAAAATGCAAACCGATTGTGACCGACTTATGTTTTTGTTCATGCTGTTATGTTTACCCATGAATTGTTTATATATAAAATCATATGTTAAGAGCGCCTAATAAGGATGATGGACACAACTATGATCTGTAAAAGCATGTGGAAAATCGTTCTTAAGTATAACACTACTGACTATGTGAAGGAAATGTTTTTCAATATTTTTCCTAGTAAATCAAAATTAAGAGAGGCTATTTACAATAGAGTTAAGGATGTTCATACTCGTAGGATTGTGCTATCAGCACTGATTTACAAGAATTTAAATATGATGGCAAGTTCCTTCTTGGAATTGAAGCCAAATGATTGATCATTGCAAGAAATAATCCCAATTATACGTACTGCACAAAACGTAATATACAATTATTAACTTGAACTTACGATTTAAACAGTAGGCGTTGTGAGGGTGGTACACCTGTGTGTGAAACTTGTGTGATCTTAGAGATTATTAATGAGATTATTAATTAGATTATTATTATTGATGAAAATGAAACTGTTAAACATTTTTTACTCAAATGTCCGTTTTTATTTAAGGGTACCGATGATTAACATTATAACCAGTATTTTTGATGTTCAAGATGACAATTTCATTCTTAAGTCAATACTGGGTATCGTGTGTTGTAATTATGAGGAGCTGTTATAAATGTCACAGTACGTACGTATATATAATACACAAGCGGAGACAATATAAATGTAACTTTCTTTATACGTATAACGAGGTAAATAAATTATACATACGTACAATATCACGGTGTTATAGCATGACGATTACGACACCTCTGAAAACGAGATTAGACGACTACGATCACTGATTTATCCAATAAAATGGCCGCGATGGAACAGAAAACTAAGATTGGTGCATCATTTTCTTCTACTTTGTATCAATGAAAGGATGAACGATTTTTGTAGGCATCGCATTCGGTGATGCATTTAGTAATGTATATTTTGAACGTATTCTTTGCAAATTGATGCCCGGGGATAACATGAAATAAGCGAAAAACTGTTGAGTTTGAAATTCAAAACTACACAAAATTTAGTAATTTGTTTATTTTTGTCGTTAGGGCATGGTCTACATTCCCCAACGACCTCGGGGTATATAGATGTATTCTTCATACGATCATAAAAAGCCAATTGAGCATTGGAAACTACCTAATATGTTCTACTTAAGCCATAATATTGTATTTTTAATTTGCAGTTACGCAAAAAATTGATTGACAGTTACGCGAAGCTCGTTCAAATATGTATCCCAGATTCATTGTTATTAATTTTGTCATATTCATCAGTACTTGATGCTAATTCTTCCTTTGCCTCTTCATTGCTATCTTTGTGACTTAAATAAGTTTCATAAATAAAGCAAGACACAATTTTTTCCTAGCCCTATAGAGGCTCAAACAAGAGCGTCTCTTGCGAGTCCTGAAAACAAATATAAGCAATTCAATATTCCATTTCTTACCCATTATAACAATTGCATGGAAAGAGGCTATCAGAACTAGCAACCTTAACTTGAAAGATGTACATGCACGTAACCGTCCGCTAAATATCTAATGTACATCTAATACAATACGTTACCGTCCATAGAATTCATACGTAGTCGTCTAACGACATTACGTTTGAAACCTTATTATTTACAATATGACCACGTTCCTGTTCTGGATTTGTCATTTCATGGCTTGTTTATACACAGTTTACTTACTGTTAATAGTTTGAGTGGCTCGGAGGCACATATACTAAAAATATGAACTTGGACACCTCAGTCGGTAAGTTTACAGCTTATATTCCGCTTCTAGTAAACCACCTGGCAGATTTGACCCAGTCTTTATAACCATCCATATATACGTCACCAAATGGAACTAGTTGCAAAGGAAATCGTATCTGTGAATCTTGCCTACAGGCGAGAAAGAGGACATGCTGTCTTTCCCATCCGCCATGTTTTGTTATCGTTACCGCAAAATTTTGCAAATCGCCTTGTTGTAACCGTCATGCTATAACACCATGAATATGGTAAACAAAATAATTTTCATTGTAACGCGGATTCAATATACTCATTCGATTGGAGCGCTCTCATTGTTCTATTTCGTTCTTTGTTTATTATTTTGATTTCGAAGTTTTATCACGATTATACATTGCTTGTGTTTATAAACAATTATTTTATAGAAGAACACGTCATGTTGATTGGGGTTTACTCATTTTAATCTCTTACATTCCAGCCTATAAAATTGGTTTGAAACCCGAGCAATTTTCACTGTTTGCCAGTTTTTAGACACTTACATCTTTACTGTCCTTCTGGATATACAAGAGGTTAAATACGTGTATTGCTATAAACGATGTCGTGACTTATTTTATTAGAACATAATTATTGGAAATTAGATTCTTGACTTATAACATGTCTGTATAGCGTGTCTCTTACTGACACAACTAATTGACGTGTCATGACAACTTTTGTCAATAATTTACATGACGTAATGTCCCCTTTCTTCGTTTTTTTGGTATTCTATATACTGATTGTGGTTCCATTTGTAACGAGCATTCATAGTTTTTCAATGACACATTTATTAAAAAGTGACTGTAAAAACAGATAATTTGAGATATTGCAACTTGCACTCAAGGATGTTTGAGAGAAAACTCAATTCGAGAAAACGTAGTGGGAATACACCTCTTCAGAACGTTTAATGTTTACTCCTTATATGATTTTAACATTGTCACCATTGTATGGCAACCAACTTTTGTGCCCTCTGGATGACTGGTTTAAGAATGGAGGTTAATCCATTTAATATCCGATGAACTGGGGTTTTGTTTTAATTACATCATTTGAAAAAGAATTTCCCCCCCATTCTGATACTCATCACACCTTTCTGTTTTAGCTAGAAAGTGTACAAATGAATTAATATAAAGCCAATGAATCCTTATGATGATGATTTCCTACCATTCTGAATCAATACTTATTTTGATTATTTTGATTAATAATGAGGTCGTAACCATAGATGGTGATAACTTTAAATTCATTTTGAAGAGGTGGGGTTTTGTCAATTTATGCTAACCATCTTCCTGACGCCATATTCTGACATACAATTGGAGATATACAAGTGAGCAAGTTTAAAGGGTGACGCATATCGTTTAGCAAATCGAACGCTCGTTTCTGGTGTTGCTCACCGTTTAGTATAAAAGGCCCGATCCCGGAATAATACTCAAGGGTTCACAGATTCGATGTCGTTGTGTCAACACCTCTAACTGTTATATAGCATAAGTATATTATAGATCGTCACACATTTATAAAAGGGTGATTTTTATTTTGACAAATCAATTCCACATTTATGGGTGAAGTTTCAGGATCTTCTATTTGTGTATAATAAGGAAAATTGGCATCTAAATTTCCCCATAACGTAATAGCACACAGCTTGGCATATGAAATATCCTACAAATGAAACAAAGCAGTTCTAATACAATAATTTATATTGGCTGTTGTACATGTATTCTTTAAACGCAACCACTCTATGGATAACGTTTTCAAAATCATTATAAACGGATTACTTTATCTCAAAAACAATTTCTATAAACTGGATTTTACAGAACTCCCCTTATTTCTTAAAAATGGACTAATCCAGTTGATTCGCCTGGAGCCGCCATATTGTTTTTATACGGGATGCTTATCGGAACCCTTTAAACGTTATCACTTTATTGTGATACCATCATTAAAGTTTGCAGTGTTTGCAAAAACTTGCAAAGTTTCAAAGTTTGTGTCGCCTATTTAAAAATATTGACATAAACACAAAGTCAAGGGAGGAGTTTGAGGATTTAAAAGGGTATATATAATATGTCTATTGTCTAATCGAACTTTGGCTGGAGCTTCTTTCTTCAGTTTAGTTCTTGGCCGGGAAAATACCTTACAAAATCTAACAACGTTCTGCAATTGATCTCACTTATCGATCTCGAATAGACAGATGTACTTCAACAAAAGATATTAACAGTGTCAATCTCAATATTGTTATACCTAATGTGCCTTATGAATGACAACATGCAAACTCTATCGAATAAGTGGGGCCGATTGAGAATACTTACTTTGCACATTTCCATTGGAAACCACTCTCTCATCAAATATAGGCCTGTATCATTTCCAAGCTTTAATGTCTACCCAGAATCCAAGAAGACGGACGATAACCGGTCAATAAAAATTCGGGGGAAATACAAAATAGGACGACGGTGATGAAACCAAGCATAGTTACTTTTGCCTGTTTAATTTCATTGATTGAAATGGAAGAAGTTCGTATTTCAATTAAACTTTCCAATCAACAACCGGTGAAGTCAACGTATGAAAAAGTTATCTACACAGAACAACTAAACAATCCACTTAAATCTTTAAAAGTGGTTACAAACAGCCGATGCGCAGCAGTCTGTACAGCGACAAAGGAATGCAGATCGTACAATTTAAGGAAAATAGATGACGACAAATACAATGCTGTTTGTGAATTAAATGGGCCCAGCACATCTCCCCCGACTCCAACATCTGATGAAGTAATCTATTTCGAAAAACCAGGTAAACATTCATTAATTATAGAGCCTTTTTTCACAACTTATACTGCGTAAATAGATGCTTTTGTGAACACGTCTAAGAAAAAGATGTGTTCCATCGTTTCCAGTACAACGATTTATAATTAGGTAAGGTAAATGTAAGGTAACGGTACATGTACGGTAACTGATGTCGTATTTTGTATGTTTAACATCTTTGGGAAAATTAATTCTGAAGGTAATTTTTTAAACTTCAGTTGGTGTTTTCTCCCACTTTGAATTAGGAAGGAAAAAACAAAGTATTTTCTATAATAAGTTATAATGAGCTGGTTTGACCATAAACGAATACATCCCTGGTAACGGTTACTTGATTAGAAATCAAACAGAAGGTGTAGATCATGGACTGCGTGTCCTGTCAGAGAATGAAGTGCATTACGGTACCACTGCATCTTGTGCTATCAGACGTAAGATCACTCAATATTTAATTTACATGAAGGGGACCTCATAACGTATCCTTCAAGTGGAGAATGGGTTAGTACACTGTACCACTGCATCTTGTGCTATCAGAGGTGAGATCGCTCAATATTATTTTACGTAAAGGGGACCTTATAACGTGTCCTTCAAGTGGAGAATGGGTTAGTACACTGGACCACTGCATCTTGTGCTATCAGAGGTGAGATCCCTCAATTTTATTTTTACGTAAAGGGGACCTTATAACATATCTTCCAAGTGGAGAATGGGTTAGTACCCCGGGTTTAGTACAAGGGGCGATCAACAAATAACGCAAATAGAGCCCTATCTCAGAAACTAAACAGAGTTAAAAGACCAAATGTGATACATCGTATCACCAAATATTCATTATTATTTCCACAAAATCTGAGGCACAAATAGTATCTTATGTCAGAGTTACGATTGCCAAAGCAACCCGTGGATCATATCAATAAGGTTCTGAACGTCTGTCCAAAATGAGTTTGAAAGACACAAGTCATACAGATATGATGTTATTTGGGTGTAAATCAAAAATGAAAACTTTGTAAAATGATGTGATCTACATTTAATTGTGATGTCGAAATACTTACCCAACAATAGGTTTGCCATTATACATGTCTATTGCCAACGATAGGATGACAGAAGACACGGGCATTGAGGAAATCAAAGTCAAGTCAGCCATATTGAAAAATGGTTGAATTGAAAACTTCAGATCTTTATAGATCTCAGGTCTCTATAGAAGACAGAGAACTGATATTATGCTGTATTTTGAATGAAATGTCACTGCAAAAAACGTATGCGATGCTATTTAAGAAGCCATCTGGTGATAAAACTAAGCAATGTCTCGCGTTTTTTTAACTTTTTTCAGTCAAAAACAACATATAATGTTTTTTAGCCAGAAGAGGATACTAATTGTGAGCGGGATAGATTTATACGGTATCTACCTTTTTAGGACAAAAAACCGTGGGTAAATACCTTTCCTAGATCCATAGATAGGTAATTTAGTCGAAACTTTGACGAAATGAAATATCGAAAAACGGGGGGGGGGGGGGTCGGAGACAACTCACAACCCAAAACCTAAGGTACTGAAGAGATAATACATGTATTTTTTAAAAAAACAACCTCATAGGACATACCCCAGGATATAATATATAAAAAATTTGGATATTGGTTGAGTATTAGCTGAGAAAATCTGTTTTTAGTGCATCTTAGGATCTATTCGTCTATTTGATAAATACATCGAAAACACAATTCCACGTGTTGAAAATAAGAGCATTTGAGCCAAAAGTTGCAGCATTGACACATTTTCATGGTTTATTTTGCTTCTAATTATAGATGCCATATTTTTCTACTTGTAAATAATCAAAATATTACATAGAATCACATGTTTGGCACTATATTTATTGATTTATGAAAAATATTCTAAAATAAATAACGCCACCCGAGATGACAGAAAACTTCTTTTTCTCAAAAACTAGACCTTCAAATACAATTTACTCTTATCAAGTTGTTTATTACATACTTCAAATAATTGTGTAATATCTTGATGCATACACATTTTTAAGTTTGTAAATTATATGCATATTAAGATGGAAAAATGACTAAAAATAGCCACGAGACGGAAAAAGTTTGGGTAGGGGTGACAAGAAGTTATTTCTACAAAACAAATGGAGATATGGTTATATTGTTTTTCGGACATCTGACAAACATGTTCAGGACCTGAATCTGCAACTTGACTTATAAGTAGGTTTAAATCGAGAAAAGAAAAAAACTCGTCACCACTTGTAACATTGACGTTCTGTCAAAGTAACTAGTTGTGGAACAGTGATGATGTGAATAAATTACAATGATTGGGTTGATCAGTAGTTGAGATGATTTAGGTTGTGTTGACTTTGTATTGTTGTATTGTATTTTGTTTACCAACAATGAAGGTGAGCAATACCTCTAGGGTATATCCCGTATATATACGGTCGTAATTTACGTAATTAACTTTGAAGAAGACCCAGAAACCCCTCCTTGAAGGAGCCCTGTGTTCTTTTATGTGCACTTATACATAGACATACAAGTACACACCACAGTCTTTTGTACGAGTTGCGGACCACTCAGTCAAACACCCTGATGTACTTCACACAAACAAGCAAATTTAGTCTTACCTGAACCGGGGATCGAATCCGGGACCTATTGCGTAAGAGGTACATGCGCTACCGCTGAGCTACACGGGTTACAGAGATGACCAGTTGCCGTTTGTTCTTACAATCAAATATTATCATAATATTATAAAGAGTAATAAATGGCCCTCGGTAATAAAGTAGTAGGGAACATCAACAGTTACTTTTTGAGCAAACTTTTTGACAAACAATATAATACATTTTGACAATATATATTTGTGAAAATTGTAGACTATATATACTACATGCCGATGGATTGGATACGAGATGATATTGTGGAGGGCGAGAGTCTCGATGGTAGAATTTACAACAACGCTATTCTCGATGTGGGACAGGTCGACCAAGGAATATATTTAAATGGACTTGATCAATGGGTTGATCTTGGAAATCATCGACACGAATGCTTTGGTATATTTTATTTCTCCAATTATAATACGTATGTAACTGTGTGAAGTAAAATGTAAATTCACAACAGGGGGTCATTTTCTTGGTTGGAATAATATATATCAATGCGCTTGAGGATGTTTCAGAGACTCCTTTACCAGTTTACGACACAGTTTTATAGATGTGCACCCGAACCGTGTTTCCATTGTATTTTGCTCTCATGAGCGTAGTCATGTTTGAGACACCGCCAATTTTTACAGAAAATTTAATGCAGACGATGTTTCGATTAGTATAATTCCCCCTTTTGCTGCTTAACTAAATAAGCCTAATCTATCTTTAGTTACTGGCCCCGCCCATTACTCTAGTCCAAATTTTGATTTCAGGTGATTTACAGCTTTGTCCAAATGGTTATACACTTTCTATTTGGCTTTATATCGGACCAAAGGTGGCCAATGAGATGTATTATTTCTCCAGCGGTGGACAGACCGGATATTCGTTCGGCGTAGCACTACGTTGGTTATCGGGAGACTTAAGTTCGTGGTTTAGCACCAGGGATGAAATTTGGAAAGTGAGCCATCCAGGGGAAAAGGGAGTATGGCAGCACATTGTGCTAACGTGGAAGCAGGTTGAAGGGCTCTCGCTATGGATAAACTGTACGAACGTTGAAACGGATACAGTGTGTATGTATTTATCGTATATTCAACTAAACAAATAATTTTTTTCAAGTAGATTAGTAGGCCTCATCTTTTCAATCGACTTAAGAGTACAGAGTTTTTGAATGCTCCACTTGTGAAACAGTTACGAAACCGCTTTAGTTTGGGGATGGAAAACCAAGTCCCTAGTCGAGCTCTTTAGTGATTGAAATGAATCATTGGCGATCAGGGTAAGATATTAATGTCATAGTTGATCGATTAGACATGTTAAATACAGTAATCCATGGATTATAGACACACCCAGTGTGAGTGTCACTGATATACATGGTGTTGATTCTTAATAAATAAAAAAGAGAAATATGCATCATTGCTGGATAATCACTGTTTGCCGAAGTATCAGTACACTTTCTTAATTATTACAACCGCAAAAGTTTTAATTGGATGATTGAATGTTAACATGATTGCCTTAAAATATCCAGTTAAGACAGTTATTCCAAGTAACTTTGTTTATTGCCAAAGTACTCTATTCTACCTGAATATTCTCAAAATTGTCAATAAAGTTTTGACGGAATAATTTCTGAAAATGAAATAATTTTTGTTTTGGATTGCAAATCGTTTGGGTAATTTTTCCCGACTAGACTAGAATAAAAAGTCGTGGTGATTCTTCACTTTTGTTTCTTTTATATTGTAACGTGGAGGACAGCGAAAAACTCATCAAAACATTCCAAAAAGTAAAAAATCATTCAACTTATTTTTGAAGCAATATCATATGTGAATTGCAAAATGAATTGATCCATTGATTTTTTCCGATTTAAGCGGACACGAGGAATGTACAAACCACCCAATGGAACAATATTGTGTTAGGAAGACCGAACAATAATTTTGGATATTATGGAGAGGCTATCTTTGATGAACTTATCTTCTGGGATAAGAAACTCGAGGATGAGAGGATCGAGGACCTCTGTGTGGCATATGACACCGATCGATATTCAACTCCTCGTTGCCCTTAAAAGATGTTGCCATTTGCTTTGTAGAGCCTATGAAACCTAATTCAGGCAATAGTAAGAACGAGCTGTTTACCTTTCGTTATGGAAGTACTTTTAAATATAATTACCATTTGGATAACTTAAAGTATGATATTGTGCTATTTGGAAGTAATTGCAATAGTATGAAATAAAAAATAAAAAAATGATGAAATAATAGTGTTTTGTATTTTGCAGGTTGAGTGTTAAATTAATATTCATTCGTGGTAGTCATATTTTGATCATGATAAAACTCATAGGAATTAAGTCGACAGAAATATAGCAATAGTGATCTGTCTAAAATGAGATTTGTTGCTAGTGTAGTGTAGTGTAGTGTAGTGTAGTGGTTTCATTCGAGTTAGCCATATTTTGATCATGATAAAATACATGGGAATTAAGTCGACAGAAAGATAGCAGTAGTGATCTGTCTAAAATGAGATTTGTTGCTAGTGTAGTGTAGTGTAGTGATTTCATTAGAGGTAGCCATATTTCGATCATGATAAAACACATAGGAATAAAGTCGACAGAAAGATAGCAGTAGTGATCTGTCTAAAATGAGATTTGTTGCTAGTGTGGTGTAGTGTAGTGATTTCATTCGTGGTAGCCATATTTTGATCATGATAAAACTCATAGGAATGAAGTCAACGGTATCAAGTAAAGAATGAATTAAAAATGTTTCGGGGGCAGGGACTTAGCCAGAATCTGAAATAGACGAGGCAAATTACAATAGATGAAGCAATATATACTAGTATATAGTTATAATAACTTCATTTCACACTTTAAAATTGAAAAATATATCTGAATTTATATTCTTTTATGTAGAAATTCTAATGAAATAATAATACTTTTCTAATAAGCAATGTATTATGGAAATTAATATATATATACAGGGTGGACCAAAAAAACCAATACCCAACTTTAAATCAGAATAAAAATAGTTATGCTCAATATGATACATTGATTTATATATCATTTTAAAAGTTAATTCATTTTTGAACAATTTGGTATATAACACTATGTCAGGAAATCAATATTAAAGTTTTATTATGCTTATTCGGGAGGCAGGGTCGGTATTTAGGTATCCAGATTTCAGGGAGAAAATAGCAAATCTGCGGAATAATGTTAATTTTTTTTTTATTCATAGAATATCATTTTGTTAGGTGAATACATGCTTGTATATTTGCATATTGTGTGACTAAACTTATTGTTTATGAATTTTAGAGTTGTTTATTATCAATAAGTACTCAAAGGGGGTCTGTTTAAAGACATTGAACGTATATGTGATGAGGATTTTATTTTCCAACAAGACATTGCCTCATACCATAGATCAAAAGAGACATAGGCATTTCTTTGCAAACGAGGTGTCAATTTGATTGATCTCGATGCTTGGCCCAACACCCAACAGCCCCGATGCTAATGTGTTTGATTACCATACGTGGAGCCATCTCGAGGAGCAGATCACAGAAATATTTATTGACTGATGATAACATTGATAATTTAGAAAATGATATAAATGAGGAATTGGAAACGGTTCATGGTTGGATGATATCTAATAGATTAACACTCAATGTAGAAAAACAATATTTATGATTTTTGATCAACAAAATTGACAACTTTGAAGTTAAATTAGATAATCATTCAATAGAAAGGGTAAATAATATTAATCTTCTAGGAGTAGTCATTGACTTCTAGTTAACATCGGCTGCTCATATAAAAGCACCTTGTTCCAAAATTTCAAATTTAATTCGATTAATATATAAAACTTGACACAAATTAACATTGAATGCCTTGTTGACTACCTATTATTCTTTAGTATATTCATATATAAGCTATGGATACATTTTATGGGGCAATGTAACAAAAAATCACTGGTCAATAATTTTTATATCATTTGCATGGTAATTTTTTCAACTAATAAACCACCTGTTAAGTCAATGGCAAAAAGTGATCTGTTAACGAAAATGACCACTAACAAATCTCTAATAGATCATGTTCTACTAGTTGAGTATTAGTAGTCTATTAGTGGTTTATTAGAGTGGTATGGCAAGCTGTTTTTTTCACTTGGGATGTCATACACAAAATGCATCTATTATGTGGTATAAAGTACAAACACAGAGTAAACAAGGCACATGTTGAACAATATTGTACCTATAACACAGCAGTGTGGACCTGATGACCCGGAGAGCAAGGCTGCCATCGAAAAGTTCACCAGTTCTACTATGTAACATGTGTAAAAATTTCAAGAAAATCAGTGGACTCCTGGAATCGTGATGACAAGATTTATCAAAAAACGTTCAAGATGGCTGCTTGAATGCAGACCGAATGGCCACCGAAAAGTTGATCAGCTGTAGAACTTTTTACCATGTAACATGTGTTAACATTTGAAGCAAATCTGTAAAGTGGTTTTTCTGGAATCACTATGACAAGATTTATTTTGAAACTTCCAAGATGGACGCCAGAATGCAAGATGACTACCAGAAAGTTAATCAGCTCTACCTCTTACCATGCAACATGTGTCAAAATTTGAAATAAAACTGTTAGGTGGTTTTCCTTGAATCGTGATGACAAGATTTATCTAAAAACTTCCGAGATGGCCATCAGAATGCAAAATGGCAACCGAAAAATTAATCAGCTCTAGAACTTCATACCATGTAATATGTGTGAACATTTGAAGTAAAACTGTCAAGTGGTTTTCCTGGATTCACGATGACTAGATGTATCTAAATACTTCCAAGTTGGCCGCCAGAATGCAAGATGGCCATCGAAAAGTTAATCAGCTCTAGGACTTCATACCAAATAACAACTGTGTAAATTTGAAGTAAAATTGTCAAGTGGTTTTCCTGGAATCACGATGACAAGATTTATCCAAAAACTTCCAAGATGGCAACCAGAATGCAAGATGGCCGCCGAAAAGTTAATCACCTCTAGACTTTCTTACCATGTAACTTGTGTGGAAATTTGAAGTAAATCCGTTTGGTTTTCCTGAAATCGTGATGACAAGATTTATCTTAAAACTTCCAAGATGGCCGCCAGAATGCAAGATGGCGACTGAAAAAACTAATGAGGTCTAGGACTTTAACCATAAAACATGTGTGAAAATTTGAAGTACATATGTTAAGTTGTTTATTCTGGAATCGTGATGACAAGATTTATCTAAAAAAATCCAAGATGGCCGCCAGAATGCAAGATGGCCGCCGTAAAGTTAATCAGCTCTAGAACTTCTTACCATGTAACATGTGTGAAAATTTGAAGTAAATCCATCTTGTGATTTTCCTGGAATCGTGATGAAAAGAAAATGAGACTTCAGAATGTCACCTTGTCTAACCCCACTTTGGTGCCTTTTGCCCCTGTTTCTATCAATATAAGAGGCGTTTTCTTTATGAGGAAAGCCTGTTCTTTCAAACGATACAATCATTTTATGTGGGAAAGTACCGGACAACAAACTCCTTTTCTAGAGCCCTTTTGGAAATGAGATCAGGGACTAATCATTGATAACTAAAAATGGCGACGTTCGTAGCTGTCTAGGTATGGGTACTTTGACCTTCAATTATACGTTAGTTTAAACCTGATATGTCATATGATAAGTGTTATGAAATGATACTTACTAGTTATAAGTAGTCAGTGAGTAAATCAAACCATGAAAGTTGGCATTCCCTTTAAGTCAAAGTGTGACTAAACTTTGGAGATCATTTTCATTTTTAACTGTATAATGAGCCATGCATGCGTGTCAGAAAGACTCACATGATTTAGAATCATCAGGGAAGGCACTTGAATCAAAAGACAGTGTGATAATGGCAGAAGTAAACTATGCAGTCGGCGGTATATTTGATGATATAGCTGTCACGAAAGGAACTCCTACAATCATGAAAGATGATCTTGGCGAACCATTCCCTGTGCACAAAATAGATGGACTTTATTATCCACAATTTATCCGACAAACAGTTCACGATGACATGAAAGATTTTGAAGTTAGAGATACTGATATATGGTTCTTTTCATACCCTAGATCTGGTAAGATACAATTTATTATTTGGTTGGTAATAAAAGTAAGAACAATCAAGGGAAGATTTTACATATTTTGGTTTTATAAATCGGATCAAGGTAACCTGCCCTGTCTTTGAAACGACAGTTTACATTAGTTGGAAATCTTCCAAATAAATGCAGCTAACCATTAGTTAATAAGGTAGAGTTCACGACTGAGGTCTATAACATTGTTGTTATAATTTAACAAGTGAGCATCCAGTCTATTGCCTACATGGGCAACTTGTTTTCAAAATGCAATTGTCATCGTTAGTTATAGGCAGTTGTGTTTGGATCCATTGAATAAACACTCATTAGACTCACGTGCTTTTACATCTTATCTATACCCCTGACTAACTTAACTCATTCTCTGTATTTACAAAGGGCAGCATTGGACCGTGAATATTGTATACAGGCTGACACATGACCTTCAAGAGGCCCCTAAGGGTATGGAGGAGTTATGTATGCCTGAGTTAGTGACAAATGATGTTACAAGTTCTGTACCATCTCCCAGAATTATGAGGACACATCAATTGCCGAGTTCAATTCCGAAGAGAGTATGGAAGTAAGAACATTAATGTACATGAGTATAAGTGGTCTCCCATTCATGAGAAGGATTTTAAAACTTTACAACTTTATCGTACCATTTCTGTTTTCGTAATGTTTTCTCTAAACCTTGAGGATTTCCTTATTTTCATTATTACCTTCATCTAGACTGCCAATACCATACCCTATACTCACTGGGAATCGCATCAGGACTAGTAGCTTGGTTGTCATCAGGCCGTATCAGTTCGGGAACATTTTGCAAATTATGTTTATTTCTCATGGCACACCACATGTTTAAGTGAGACGCTAGTGGGATATTTTAGTAGGACCATATAATTTCATAGGACCGCCTACCCTTTTACACCGGTAAAGACGCCATTTCGATGACAGTTGAGGAAATATCACACGTATACTTCGGTGTCATTTCAGCATTGAATTAATCTAGGTTTAACCTACATACGTTAATATTTTCCAGCAAATGTAAGGTGATCAACCTTGTGCGTCACCCGAAGGATGTGGCATATAGTTTATTCAAACATCAATCGACGGGACTTCTTTATTGCTATAACGGCACATGGGAAGGCTTCCTGCCAACTTGGCTAAAAGGAGAAGGTACCGCCTCAGAATTCATTGTAATGTATTTGGCTGAAAATAACGATGTGTATTATGTTTAAATTTTCTAAGCCAAAAGGGTCATACTTAATCATGGTCAAAAGGGTCATAATAAAGCATGTAAACGTAGATATTTTCAGTGTATTCGAAGAACTTTTAAATTAACATTTTGTATTTCTTCCCTTAATCATATTTTGTTGCATTCAATATATTTCAAATATGTATTTTGGCAAATAAGAGTTTCAATAAGATATATAGAATAAATGATTCCTTCACTATTTACAATTTCTAATTGTTTTGTATCTTCAACATACTTACCAAAAAACATACTAACACTGGACAAACCTATATTTATAGCGGCATGGGATGATTGGTTCAAGCATGTACAAGAATACAAGAGACTTGCAGAAAATGTTGATATGATGTTCCTCACATATGAAGAAATAAAAAATGTAAATATATATGGTGTTTTTTTAATATAAGGAGATTCAAAGTGTGCATTTTAAGCCATGAGCGATAGTCAGAGTTCTTCGAGGATGTAGAATATTATTATTTTATTTTCAAGACTTAAAACGAAAATTAAAACCTTTTTAAACAAAACTGATTTTCGCCTTACTTAGGTGGACTCGAGTATTTAAATTATGAAAATTTACATCTTCCTTATAAATACAGTGGCCATTTTGAATTTAGTAGCCAGCTTGAAAACAATTATTGAACTTTTTTAATAGGATAATAAGCAATTATACCATGAAAATAAACTCTTTTGTTCAATCTGGATTGAACAATAATTCAATAACAAAATATCATACTTCATTATATCATCCATGCGAACATTAACTAATCAAATCAATTTTAACTAAGGTTAATGAAATGTGTACATTTAGGATACACTTGGTACCATAAAGAAGATAGCTGAGTACATAGGTGTTAGTTGGAGTGAAGAAGATTACAAGAAAATGGTCGACGAAACGAAGATTGATGTCATACAATCTCGCAATAAAGAATATGATGCCTATGCAAAAGATGGAAGAGGAGCAGATTTCATGTTTAGAAAAGGTTTTAATATAATACAATATCACATGTATACACAATATCACCCTGAATATTACATGCATATATCTGATATTTGGCAACTTATTTTATAAAGTTGAACTACATTTCTTGCATTTTGATAAATAAAAGATGGAAAGTCAATAGTTTTTAAACATGTTTTCACCCACCCCATATCTATGACTGTATATTAAAACTTCATATTTGAGCATTCCTATTTTAAATAGTATATACAAATGTTTTACAATAAAACCTGTTTGGTATGGACACAAATGCCATCGATACTGGCTAAAGGTTTTACAAACATGTGAGTCAATGGGAAATAACAAATACAAATCTAGAACCGAGATAAAAGTGTTCACAATGAGAGGTGTTCGGGTTAGGGAGTTGATTGAGTGTACATTATACTGTATTTTCTGTAAAAATAGTTATTTCATATTATTTCAGGGGAAGTTGGTGCATGGAAAGAACATTTTACTGTAGCACAGAATGAGCTGTTTAATAAAGTATACAAGGAAAGAATGAAGGGAGTTACATTTGTCTATGACGACTTGCTGGACTCTTAAAAATATGTAATTTCCCAAAAATGGCAAAGTATTATACAAGTTAATCTAATAGTAAATATTGATGTATTGGACAGTAGTAGTTGACTACTAAATAGATGCAAGTATTACAAATTATAGATTCAGCATTTTTATTCTCTTTATCAAGATCTATATCTTTTGTATATCTAGCTACATATATGAAATTAAACATTTAAATCTTAATGGAAATCACACTCATATGTCCAAAAGATTTTGAGTAATTGTGAGGACCATTTTAAAGTATTTTATTGGCCTAAATAAAAAAAGATAATAGGAAAAGAGACCCCTTTCAAGGTTGCTTTTTAAACTTCACGGAGGAATCGAATTGACCCAAGAACTATAACTGATATGAAATATCTGCTTCTAATCTGTTTCTAATATTGAATATGGAATTCCACAAGGCTCTTTTATGGGCTCCTTCTTATTCATTATTTTCATAAATGACATATATTTAACATCAGATAAAATAAAATTTGACTTATTTGCAGATCACAGAAATATTTATTGACTGATGATAACATTGATAGTTTAGAAAATGATATAAATGAGAAATTGAAAACGGTTCCTGGTTGGATGATATCTAATAGATTAATACCAACTTTTGATACAGAGGGTATATATTTTATATAACTGTTTTTTTGTTAACCTTTTTTTTGTTTTTTAGTGCAATTGTTTTTTGTTCATTCCTACCAATTCTTGAGAATGAAATAAAATATCGTTCCGAACCTTGTTGGAACAAAATAACATATACAACATTTTCTTAGACCTCTTAATATTATAGATGTACAAAGGAAATTTGGTTGATATCAGAAAACGTATCCAAAACCACACGAAATAGATAAAAATTAAGATAAACCTTTTATTTCATGATCATTAACTAGATACTTGTTTAAAATCAACCAAACTTCCCTTTGTACAATTACATTATTGAGAGACCTGAACATGTTGTGTTTATGTCGTTTTGTTCCAATGAGGTTCGGATAGATGTTTCATTCCGAACATTTGATACCAAGAACAAAAGAAGTGTCTTATGTGTTTTCTAAAACAATATAGAATATATTTCAGGTCATATTACCATCCAAAAGATGACCATTACATTGACGATGTGTAAAATTTTCAGAATGTTTTGATGACTGGTTTAAAAGAAACCCGTGTCAATAAGTTCACCATATCGATACCACTCCTTTAAATGAATAGTACCGCGGGTACTGGAATCGCATGGTGTTGCTCAAAAATAAATGATTGCTAAAATGGCAGAAAAAAGGAAATAATTTTTTGCCGATTTTTTATAAAAAAATTATTTCATTCAACTACTGTATTACAATGACATGGCTTTTAACAATGCAGGACACCTGAAATTATTTGTGAACCTAGGAAATGGGCCAAAAGTGAATTTCGTGAGACAAAAATGGCGACCATTTTGAAAACAGGAGAGCTTTTGAACCAGGAGTCATCGGGGGGTTTTCTGTATTGATGTTGAATAAAAATAACTTAAAACGGGAATCCTATCGACAGGGGTTTTAAGGCAAATGGTCCAAAAGTAGATTTCACAGGTGAACAAATCAATGTTAACTAAAATGACTAAAAATAAAAAAACGGATAATTTTTGCCGATTTTTTGTAACAAATACTCTTTACAATGACACGGCTTTTTACAATGCAGGACATTAAGACGATATTTTCAGATTCAGTCAGCGCCCTAATACATTTATTTCTCAAGTAGGTATGACTTCCAACCAAAGTCCACCCAAAACATTACGATTAATTCATATATTTGGCTTTCTATACTCATGTACAAACTCACCCTACTCCCATGCAGACATAAATTATTAGGACGACCCCTGTTTATTTTGCCATTAGTTAAACATTATTTGTTAAGTATCTTCTTTTAATCAACAGATCATCATCTTACGATTTTGCACTCTTGTTACATCATTTTTAAATTGATCTCATGCATTAAAATAGATCACTTCCACATCGTAGAACATCTTTCAGATTTTACAATATCATTTATCCATATGATCATCAGGTGATTGATGGTAAACTTTCTCATGAAAAAAATCGTGCAGACCTATTGAATTATCCAGCAGGAATCGCCCCCTCCAAACGTCACTCATTTTCTCCGCTTTCAGTTCGTGATATATAGGAACAACAACTAAATTATCATTGTCGTAAAAATCAATGTCAGCATTAAAAGTTTTGAAATTGTCAACATAGGCGCTCCTTGTTCAGCTTGTCCATCTGAGGAGTATTCGGCGTTCTCGTTATTTCGCACGGGGGCAACGGCAATGGCTTTCCTATATATCTCCATCTCTATTGGATAGTGATCGCTGACAGCTTTAGCCTGAAAGAATACACCATTCATATTAAATACCCCTATAGCTATTTATATTGCAATTTAAGAATAGCCCGATGATATCGTTCTACTCTTTGATAGGCTGTTTGTAGATATAATACTAGTAATGTAATTTTGATAGCAATATATCTTTTTGAATCATCTGATAAATATCCCGCTTAAAACGTTTGGTCAATTCATCTAGAATTCCCCTTCGACCCATGATAACAGGTTTTAACCGCCCATTGTAAGGGGAGTTGGGTTGTAAAATATACTTAAAAAAAGTCCGCTAAACCATATATGCAAGATTCAGCCGTAGAACTTCACTATTGATTTTTCAAATGATAGATATCGATATGGAGAACTGAATTCAAGAATGTTCTTCGCTTAAACCAACCATTGAAAACATTCTGTAAAAAAACATGGTATTTTATGTAACTGATTGACAACAATTTAATGCGAAAATTATTTAGAAATATTTTATATAACTGTTTTTGTTAACATTTTTTGTTTTTGTTCCTTTCTACCAATTCTTGAGAATGAAATAAAATGTCTTTCCGAACCTTGTTGGAACAAAATAGCATATACAACATGTTTTTAGACCTCTCAATATTAAAGTTATACAAAGGAATTTTTGGTTGATTTTAAAAAAGTATTCAAAAAATCAAAACAAAATCCCCGAAAATAGATAAAAAAGAAAAACCTTTTATTTCATTAACAAGATATTGTTTTAAAATCAACCAAAATTTCCTTTGTACAATTACAATATTGAGAGACCTAAACATGTTTTGTTTATGTCGTTTTGTTACAATGAGGTTCGGAAAGATGTTTCATTTCACTTTGGAAACATGATACCAAGAACAAAACAAGTGTTTGAGGTGTTTTTTAAAACAATATACATTAAAGTATGTATATCTATTTCAAATTATATTGTAACCATTCAAAAGATGGCCATTAAATTGACAATTTGTAAGATTTTCAGAAATTTTTGATGACTGGTTTAAGAGAAACGTGTGTTCAAAAAGTTCGCCAGTTATACCTATTCTTTGTAGCTAGGAAAAAATTTGTAACTAAGAATTTACTTACCAGTTCGCTTGAGAGGCTATACTCCTGGTCAAAGAGAAAGGGCTTAGCTGAGCCTGGCTTTAAATAAGTTCTCATTTCACTGTTGTTTACGAAGACGAACCTGAAGAGAGATGTGAACACGATGACAATACGGAAGTCAAGATACGCATGCGCAAGAATTTGTGAATATATAGTAATCCCAAAGGATTCTAGATTAATTTACCATTTTCTAGGGACATAAATAAACATTTCCTCAGTCTTTACTTTTATAATTAATCAATTATAATGAATACATGTAGTTCGAATTGGAAAACTAAAACCAGGAGGACCATACCTCTTTCTTCTACCATATCTATTAAAATTTCAATAATTTTTGAATGGACATATTTATTTATGAAATACCTGTCGTATGCGCAATTTGATTTGGACACAGTCGTGTCAACATCAGCCCCAATCGGCCAGTAGTAATCACTGGACTTTAGAACTAACGCATCTCTCTCACCAGCGTTCAGGTAGCTACAATCAGCGTTAAAGTCACCCATGAAAACAACCTCATCTGTGTTAAGGTGGTTTTTGATATATGTTTTGACTTGAGCCAGGGCGTTCAGTTCAGCAAGAGCATCTGATGGTTTCACGTGTATACCAGCAAGGACAAACTTAGGAACGGCTGGAATGGTTGGGATGCGTTTGGGATTAGTTATGGCGAATGTATCTCGTTTAATAGAAATATAATTGGTTACTTATGAAATTAAACGGGCATTTTTTATCAATTTCGTCATAACATGTTAATATAATACCATTTGATCTAAAAAGCTCAATTTGTCAGTTTCTTAAAGGTACCAAGTTTTATTCCCAAACACCTGTCCAAATTAAACTCCTTTTTTGAAGTTCAACTTTTTCTAGGCTAACTGAATTCAATGTAATGTATGCTTATCAATTAAAAATCAGAATACAAGAGTTCAAGTGCCATTTCTCCGACAAGACCGTTTTTTAAAACACATCTTAACAACCAAACTATTAAACTGTAGAAATGAGGCCCAGGAATCCGTTAAAATGTTTAAAAGTCCCCTAGTGTACTGAGTACTGAGTACTAGATTACTTGTAAAGAGTAAGCTGATTTTTTATTACTGACTGTATACCCGGGCCTCAGCTATTATGATGTATTTGATAAGGGAATTACAAAAGATTCAACAGACCTGCTTCTCGCGCAAAGAATGCTACGATGTATGGCTCCCTCTCAAATACATCTTGAGCGTCGTCAAACACTTCAGCAGCGAACACCGCAGTTGTGGATAATCTGTTGTCATGTCAACAAATTGTGATTACTTATTCATTCAGGAGACAGTGGAAGACACGACTATAATGTTTATGTAAGGCACATCGAGTAGTTTTCAAACCACCCCAACGGTCTTACCCCGTCCCCCAAAATCGTTTGAGTCCCTTCAGCAAAACGGACTGAGATGACTTGAAGGTTTGGGAATGTGATTACCAAAACACGACAATGACATACTGTATATGTGGCATTAAATTAATCCGAGTATTCAATTAGCCGACTGGTCAACTTTTTTCATTTTCGTAATTTTGACTTTCATAATTATAAGAAATTTCACATTGGTTAATATTGTGAAGATAATATTTCCGACATTTAATTTTCCGAATCTGGCAAAAATTAGGCAATAGGCAATTAAATGATTAGGCAAAATTACCACTTAAACATACAGAATACAAGTATACATACATATACAGTACCTACCTATATATGTACGCGTATTGCTCTTTGCTGTTGGATCTACCAAGGCGCTCACTGATGGCCATTGTATACTTTTCAGGCCTAACAATTAATATCAATAGAAATGAAGACATATTGGATAGGTCAAGCTACACGTTCTTTGTTTTAATTATTTTAATCAGTATTTGTTTTATACGTTGGTCTTTATGTCTCACCCTTCTGAGTTTGTCAAACGCAATAACTTCTGGATTGCATCGCCGGACGCATCTCGTATCTCCTGGATGAATATGATGTCATATCTCTGGATTATCTGAATGTAATATAAGAATATGCGAGTTTTACGAGAAGTTTCATTTTATTACGAATTGCCATTCATGATATATACATTTTACTAAATTAACAAACTAACAATAGTATCTGGATACTTCTACAAGAATGGTGAATTTATTGCAAAATGAAGAAATTAATTCTGATTTATACTCTTCACGATGCCGACGTGATCGTTATCGTGATCGTTACGCTTTTTTGTCATTGCGATTACCGGAAAACAGCTCATCGGATTTTCTCCAAACTCGCACACGTGATAGAGAATATCATGTTCTAGAGATATTTCACTTTTGGTTGTCCATCCTATTTTCTGGCGGCTTTCTTGATGTTAATTATTTCGATAAATTTTGTCAGCGCTCATCCGACTTTCTCCAAATTCGCACAAATGATAGAGGAGGTCGATTTCTAGAACTGGATACTTTTTGGGTGGCCATCTTTTTTTCTGGTGGCCAATTTGAAGTTTTCACGATGGCTTGATCTTGTTCACGTCATGTTCCCCGTTAATGTTTCATTGTTGAGTTTTACACTTGGTAATTTAATGAAATGTACTATAGTCTGTAGTTTAGCCCATCGTTTCAATCACGTGATCATACATTAGTCAATGAAACTATGAGAAAAATATCAGAGATATATTAAATTCATTTAATCACTAACCTTTGATAAAATCTCCATAACGTCTGCTTTAGATGCCTTTGTATCGCCGAATATTTGTATATTGAACGAGCCAATCTTGTAGCCTTTTCCAGAGGGCAAGGATGGGGAGAACTCGATCTCAATTGGGTAGTGATCGCTGACTGTCAAAGCCTAATTGAGATAAAAAAAAACACAACTAAACTATGAAAACAGAGATATACGAAAGGTAATTTCTTATAATATATCATAAATCATTGGTAATACCAATATGTGGCACCCAACATTCCCTTTTGGGATTCATTGCCACTATAAGCTGCAAATAATACATTGATTTTAATAAAAAATTAGCCAATCCTCTTTAATCATACACGCGTGCAAGGGTCTTGTTTATCCGTAACTTTATTCACGTCATACTACACTGTATCTTATCATTTTAGAAGTTGACCACCGAACAACTTACAAATTCATTGGTCAGCCCGTATTCCTGGTCAAAGTGGAATATTGAAGTTGTCCCCTCATAATCAAAAAGCCCGGGGCTTGTTACTATAAACCTGAAACACATTTTGAGTATCAATAACATCTAAATACAATGGAACCCCTAGAGGTTAACTAACGTGATTTACTTGTAATCTTGCAATTGAAAAAGAGCTTTACCAGCTCGTTGTGATCCCCTTCGAATAGTTGGCAACTAAAAGTCTGCCATGGACAATGTGTTCCAATCATTATAATTGGGCGCGAAATTTTAACAAATTCATCGACGTTGTCGGTATTAAAAATCCGACCTCGAGTTGTTAAGAATCAAAAGGGAGGATAAGATGCACGTTTTTTAAAAACTTGTACGTGAACGTGTAGACTTGTGGTCGTAAATGGATTATAGTTCTTCCATTATTTAAAGTTTTTACTTGGCCAATTGAATGTTAAGGTATATAATTAGGTCCATGGAAAAGTTAATTGAGAGCGGGATAGTTATCCCAGGGGGTCGAAATATTACACGGTCACGTATAGCTTCTCCTAATGAAAGTGTAACTTAATCTACATAATATTCAAATTTTAAGTGTATTGTTGCTCACCTGTCATATGCGCATGATGTTGTTAAGCTTATCGTAGTATCATCATTATCGTTTATATTCCAATGGTATCCGGGAGTTGTACGTAGAGCTAGTGCAGGTTTCTCTTTATCAGTCACATAGTTGCAATCCGCATTTAGATCTCCGAGGATCATGATGTTTTCAGTAGGGTTGTCGGCAAATCGATCTTTTATTTGAGCCATGACAGGGATAAGGCCGTCAAGTTCATCTACTGCGTCTGTAGGCTTAGTGTGCAGTCCAACTAGTGTAAAGTCCGTCACATCTGAAATTAGATCACGTTAATTTATAACGCGAGTTTACATTTTTTATTTCCATATTTACAACCGTGTATTCATTATAAACGACGCGATGTACTAGGCATCAAATTGCAAGACCAATTAATATCTATCTAACTAGACATATTTGGTCAGCTGCGGAAAACGGGTATACCTATTCAATGACTGAATAATTAAAACAAAAACAAAAAGGAACATGCGTGGTCGTTTGCTCTTAAAACATATCTGTGCTGCTGTACAGATTTTAAGGTATTTTATGGGTAAAGCAAGTGCCGCCATTTGATGATCGAGGTGTTTCTAAATTGCTATATAATCGATTTATGACTGACGAACCCGTTTGCGAAACAGTGAGTGGAATTCGTTGAATGGACATATACCACCCTTGGTATACGCAGCTGACGAAATGGACCGGTACGGGTCAAAAGCTGGACCGGTTCGGGTTAACGGTTTTATTTAAATTTAAAACAGCCATAACTTGCTCAATATTGACTTCTTCGTGTCTAATTTGGAATATATGATCCCTCCGAATGATTTTAAGTACCCCAAATTTTTACAGATTTTTAAACGGAACAAAAATCTCTAAATGCTATTTTTGGTCTTCTCTCGAGAATTTGTTCCGTTTAAAAATCTGTAAAAATTTAGGGAACTTAAAATCATTCAGAGGCATCATATATTTCAACTTAGAAACTAAAAAAGTCAATATTGAGCAAGTTATGGCAGTTTTAAATTCAAATAAAACCGTTAACCCAACCGGTCCAGCTTTTGACCCGTACCGGTCCATTTTGTCAGCTGCGTATACCAAGGGTGTATACATTACTTACGCTTCGTGGGAGCTTTAAATCTTACAATATAAGGCTCTCTTTCAAAAATGTCTGATATGTCGTTAAATACAAACTCGTCTGTCACAGATAGCTCATTCCTGGAATTCAGAGAACACACATGTTTTTGACAAAAGAGTGGGCACAGGCACGGACCTCAAGAAATTCCGTGATATAGATATCAGATGAGGAAATTGTAAATAGTTTTAAAGAAGATCTTTTAAAGAAGAATTTAAAAGCGAGCCCACCTAATATAATCTATCAAAAGTGACAGATGGACCATCGCGTTACCCGCGCGCTCTTTGTCTTGAATTTTCTACAGTATGGCACAAGAAAGATAAGATGGTGTCTGGTAAACCTAATTACCCAAATTGGAGCATACTAAATCTTGAACTGAATAGAAAATGAACATAGTACAATTAAGTATAACACAATATAATTGCATAATTACGTTAGACTTGCTAGAAAGGTGGTATGTATATTCGCCGGAATAAAAACAACCTATACGTACCTGTATATATAGGCATATTGCTCTTTGCTACTCGTCCGACCTAGTCTCGCGCTCTGTACTAAGGAGTACTCAGATGCCCTGGTACCAAATACAGAAAAACGAAAAAATCAAAGAAAATAATAGAGTGCAAATCGAGAATTTACATTTCAAAACAGTTAATAAGTAGCATCATCGATTACAAAATTCAATCACTACGTTCAATTAAGCTTGATGAAGCAAGATGATTAAGTAACATTTACACGAGTCGAAAATTTACCACGGGAGAATTCAGGCTTCGTACGTACCCTTCGTTGACCAAGGCTAATAGATCAAGTATCGCAGTCTCTTTCGCATCTCGAATCTCTTGTATCAGTATTACATCATATCTGCGAACAATCTGAAATGTTAAATAGACGTGTATCTACCTTGTACTTTTCTTCTTAAGGCCCGGTCACACCGCCCGGACGTTGCTGGAGCGTTCCTTGAACGTTGAAAAAATTCATCAACGCTCGTCAACGCGCACAAAATGGGGAAAAAAACAAAAACACGGGCGTTGGCTTAGCGGTGCACCGCTGAAGCTGGCGTTGCTTTAGCGTTGGTTAAGCGGTTGCGAGCGGTAGCTAGCGTTTGTTTAGCGGTAATGCGAGCGTTGGTATAGCGGCGTTCTGCGCATGAGAGCGTTGCCTCGGCGGGGGTATAAATAGCAGCAGCGTTGGTTTAGCAGCCTATCGCGTTTGACTACTGGGAAATTATTTCAAGTGGGAAGTGTTTAAGAGTAAAGACCTTTATTGGGATTTGTAACTTAACAAAAGTCCTTCAAGGATTAAAGAAGAAATGTTTTAAATCTAAAGTGCTTCTATTAATGTAATATGACATTAAGAATGAATAACATTACAATTTTCTTTAATAATCTCTCATATCATTTCAAACAAACATATCACAATTTAATCGTTGCATTTCCATTACTTGGAACCGATTTACGTTCAAATTGCTTTAACAATGTCAAATAACATTTACAGCAAAGTAATAATCATGACGCATGACAAATTTCTGCATTGCTGTGCGCGCATCAACTTTTTGTATAATATCATGACGAGTGCAACATATTACAAGCTGCGCAGAAAATTCACAGATAATTTATTGAATTGCTTGACGTGAAAACACTAGGTATATACTATATTTGAATAAAGGTCTCAGTAAAAGTCTATTTGTATTAACATTTAATGAAAAACAAAAATCGCATAATTCACCTTTTTAAAAACAAAATCACAAACTTTGAGCGCTTAATTTAGGAATTTAAAATGCAAAAAATTGAAATGCCAGACATGAATATATATCAAATGTAAAATGCACAAGTGTCTCCACAGTGTTCTACACAGTGTTCAGTTGATAGCCACCATTCTATCCTGCCAGTTCACCGATCCTGCATTTCTCTACGTATTTATAGCCAAATTCTGGTCCCGCTCCGACACCTCTATACCAACGCCAAAGCAAAGTTCATCGCCGCCATGGAACGCTGCGACAACGTCCGACACCGTTCCAACAACCCCATGTACGCTGATAAAACGCTAACAACCGCTCCACCGACGTTTGTGCAACGTTTAATCGCCGCCCGGGCAACGCTGGCGAAGCAGCGGTGGTCCAGCGTTTAAGATTTCTGCGTTGGTCTAGCGGATTCAAGCGTCCACAAACTTGCGTCTAGCGGTGCCAAACTTTGACTGGGCGTTGGTGGAGCGGTGATAAACTTTGCCAGGGCGTTAGCTTGTCCCTTTTTCAACGCTCGCAATATTTTGAGCAGCTCAAAACTTTTGGAGCGTTAGGATGGCCACTCGAGAAACATCCGCGTTGGCCGAGCGTTTACAGCGTTGCTTTAACGGATGCCAACTTTTGTTAAACGGTGGTGAACGTTTACGAGCGTTGATGATTTTTTTAAACGTTCAAGGAACGCTCCAGCAACGTTTAGGCGGTGTGACCGGGCCTTTACTTTTAATAATCGCGTTTGTATTCGTAACTCAAAATTCTTCAAGCTTGGTAAACTAAATCTTGTAATTCATCAGGAGAGGGCAAAATATTTTTAAGAAGACCTAAATTTGGATTCATACAACGTCAGGAACAAAGTGGAATTGATTTATCATTGATTATGACTTCTCTAAAATATATATTTTGAAATAATGTACTTTAAAAACGGGTAATTTTACTAACCCGTTTTAGTATGTCCATAACCTCGGGCTTCTGTGCCTTGCTCTGTCCAAATATCCGGACATTAAATGCACCTATCTTCTGTCCCAAGATACAATGGGATGGTAGCAGAACCACTAGAAAAACGAACAGTCCCTTCCAAAACATCTTCTGAGCACAATACGAGGATCTTGATTACGGTTCGTCCTGGCCGTTCGGTATTGTACTGCAATACGTTACATGCGCTGTGACATGTATCGTCTAGTAATTACTACATTATATAGTATATTATTATTATAATATATTAAATCTTTAATGACTAACATTTTACTAACTAAACCGAATTCCCCGAAAATATAACCATGCAATCTTCAAATATTCATCAAACTAGGTAGTAATTTTATCTAAGTCTAAGTCTTGTCTATCAGACTCAATGTAAAGACTCTGTCGAACTTCTGGGAGAGAGTTCGTGTATGTCGTCACGTTATAATCTGCTGTTGTTGCACTAACTGAAAGAAAATGAAGGAATGAATACACTATTGTTGTTTTCTTTAAACATTTTTTGATCGGACCAGACGGTTTTTAAATGTATTCAAAACAGAAAAATTGAACACCTAAAAGGAAAACAATCAATAAATAGTACAAGCTTACATACTGAAAATAGCCGATGTAACTTGCTTGTTTAAATGGCAATCGTCCTCATAATCAAGTTAATGTACATCTGGAAAATAACATTTTTGTAAAAATTGCGATACCAGCACATGTTATTTTCTGGTACAAAATAAGGTATGAAGGCAAGTGTCAATTTCCTTGATTTTTTCAGGAAAGTATCATTACACTGTGTTCTTTTAGAATATCTGGTAGGAGTTCAATGGGAACTCCAGGAAATTCTGATAATTCACGCTTTCTATTTTTCCAAATATTCTTTCAGTTTCCAGACAACACAGGAGCTACCATTGACCTGTTTCCAGGTTTACTATAAAGTAGACAGTGTAATGATACTTTGCTGAAAAAAGCAAGGAAATACACACATGCCTTCATACTTAATTTTGTACCAGAAAATAACATGTGCAGGTATAGCAATTTTTACCAAAATGTTACTTTCCAGCTGAACCTTAATATACCTTACTATCAGTGGCGGATTTGAAAGCTAACAACAGGGGACTCACATCTTGTCAGAAAGAATATTTTCAAATATATTAATTTTTGGGCCCAAACATTTTTCGTGGGCCCATCCTAGTGTCCCTCCCCCAGATGCGCCAGTGAGTGATAAACAAGTCGGAAACCTCGCGTCTTTCACCATCGCCGAACCTCCTTGCTTTCCTATCACCATGGACTATATACTGATAACCACGTGATAACTAAATTGCTAACTCAGTTATCAAGCTACATGTGTAATTTGTGTTTGGGCCAATATAAATATATTGACAGACTCGTATGATAAATGCTAAAATCAAAACACAAATTCTCGGGATAAGTTCAAATGGTTAAAATAACGAAATAATGAAATGTTACCGTGTGTCTACTTAGCAGTTTGTTCTATGTCATCCCTCCTGCTAGGTTACATTGTGGAACGCCTTTCCCATACGTCCGTCATTTCATTTAACATATCCATGGGTCACGATCAATGTGATGCCGCCGTGGTGTACACACAGTGTTAAATACTAAGTGTAAACAAAATGCAACGTTCTGTATACTAGGCTATATGTATACATAATATTAGTTGTCCATTGACCTCAAACCGCTCATAAATTGTTTTATTTCGGTAAATGGTTTAAAGGCTTCATAGCGAATATGCTTGCTGATAAATTAGTTGCGGCATTCAGCATGTAGAACCTTTTTCAGTGTACAGTATCGCTGTGTAAATAAACTTGATATGAACTTGAACCGTTGTAAGGACACGTCAGTACAACGCAGCATGTACCATTTATTGGTTCGGATTTCTGACAACGCTTACAATAATCTAAGCAGATATAAGCTTCATTTAAATAATACGTGGTTTTAGTGGTCGTTTTATCATTCTACAGTAAGTACTTGATAAGTCTATAGTTTTGATGGCGACGCAAACTTCAAAACAGTAATACAGTAAAATACATGCATCCTAAAACGCATTTAATCTTACCTTTCCCATACGTCCATCATTTCATTTAAACATATCCATTGGTCACGATCAATGTGATGCCGCCGTGGTGTACACACAGTGTTAAATACTACGTGTAAACAAAATGTAACATTCTGTATACTAGGCTATATGTATACATAATATTAAGTTGTTCATTGACCTCAAACCGCTCATAAATTGTTTTATTTCGGTAAATGGTTTAAAGGCTTCATAGCGAATATGCATGCTGATAAATTAGTTGCGGCATTCAGCTTGTAGAGCCTTTTCAGTGTACAGTATCACTGTGTAAATAAACTTGATATGAACTGTTGTAAGGACACATCAGTAAAACGCATCACGTACCGTTCAGTGGTTATAAATGAATCAGTGTAAATTGCCATGTTTCTAGGCCTATGGTCACCTCAATTGATACAATGTAAAAATTGTGAGATTAATTGACATGTGTCAGATATATGCCAATCAACGTAACTTTGGAAGACCTTTTTAATGATATATCACACTTGGTACCAAATATCTTGGTTTTGGCTGTAGAGGGGAGGGGGGGGGACTTATTTGACACCCTGTAATATTATTATGACATGGATACTAGTATGTGTTTTCCGATAACCCATATATATTCTGCATACATTCATTTAAAACATTTGGAGGACAAATGGTAAAAAAGACGGAAAAACAGTTATGCATGAGACATGACACATTTCGGCCTAAAATCGTTGATAGCTCAACAGCCCCCCCCCCACTATCTGGACTACTTGTTAGGGTCTGAGGGGTTTTAGTTATGCATTTTTATTCTCGTCAGTTCAGTCTAAGTTGTTTTAGGTTGGAAGTATCAAATTGTTCCATAACAATACATTCACTTTTCGAAATCTGAATAAAGCTACCATCTTCTGTCAAACTACTATTTTTATATGGAGTCAGGATTAAAGTATATTCCGATGATTTCCATATAAGTAATACTAGAAACATGTTTATTTTCATTTTTGAAATTCTCAACAATGTTTTTTTTTCATAAATCACCAAAACGACAACACGAGAAGGGAAGTAATGATGCTATCCAAATCAACATATTTATATTGTGTTTAAAATTATTACCATATTTTGATTCTCGTAAAAAGGATGTAAGATGCTAACTAGTCTTTTATATCAGATTTCAAATGGGTAGAAGTGAGTTTCTAAACATAAGGGAGTGTGTACTTGTCTTGGTGTAATTCAAAAATCTTTTAGTCTGAGTTTTAAAACATGACCTAGTTCGCTTGGTTTAAATCCCGCTAAGGTAGCAACACAGTAGGCAAAAAACAATTTGTGTTATTTGAAGTATAACAGTTGCTGCACTAAAAAATTTGTAATGAATAAAGCATAGTATTACATTTCATTTTTATGATAACCAGTCAAAGCATCGACGTCTTAATTGAGTCCATTCTTATTTTAATTAAATCATTGTCCGTATACATATATCTTACATCATATATATTATATAAATCATGTTTTAATAAACAAACATTATACACTTCTGGCAGAGTCATTATCAATATTAATATTGTATTCTTGGAAGACTTCCTCGTCTGAACTTATCTTCATCCCAAGGTCGACCATCATGATATTCAACCTTTGCGGTAATCGTTGCTCGGGGTATTTGGACATTCTGCATAGGAGTAGGCCCAGGTACATTTTGATACACAGTCTCTTGCGTATATCCTCCGTACATCGGGTTAAAATGTGCTCCAGGTGGTTGTGAGTAGTCGTTGGGTGCTGTAGCGGTCGTCTTAACTGTCCTCTTACTAGCTATCCTGTAATGTAAATAGCATTAGTCGGCTAACTGACATCAACAGGGCCATTAAAAATGTTGTTGATCCATCATTTGACAACTAGAAAACTACAATTAGACCTTTCCGATAGACCCTGTCTTGTTGGTATACAATGAAATCGAACTTTCTTGGCCAGATTAATCATGCAATACGTTAGAGATAGCACAGTTTCCATATTAAATAGGATAAATCTGTTGCTAATTTTCTAAAAAAGATCTTCATGTTCCTTCTTCTTGTTTTTAATTTTCTCATTTATCGACATCATGAATCGAGTTAGCTAATATACCACTAGTAAACATCGATTACCCAAAATAATATGTGTAAACAAAAGGTAAATGGTGTATGTATATTCTTTAAAAATCAGGTTAAAATGTCAAGAAATAAAAAAATGAGATCATTTGGTAAGAAACTTTCTGATCGGGCCTCGTATATACCTTGGGTAGCAACAAGTGGATGATTTATTTGTAAACTCTGCCATATTGACATTAAAGGAACATTACTGGCCAGACCATTTCTCTCCTAATATGGTAGCTATAACCATATATATACTTTCAATATTTAGCAAAACAGGGAAAAATGTTTTAATATAGTCAATATTGATCACTTGAAAATGTAGTGCTGAATTCCAGTAGGCTGCCATCTTTTAGTATTTCACTCAGGAAGTGATGTCATCGACTCTCAACTTTGCATATAACATTTTAAGGAGCTATTAAGTATTACAAAAACCAGCTGTGCATTCTTTTTCAAGTTTGTCTATGATTTAATCCTTTTATAAGTCTCTATTATTCTAAGCTGACAAACTCTGAAAATATTTTTGCACATAAGGTAAGAACCACTTGTCTAGAAGTGATTTTGTGCTACTTCCCTATACTGTTATATGCAAGGTCATGGAAGTTGAGAGTCGATGACATCACTTCCTGAGTAAAATCTTAAAATATGGCAGCTTACTGGAAATGAGCACTACATTTTTAAATTATCAATATTGACTATATTAAAACATTTCCTGGTGTTTTGCTAAATATGGAAAGTATATTTATGATTATAGCTATCACATCAGGATAGAAAAGGTTTGGCCAGGAATGTTCCTTTAAACTACCTGATGAAGCAGGCGACAACAGCTGAGATGATAATGAAGGCAACCACACAAACTCCAACAATGATGGCAATGTCGCTAGGATGTAGGGGGCTTTGGTATGGCGGCTGACTGGTTATCGGAACTGCAACAGAAATAGCATTTTAACTTCATATGCATTGTATATTTTTAAGTCGTCTGCGTTATGATCAAAGTAGAAATATTGCAGAAGATCAAATTTGAGATGATGAACTTTGAAATAGACTGCAAAGTTTGGATTCTAGTATAGCACAGGGTGGTTCAAAAAATTGGAACATTTGTTAATTGAACACAAGACCTTTATTTTTCCTCTAAAATGCACCAAAATTCACTGAGCATAGTTTAGTCACTTATCTCTCTGATGTAAAGTTTATAAGTGCAAACCACAAAGTTAATGCATTAAACTAGTCAAAGCTTGATATGACCCCCTTTCCTTAAATATACACTCGTCAATTTCGCAGCTACTTTTTCAAGTATTCTTAATTTCAAAGCTTTAATGAACATGTGGATTGCTATACACATTTTATAAGATCATATTTAGTTGACATGAGGTATTAACATCTATGGTTTACTGGAAAACTATTGTCAACTTAAGAATACCCCAAATCATTATTTTTATTTAAGAGATGGAAAGAAAGAACATGTCAGAGGTGAGTGATTGCATAATCCATACAGCTACTAAACTGACAAAATCATTGTTTCCACTTTTCAGTAGAGGGGTAACTGACTAGTTATTTACAAGGCTATATTAAAGACAACCTCTAGGCACACATAATATATCATTTGTGTTCTGGGAAACTCCTTTATGATATTGATATACATATATTGATATATTCAATAAATATTATTCATATTAGAACAAGAAAGGGGAGGGGGTTCATTTACCAGTCAAAACAGACTGTCCTGGCCTCTTTCTGGAGAATATTCAGTCAATAATATATCCAAGAATAGCCATCAAAATATGCTTGATACCCATCAATTTGGGTAAAAAAATGTTGAATATGTTCATATATTTGATCTTCCTAGGCAAACATATAAGTAGTTTGTTCAAGTTGAATTTTTAATCAAGATGGCTTGGACAAAATCAAACGAACAGCAAAGTGAATGAATCATTTCAAAACTGAGTCCCAGGCTTCAACTTGTAATTCAGGAGAAAAGGGGTCATGTCAAACATTCTCTAGTTTAATGCATTAACTTTGTTGTTTGCACCTATTAACTTTACATCAGATAAATAAGTGATTGAACAATACTCAGTAAAATGTTGGTGCACTTTAGAGAAAAAATAACGATTTGAGTTCAATTATCAAATGTTCCAATTTTTTTTTTGGACCACCCTGTATATAGGGGCCTAGTCCATTTGAGCAATAATCCCTACTTTATTAATGGTTGACCCCTGATGGTGAAAGTCCATATCTAAAGAGGTATTAAGATCCAATTTTCAAAAAACTGCCATAATTTTAGCAAATGGTATTTTTATATACAACTGGTTCATTGATACCATTAACACCACCGATACTGAAAAAAACAGTTCAAAATGTTGATGTGCCGATTACGTAATTTGTTCATATTTTTAAGATTAATAACGTCAAATTTATAGTGGAGAAACCTAAAATATATACTGAAATTTATTTCGTATAATTTTCTGTAGAACTACATGTATGTACTCCAAATTGTAATGACGAGATTTCATTTTTCCTAATAATTTAATGACATCTGCTAATGACACACAAAGTTAAGCCCAAACACCTGAAGAACATTGAACGACTATAATAAAAACAAACATGCTGGACATGTGTTTGTATGAAAATCTGTGGTCAAGTATCGCTGCGCTATATTGTGTTACCAGCTCGTTCACTAGTACTTACCTTCTTCCGTATCTGTATCGTTTCGGTAAATTGCAGGCACATCTGGAGGAGACGTTCCGTTCTTATCTAAAATGAATGGAATGACATATTGCATTTTATCTCGATAACCATGTTTTCTCCGAGTCTTAGCAAATTAGTGGTTGAGTTTTTGAAACCCCTCAAAATGAGTGATCGGGTAAATATGAATCGAGTTTTTTAAACCTATTATCTTACATTGCGATTAATGTATTAATTAGTTTATCTACATGCATCCTCCTAATCAGATGTCCAGAATCCGTACCTCCTTTTCCCTCCCCCTGCTATAACCAATAAGGAAGCTCAGAATTAAACTGGATCACGTGATCTAATTATGCGCCGATGAGGTAAATATCTGTTATCAATGATTTCAGATTTAACCAATCAAATTTACTTTTCCTTAAAACAACTACCCATCGAACATAAGGTCAACTAATTTAAGGTTGCGCAAGGTTTTCATGCGCTTGTACACCGTGACAGTTCTTTGTAATTGCTCAAATAATGAGATCCGAGCAAGCATATATACCTTATGAATAAAAACTTATCATACCAACATTTCACATTTGCTCTCGATCATGCATTAATGGAATGTATTTTTGAGACAGCTTTGAATGAATTTGGTTTGAAAAGGAAGCAGGAATGCGTGTACGAGATTATTTGATGAAGTGTCGCAGAGATGCGACAACGAATCAGATTGTGAGTTATTTCTAGGGGAGATGCTAACTGCTTTTTACAGGAGAAAGAGAAAGAACATATTATTCTTGATCATGAAGCCATGTGATTAGATGATGATTGACATGGCATACGTACAACAATCCAAAACTCCAGTAGATCCCATTCCTAATGTGATCTTCCCGTCTGGACAACGTAAACACGAAGATTGCTGTTCCTGGTGTTGATAATGGCCCATAGGACAGAGAACACAGGCGAACTTATCGTTTGCATATGTTCCAGGCCTACATGCAGCTAAAATAGAGTTTAAAGTTTGAGTATCTGTTTTTTGTGACATGGTTTCATGGTTTTTAACGCTTACCATCACTGATCACACAACAATACAAAAATACCTATGTATAGTATTGGTTCTATGATAAGGATGGCTTGATGGCGGTGCAATACATTGGTGATGATCCATTTGCCATGGTTTCCGGAATTATCAGTGTTAAGTGCCTATTACATTACCAATGCTTAAAACGAGGTGTTTCTTATCGATGAACATTTACTGAATATGTAATTTTTTTATAAAGTTAAGAACAGTTTGACATCAACGGACAAACTATTACCATGGCGTCACAACATAATATGGATTATTGTGATTAAACGCACATCGATATTGAATGTTTTGTAGGGCTTAATTTTTATAAATAAATTACCGCATTTCATTCCATTTCCTCCAGCCGAAAACCCATGTGGACAAATAACATCTGACCACGCATTAGCGTCCTTTGGGAAAATCTTGACTCCATCAAGCTCAAGAAATATATCATTATTGTATACCATAGCGCTTATAATCGGCCCAATTGTATTCATTTGATCAAGGAGATTATTCATCGATAAACCTAACAAATACAGTATATATTATGTATAGGCATTACAATATATCAGATTATACCATATTTTAAGGAAATGATGGCTAAATGCATGACCAGCTAGTCTTAATACTAGAAATAGAATTGGCATTTTCATTCTGCCCTCAATGGGCAACACTGATGTTGAAAATTTGCCCACTGTGTACAAGCAGACTCGATCGAGAGAAATTAGGTCTTGCTTCGTGGGATTGGATATGACCAGTGAGTTTGATATACTAGTGCTAACTTCAAACTCACCGTCACTTTTGTGAACCACAAAGTCAATCGCGACATTGGTATCTGGCTTTGTATTTTCGCTAAGCATGCTCGTGTATCCCGTCGTAAGGTCATCACATCCAGTAATGTTGAAGCTCACAGGGCATGTGTCTGTTAAACAAGGCGCGTACCTTGATAGATCATGTACATATCCCTGAAGTTGACTTTAAATGGATGATATATCTTGTCGACTGCATGTTACGTTTGGGAAGGTGAAACCTCCATTCGGCAAAATGGCTTGTACTCCAGTAGCTGATACAACTACACAAATTAAAATATTGTTAATTTAAAACACACACCTTATACATGTATAATCTATTCTACTAATTACTTTTGAACATATTAATGACTTATTCAATTTATTACTCTGTTTTTTTCTTGTTTATTTAATGATTGCTCACTAGTACACATTGGTAACATAGCGTGATCATTAATCCCTGGCATTTCGTGATTCCATGTGTAATTTGACAGTGGTCCGCACTCATATGCATCAAGTACAGGGCCGCTAAATGCATAACGGTCTGGACAACTAATGTTACATGTTATGTTGCCTCCTGGGACTGGTCGGTTTGGTTCACAAGTCAAATATCCTCCTATAGGCCTTCTAAGTGTTTTACATACTGTAAAGGCAATTTGAATATACCATATTAGCAATGCAAAACGAAAACTTATTTTAACACCATGAGTACAGTTCCAGTCTTGTGACCTAACAAATATTTCATCACACCTAAGGTCATGGACAAGATGCTGTTCCTAAAATAAGTTTTTAAAAACTTTTTGGGATGTCATAAGACCAAGTATTAGACTAACATACGTAGTATGTTCGATGTTTCTAAAAATATACGATATACTTTAGACATAACAAAAGTTACCTGGACATTCATGTGTATTGCAAGGCCTGATTTCCGTTGAATTACCAGTGCAATTTAACCCGCCTGATGATGGGACGGGGTTGTTGCACTCATTGAATCTCCATTGCAAGCCACCGCCACATTCCTGAGTACAAGGGGACCATGTTGTCCAATTGCCCCATCCCCCATTTACTATCAAAGAGTATACATATTCGATTACATTGTTCATGCATAATATGTGTAATATTTAAACCTCTTGTTGGAAAATTCTGTAGGACAACTGTATACAATTACCTTTTTCAATTTCGCAATATATACCAGTGTACTCCGGTGGGCAGACACAGATATACTCCCCTGGACTCTGCAGGGATGGTTCACACGTTGAATTACCAGTACAGTTGTGAAACTTGCAATCAAATATTTCCGTTTCACAGCGAGATCCTATAATTTAAGTCAATACATGTATCCCAAATTATATTACAATTATGTTTTATTTAAATGGATTATTAATTCACTAAACTAGGTTTTCTAAATACTTAGTGGTACCCGTATGCGTTGGCGGACAGCTACATGCAAACGTTCCTGCTGAGTTTCTACAGGTTCCATTCCCGAGACATGGGGAAGGATCACATTGGTTGATTTCTAAAAGGATCGAAAGCAATTATATGCGAATTGGTAACGCCTAAGCGTAGATCATCATATTACGTTTTCTTCATAGTATGGGCCTCGAATGATTGGTAACTAATTAAAATAGTTTGACTACATATTAGATAATCACCAATCTATCTGAGTTGTCATGAGACTCATGGACACTTCGCCGAATCACAAGGTTAGTTGTTAAAATATCTATAGAAAAAATAATGTTACTTTAATAACTTGATTGTGCTACAACTAATTGTGCCATTACCAAAATGCGCATGTCGGCATATCATTCCAATATAATAAGATATTACCATTGATATAGTGTACATCTCAGAGTGAAATAGATCAAGCATAACATGGAGATTATTTATGTTAGTCTGTGGCTTATCCGATGCAATCCTTCAACCCAAGATATTAAAGTCACTTTTACTATTTACCTGTGCAATTCTCTGCATGCTGCATAGCTGTTCCAGTAGTCGTGAAACCTAATTGACATTCTTTGCATTGTAACTGCCCCTCTTCATTTTGGTATGTACCGATGGGGCACTCATCACATGATTTAGTATTGTCTGCATAGAAATAGCCGAGTCCACATTTTACTGCAAATAATGTTTACTAGTAATTTTAAGATGTGTTATTAAATAACAGTAGGTAAGGCCAATGGACACTTCTTTTTCTAATTTTCATAAAAACATTATTTAAATCTTCTATATCTGAAATTATTTTTGTGATATTTTTGCTGTTAGATAGAATACGCACCGCAATATTGTTCTTGAGTTTCGTCTTCACCATCGTGCCCCTTTGATGGAATAGATCCAAATGGACAGCCGGTCAAAACGAGCCCATGTGTGAAACTGTCTTTGACAACTCTCAAATTGAGAAATGGTAGTCTTGCTGCCAAGCCGAACCTCCCAGATACAAAGACATTTTCAAGTCTTACAAACATTGCATTAAGAGATTGCTCTGCAGCCAGAAATCGTTCACGATATGATCCAGTTTGAGCAAAATCCCAATTAAGATTCATTCGTATTCGTATGTTTGGATCATCTTTCGACATTGATTCCCTTCCACACCTCACTTCTACATTATCTACATTACATCCAGGATAGTTGTCACAAAGGGATACTCTTTCGATTTCACTCATGCGCTCAATGAATCTCTTTCTTATTATATCTTGTGTGTGGCTATCACTGCATAGCCCAGTGTAAAACAACTCAGTCCGAAGAGTTGCGTTACTGCCCTGACTACAGGCTACAATCATACCATATGGCATTAACAATAAACGATTATACTTAGTAACTGCAATATAGATAAAAGTGAGACAAGTACTTTCTCAGCAACCAAATTCACTGAGAATTTGTACAGAGTAATCAAAGGTGTTTCTTCTTTTTATATGTTTTTATGCATCAAAAAGAGTTATAGACCAGTTTCATACTATACGGGAACTGACAAATTAAGAAGAGTGTGTCAGAAATCCAATATCAGAGCAATGCGACCTTCATTATGTTTATGCCAGCTGAACAGTCATCTGCCAACCTGTTTTAGTCTAAAATAACTGTCTATATGTCAGATCCATTGACTCTTTTCATTGTTTGTATCAAAAATTAGTTCTATCCACTCTTTGGAAGAATTAACGATGCCTTTGAGTAAACGTGATGAGGCTACCATTGAAAACTGTTTTAAGGAGAAAGGAAAGGTAGAATAAAAATCGTGAAGGAGAACCCGAGCAAGTGGTGGGGCCATAAAACTGTAAATATACTTACACGTATAACCAAAATGCACTATACTACGATGAACATGTATAAAGGACGAGGCAATCAAATAAATGGAGGCGATGTCGCTGTCAGGAACATGAACAGCAGTTTTGCTTGAACAAACTTTTCTGGTGATCTTGGATATTTTGACATACCGCGGCTAATTTTTATATATTTTCTTGTGAGTTGCTGGTGTCAACCTACGAATGACTAGTGGACAATAGGTCTGCACATTCAAGATGAAGGTATCCCTAGTTAATATGTCAAATCATACAAATAAATATACCTTGGCAATCAATTTTCGTCGTTCTCGGCTGCCACTCATTTCCTACTTGACAATAGAAGTATCCTCTACTCGTCCCAAGGGCTGGATTATTTGGAAGACAAAAGTTCCCTTTACATACTACCCTACATAGCTCCCTTCCGATCCATGGTGCACAAGCCAGGGCACCGTTACCCGGAGGGTCAAGCACTGGGCAAGAATCGGGTGCTGGATTGGTTGCTGGAACGTGACATACGTTTCATTAAATTAAAACCGATCATGGAAACTGTTTCATTAATTTTACAATAGTAAAAATACCAAGAGAACATTGCTGTGTTACATTACGACCGAAAATTAAGACATATTTTTCACAGGCATTAATTAGCAACCAATGAAAATGTTTTTGACGACATCACATGGTAAAATCGCTACTACAAGCCTCAATGACTGATTACACTTATGGTTGTATCCATCAGACCATGGCCAAGCGCAACAGTAAAAATAGTACCTTTCACAAATATTCTATATGAACAATAGCCCGTCAATCCAGTTTCCGGGCATGTAGCATGGCATGCAACACGAACTGGTGAACTTAGGTCACTTCTTGTAACAATGATTTTCTCTTTGCCATCGAAACCTGGACACTCAATGCGCAAAGGTTCTGTATTTGGTGCACATATAATAGTCGGTAGTCGAAGTCTTACTTCGGCTCTTTGATGGTTTTCAATGTCCACTTCCATGTCATCGGGGCAGTATTGGACGATCGGTGTCGGCAATTCTTAAAAAAAACAAATTGTATCATGTGATTTTTAAAATCGGAGTTTGACTTATTTTAGACAAACAAAAGCACATCTTTTCATCAGATGATAATGTGCAACTAAAAGCGACGATGCCAAATTTATAGTGTGAGAAAATACAGTAAAAATATATCTTCGTGCAAGGATGATCTTCTATCTAGACATTTAGCGAGTTTAAGCTAGCATATATAATTGAAAAGCTTAAACTCAATATTATCTAGTTACCTATAGGCCTAATGCAACTAAAAATCACTTTCAATGATTTAAGAACAATATGCCTAGTTTGCTGCTTATGATCTAAATAGCAATTGGTATTCTTAATTATCGTATACGTTGAGATATGATATTTTGCAAAAAGCGATATCTGTGGAATACGCAAAATATCAAATATCCCACAGATATTTCCAAGAGTGTGAGGTGTATTGTTTCCTTGTGATTCCATGACCAAGTGTGATGAATGAATGTATGGAGGAAAAAACAATTATATTTTGAAATATGATTCTTGAATTATATGCAAATACTGACCTCGGCATTCCGGCATTTGTTCAGGATACCAAAGTCCACCTCTACTAGCATCGAATCGGCAAATTTTTCTTTTCAAGTTCTCACCATGCAGGTAATAGCCATAGTGACAGTTGATATCGCAAGTAGCACCCTCTTTACCGATATCACACCGTATTACCATATTCGTATCGTTACTTATAATTCCCCTGCATATAACCTCAGCTTTAACATAAACAAATCGGTATCGTTGACGGTATCGAATACGTTTAATTGGAAAGTTGTCATGTCCATGGTCAAATAATGTTGAAAGGTTATGGATCAAACCGAATATCCATAAGGCTGGATTTCGAAAACTATATTTAAATAATGATAAGACTGAAAGTACATGTTTTCCAAACGAAATATCAGCGTTTTGTAGTCAATAACTAAATCCATAATGGCGATCAGGGTATACATGGTGTCCCGAAAGTATGCCCCCCCCCTAGGCAGACATATACCAGTGTCGTCATAGTTTGTGACATATATCATTTTTTAGCTTATCCAAAGTTATTGATTTGCCAGGTATCATGGTTCAACTCTTAAATGGGAAAAAGTGACAGTTATTTTAAAATTTAGTGTTTGGCCAAAATGAAGTTCAATTTTACACCGTATTACTAGCCAATGAGACCTCCCCGGCCATGTTATCAGCAGCAATTCTTTTCCGATATGACCTTAAAAGCTCTCCAAATAGGGGTGTGGAAATTTGTAATTCTCTTAAACCTTTTAAACCACTTTAGAAAAGTTTTCTTGGAGTATCTACCCTCACTGTTCTCTTTTTACGACCTGAAAAGAATTGCTGCTGTTAAGATGGCCTGAGAGGACACATTGACTAGTGGTTTGGTGTAAAATTGAACTAAATTTTGGACAAATACTAACTTTTGAAATGCCTGTAATTTTTTCACATTTGAGAGATGAACCATGATACTTGGCGAATCAATGTAACTGGATAAGCTTTAAAATGACACATTCTATGACGACACTGGTATATGTCTGCCTTGGGCAGGCATACTTTCAGGACACCCTGAATATTTCACTTGGACAGCCTTTCAAAATAAGTTCATTCTGCTGATTCTGATCAGGTGCCTAAACAATATTGAGTTTACACCAAAAATAAAAATTCCAATCTCTTATAAATTATATTTCTTCGTTTGATTACAGTAGCTTTTCAAATAATTCATTAAAATGTCGTGTGGAAACAGACGCTAAAGACAATGTCGATTTCTCTAAACATAATACATACATTTGCACTCCATGGATTCCAGTGACCACGGGTGACTATCTTTAGGCCTGTTATTGTATCTTTTGCAGTTTGACGTGAGTTGATTTGGAAAAGCTGGTTGATATCCATGTCTACATCGAATGGCACATTTAGACCAGTAAAGATTACTGGCGTCGCATTCCACACTGGTGTGACTGTTACGTAGTCGGGGATGACTTGGAAAGCAGCGGTTTACTAGCAAATTGGACGAGTTATTATAGTTTTTTCATTTTTCGGGAAGAATATATCATGAAAATAAAAGACAGAATTTGATCTATAGGGGGGGGGGAGGGTACATCACAATGCTGCAAAAATAGCTGAAAAATTCGCGTAATCATTACAACCCTTATACTGCATGCATGGTGAAAGCCGTCGTTCATTAAAATAATGATACACGTCACTTGTGCGACATTCGCTATTATACGCTTTAGCTTTACATCTTCCCTTCCATAGTGTATCAGTAAGAGACGTACCAACAGCATCTACTCTGCGCCTGCATTCGGCAGTCTCTCCAAGATTGGTACCAGCTTTAAACCCAAATGTATGTAACCCATGACGCAACGCTGTTGGAACTTTCGGACCAAGTATCTGGTGGGTAAACGTTCTGTAAAAATACAATACACATGTAGTATGCGTATACACATGTATTATATTTCGCTAATTTTCCCAAAACTCGCGAACACGCGAAAAATAGTAGCACGCGAAAAATACCGGGAAACATTACAGTAATTTGGTTCCGTTTCGGCAAATCTGATTTACATCGAAATTCCGGTTAGCCATTGCCGATGCACTTGCAGCATAAACTTTAAATCTGCAAGTTCCTATGACTGACTACAGCTATTCTGCTAAAAGCATAGCATTATCATATGAAATAAAAAAAACTATATAAATTGTATACATACAACCACCTTGCACCAATAGCTTCAGCATGGAAATACACATCTTTCGACGTAACCCATACATAGTCTTCCTTCCGGTTGTTCTGTTTTAGCAAGGCTTTTTTGTCTTCACCACAGTGAATAGATGCTAAAATGTGTATGAATTAATAAGAATTCGGCCAGAAATTAAATTAATTCACACAGTAAGTCAAGAACAGGGTTAGGAGAATAACATGAAAATCTCAAATATTTGTATTTCTTCACAAATATTAAATCAAAGACACAAGAAAGCTGTTTTACAATATGCAAATGTATGCTCTAAATATGTTTCTAATGATTTTTTTGAATTTGTAAGACACAACTTACTGATTATATCCAATGTCAAAATATCGAATTATCTTAAAATTGAATTTCATTCAGGAACTACGTATAGGGTATCATAATCATTAGCAATAGCAAGTGCTATGGATATGAAAGGGATCACTTGCCAGAATTCTTAAATGCGATACAACATGGCAAGTCACTTATTTCAATCTGAAAGAAGCTGTTTTTCCAAGCAGAAATGCTTTCCTGAGGCCTTATTCACAATGTGTCGCATCCTATGCGATTGCGACGTCGCAATCGCATTTCAATTGCGATATACTTTGTGAATAAGGCCTCTGTATTGTCCATCGTTATCTTCTCGCATATACAAGGGTCATTCGAAAAGTCTTGCACGACAGCTTCTCAAGAGAAGAGATTTTATTATTTTTATGTGAAATTTCATACAGATATACTATAACCCTTCTTACAAGCTTATATGAAATTTCAGGACCATAAGCAATATACTTCCTGAGATACATTGACTTAAAAATTTGAACCAATGGCCCCATGGTACATATGACGTCATTAGATTTAATTGATTTTGTGAATGCCTTTATAGACTGAAATGATTCCGTCAATCTTTGTTCTTTCTGCTGTTAATCAGGTTATATTATAACTAATTTTTATTTAATCTAAATATGCAGTACTTAACATATAGTTTTCCTTTCAGTAATGCATTATACTTGTAGCATTACGTCCAGTCCATAAGCAAATGTCTGAACCATCCTACCTAGAGGATATCAAGCCCTCTCACATAATAAGTACAGCTACCCTCAATACATTTCCCTTCTCTTATTCCATCTTGGAATACTTAGCAAACCCTATTGGAGTCATCATATGCAATATGTCTTAATCATGAATGAGTATAACTTGTGTAATACTGTTTCCCCATTCTTTATCATGTATTCTATCAATGTTTTCTGCTCCAACTTTATAATTCAAAGCCATATTCTCCAATATTTCCTGAATTCATGAGAACTTTGATAACGTCACAAAATCAGGTGATTTGTTCAAGATGTTTGAAGAGTATGTTTACGGTCATCCTTTCACATAACCAAAGAAAACAAGCTGGGAAATATTGAGATAAGATTCACATTTTCCATTGAGAACAATACGAGAAATTGTTTACATTTAAATTGACAGTTCATGAAAGTTAATTTAGCGTGCTTAGTAACATTGATCTTTATGTGTTACTAGTTATCTTTTACAAAATGGTATGTACCATAGCGTCATCACCGTGGTTACTATAGCAACTGTAAAATGTTAAGTAGTAGGCGTATATACAATAAACTTTGACAGTGTAAGGGAATAAGATATGGGCACATACATACCAACTATGAACAAGATTGGTCCATTATTCTCACAATTAGACATATTTGTGCAAAACTTTTTGAACAACCCTTGTAATTATGCCGTCTTTCATATTTGTTAGATGTAATGCGTTTTTATTAATACATTTATTTACAGTAACATGACTCTAGCCCTTAATTCCTTTACCACCCAAACATATTTTGGAAACATTGAACAATGAAACAAATAATCGACCCAACAACAAAAGGTATTAAAAAGCAAGCCAAGAGTCCTTTTTAAGCGTTCCTATTATTACTATTGAAAATGGATTCTAGCAATAATATCCAATATGAATTTACTTGTTGAGACTCGATCAACTTGAGTTCTTCTGAGAAAATGATGATTTCAGCAAGGGTTTAATTGAATAAATATGAAGAATTGACGTCATCCTGCATATCTACACGTAGATTTGCAGGAAGAGGTCTATTTCAACCCCATGCTAAGTTTGTACCTAGCCATGCGGTATGTATTTGTCGATATAACACCTGTTCTCCAGGTCTATATTCAGAATTGAGAAACGTGAAGAAGCCACTATAAAGAAACAAATAGCTAGATTGTCAATTCCTAGTTCTACAATATGAAAATTGCAAAAAGCAAAAGGTGACTATTTTAAAGAGAAGCAGTGACAAGTGCAGTTCAGCGGAGAAGCGTGAAAAATTGGGTTGTTGTAAACGCCATTGGTTCTAGTGTTTCTGTTCAACCCACTAACAAGAAACAAAGGTTATTTAAAAGTAGGCTCAAAAGTGACACCATTAGGTGACTTATTTGCGTGATTATATTTCCGAGTTTTTGTCAAACCAACAAAAATTAACAAAGATTATTCAAAAGTATGTTAAAATGATTACCATTCGGTGACTTACACATCGAGGTAATTGTCTCATTAATCTAGGGACTGTTTACAATGTTGACAACTAAGCTATACAATGAGTGGTACCGGCATAGTAAGAGCTTCATTTCCTTATAGTTTATTTCCTTATTTTTAAATAAATAACGTAGGCCTTGTAAAAGAGACCCTTTTCATACTTAGTGGCTCGATTTATGGTGTCAGCTCATTTAGAAAGCAATATTTTTAAACATAAGTGCAGAAGAAGTGAGTAGCTCCCATAATTCTTTCATATTCTATCGTATTCGGGGATTCCCCATTACGTCATCTCCGCATCATCTCCAATCAAATTGCAGGATGCGATCACGTGAACAATCATGAGCACATGCTCTCTCAGGGCTGAGCATGCGCAAAGTAAAAATTTGAAATCGTGGAAATGGCGTTAACATTAGTTCAATATCATCATTTTAAACCTACGGTAATACTATTGAAGTTGCTCGATCCAAATGTGTAGAGAATACTCATGACACTACAGCGAATATAGGGAGATTCAGTTCAATGTCAAACGAGGCTTGTTTATATTTTTTTTTCGAACGTGCCAATATGAAAGGTCATCTTTGGGAAATCTCCCCCCCCCCCCTGACATAAGTGTGATAGCCAATGGTTAATTGTATGTTGGCCCAGCCGTTCTTCCTCATTTCAAGTCAAACGCTTTTTTGCGTCATTTGTGGATGCATTGATTTCAAATACTTGCGCAGAAAATAGCTGTCCCGATTTTCGATGGAATTTGGACACCCCCTATAGAGGAACAACAAACATTGACTACATTCAATTTTGTTAACTTTTGTTTGACCCATTCTGTTTTAATTATATCAGATCAAAGGCCGTTTGTCTTTTATTCAAAGAGTCTGTTTGAAGCTATATTCTAATAAAGCAAAATGAGTTTTGTATCAAGCCTTTGCCATACCTCATTACTTATTTTTGTACCAAGAATGTAAAATGGTAGAGAGGGGGCCACTAGGCTTCGATACGTGACTTATGTTCGATGTCTTGAATTCGCCGTGAGTGTGGTCACATTAGGAACGGGTACCGTTTGGCGCCCGCAATCATTTTGCCGGAAAACCGAACAGACATCAAAAGGGTATCGCAGGGAGCCCGTAAGACTATCGCATGGGTATCAAAAGGCTACCTGACGACAGAACGACATTTTAAAATCAACCGATGGTCCGGATAATCGCCCTGCGCTCGTACAATGCCCAGACTTGCCGCCAATTTTTTTTAATTTAAAACTCATCGAGAGGGCGCTGAACTGAAGTTCTGATGAAATATTACCAAGGCATGAATCATTTCAAATTATAGCGAATGATGCGCAACGTCAACGCTTTTTATTTAACTAGGTATTCCAAGCTGAAAAATCTGAAATGATTTTACTCCAGGGCTGCGAATACAAATGATTCAAAAAGTTAATCAGATAGAACATATTAAAGGTGAACGTAGTAAAGGTGTTCAATGAGATTTGTTAAAGTCTAGAAGGTAGCAGTTCTCCAAAAAACTATCCTTGGTTGACATATCTGGGATTGTTAATAATAATTCATTCATCAATAAGAAAATGTGTCCTAAAATAATAAAGTGTACGGTTCGCGGCCCTGAATAATAGCAAACCAATCTGACCATAAATTGCTTTTAACATGTTAACGTTATATATTATAATCTATTTGAGAAAGATTGGCAAATTAGTATAACTAAGAATTTAATGTTTAAATGTGACAAAACGTTTAAATTATACGAAATACTCACCACGACCACATGCATCTGGAATATACAACATATATACAACTATAATTGCTATTTATCATTTTTCATATAATATCGCTGACACCAAGGGTTTTTAATAAAATAATATAAATAGGAGCTGAAAGTAGAAATAACCAATCAAAAATTGCAGAATTATTTGAAACAAGAATGCTTTGCGAGAAGAAGTTGCATATACTAACGTTATGACGAATCTTATGTATTCGCAGAGAATATTTTTTTTCACATTTCTATAATCATTGTTTACTCCATTCCAGTCTTCTGATACATTTAAATAACGTTATTTACACAGTTTGTTGTTGAAAAGGTACTCACCTAACGTACTAAGAGATGCATATATGAGTATAGATACGAATACATATTTCCAATCCATCATCATTTCATATTCACACGCGTTGTGTACCTTACTGGAAACCACAAAGAGCCTGATCATAAACTTCATAAACGTCATCATTAAATGTTAATCAGTTTGCTACGATAATGCATGTAGTAGCCTCGGCAAAAAATTTGAACTGAAAAAAACTAAACAAAATCATTTTTTGTTGTTTTGAACTCCAGATCAGGATTAAACAATTACCAATTACATGTATTGTAACTTGTTTTTGAATGTCTTAAAGACTTTTATTTCATAATGATTGAAGATTGGCCTCATTTAAGGTGTCCCATTAAAAGTAAGACATTTTACAAGTGTTTTCTCGACAATTGATTCATCGAATTTTTACTGAAGATTTGAATAAAATAGTAAGCAAAGGCTCAGAACCGAAGTTCATTACTGGGGCATATTTCAAATTTTGACGTTCCATGTTCTTACCATGTAAATATCGGGAAAGTTTGGAAAGCGAACATACTCATGTTATATATCAAAATCTTCGTATAGGTACCCTCTAAAATATTAGAGCATTTTAGAGCGTCCTTCGTGGGTCAAAACGTTAGAAATATGCCGTCACGCGTAACATTTTAGGGAGCGCGCTATTTTTCAAAATGATGTAGAATCATTATTTTTTCATCAATTTTGATGAGACAGGTATGAATCACTTCCTGAGTATGCCCCAGTATTGAACTTCGGTTCTCATCGTTAGCAAGTTACAAGAATATGTAAACAATCAAGTAAATATTATGCGACGACTAAGAAAATTGAAGATGTCGTGTTAATGATGAACGATGGAATTCTTCTTTCGTGCTTAATCATTATAACTATTAAGTCAGCAAAAATATATACATTTAATTATATTATTTATTACTCGCGTGTCGTTTACCTCACGATCCATGGACTGATACCGTCTAGGTGATTATACTTTCTCATCAACCAAGTACGTATATATCGAAACAGTTTGTAGATAGAACCATGAATTGACACTCAATAAAACATAGATACATCAGTACAACATAATGATATATGTGTGTTTTTTTGGGAACTCTTGTTTGATTTTGATTGCGCACTGTGGGTCTTGTCGACATATAAGACAAAAACGTTGCAAAGTTCTTCCTCCTTTAAGGTGGTTACTTACCACGAGACCTGGCAATAACCCTTACGATAAACCCTGTGAGTTTTATGTTAAATTGTGAATTGCTCTCTTAAATCTATGATATGACATTTTATATTTTATATTAGTTATAATTCATAAAATCAATCCAAATCTAGTATATACTATTAAAATGTACTGCATGTATATAAACTAAATAAAAACATTTTGATAGGCGTATCACGAAATATATGACTGTCCTAAAAGTAAAAACTCGTCAAATCATTGCTTATACAGCATTTGTCAGTGTTTAACTACCTTAAATTCTATATTATAACGTTATATCTACAACATACATAGCATTTCGAAATAGAGCACAGTTGGTGACATTTGCTCTGATATTGGATATTTCGTAAAGTGTGGTAGACAGATCGGTATAGTTGACATACAGCAAATCCGTTGCAAGCGCAAGCTCAACCCGAGACAAATGATTTGGAAATTAATCGGTGCATTGGTGGTCAGTGGTTTTGTGCATATGACAGGTAAATGTCTAATGTCACCATTTTGCTTCACTCTCTATGTGTTAATGAGTTATATGATAACCAGTCTTATCCTTTGGATCCTCGACCTTACTATATTATCATTCCAAAAACGGCTTCCATAACCAAATTAGTTAAATCCGTGTATATTTATTCGGAAACCCATTTTCTATTTTAGATTGTTGTCAGCGAAATAGTTACGGAAACAGTAAGTGACGTGGTTGACAGTAAAATAACAGTTGAGACTAACATCACTTTAAGAGTATCAATGCAATATTCAATTCTAATGCTGGTCACAATTCAATTATTCTTTTTAAGTTTTAACCAACACCATATGAGAGTTAATTGCAAATAATTAGATCATAACAACACCATGTAAGGGTTTATTTAGTTGTTCATTAGTGTAAATCGAAGGTTCATTTCAGGAATAGAATGTCCATCTCCGGGAACACGGGAAGTGTATGCCGCTGAGAAGGCCACACATGCCTATGTTGAGCGTTTTGAACCTAAATATCATAAATGTGGCATATGTGTCGTAACGTAAGTATAAATGTGGTAGAAATAAATGCAGCTAGTACATGTATTTTCAATGACATCATTATTTAGAAATTATCATTTTTCTCTTAAGATATTCCAATGGCTGACATGTAGTTGGAAACGTTTTCCACAATGACTTATATACAGTTATGTTACTTATAATCATTTCTTGGGCCAAATCTCCATCGATGCAATGATAAAATTCTTAGGCTATGGGTTTATGCGGTCGATGGAGATATTTCCATGATTAATTACAATTATTTACATTGACAAGGTCATCCCAAATAGCAATAGTATGCCATTCGAGTTTGTGACGAGCCAACCAACACTTTTTGAGAAATCATGAAACCGAGTGACTATTGAACATTTTTAACGATTGGAGGACATCAGAAAACCTCACATCGTAAAGCTTGAAAACCTGTGTGGTAATTTTAAAAAACATGAATGACCATCAAAAGACAATTTTTCTATTGACGAGTGAGGTGAACATATTAAACGCATCGCCTGACATGATAAATTATCTAATGATCGGTAGAGACAAGATTCTTATATCAAAGTAATGTTATATATGTAATTTTAAGAAATTCAATGTAATCTTAGTTTTTTAAAATTTTTTTACTGTAGTTGAAAATTGTAATTGTTGTATGTACGTTTGGCCCTAAAAGGGTAGCAATCAGACACTAATCCTATTATGTGAAGTCTATAAAGTCTATGGCAATCTGGCCAAATAAAACATAACCAGTGCGACGTCTATTATATCAGTCTGCTTTATTTAGCCAAAGAGAAACTCCGTTTTTAAACATAATTGTTATTGTAGATTCAAATTATCTTGAAAGTCTGTAAAACAAAAAAAGATAATAGAAAGAGTCGATTAATTTTGTCAAAAATCATAACATACCCATTACATAACCGATTCAATTTACTAAAGCTTTTACCACCTACTGAATGGATTACACACTCCTAACAATGGAGCAGAGGGCACATATATACAGAAATGGAAGTTGCAGATTGCCCTGGATCACCTAGGAAGCCCCGAATGCATTTATGACCTAAAAATAAAAGGTATATTGACAGATGTTATTTGAGTCGATTACATACTCGAGTACAGAATGTTTCAAGATGGGGATATATTATACAGGTACAATTAAACAAGTCTGAAACGTCCAAATTGGTAATCGATTCGACTGAACATTGAAATGTATGTATGTTTGGGACACATTGAGCATGTTTTGAATTTGAATAAGTATATTGATATACATCAATATTTCTTTTTTTAGTCATTCGGTGTCCTGAGGTATCTAAGCATATACAAAACGGACGAATATGCCCAGAGGGATTACAACTGGGACATAGATATGAAATAATCTGCAACAAGGGGTACGACACTGGCGGTTTCAGCGCATTTAGGACGTGCAGAAGACACGATGGTATTAATGGTAGATGGCAACCTATAACAAGAGGCGAAGAATGCAAAAGTACTTTTTACATTTTAACTTGAATCTATTGTAGTTGGATTTTTGATGACAATTCACTCATAACTAGACAAAATAAATAAAATACAAGTCGATCAAAACACATTATATTACAGTTCAGTATAATATAATATCAAATCTGTTGGCTGTACTTGAATAATACTTCATTCAAGGAATCTGTTTTATCATGTTTGAAAGGATTTAAAAACCTTTCGATCTAATTATGCGTGTGAATATGTGTATAAATGTTCAAATCAAGTGCAAGGGAAATGACCAAATAAGTCTTGCGTAGGAATCTTACCTCTGGTGTGTCTGGGCGCTATCATCTGTCCCCTCCTGTCAGATTGGCTCATGAAACAACCTTTTTAGGGTTGTCAAGATGGTTGACCGGTCTAGCGCATCGATCACGTTGGGCTCGGCGTTAATGTAGTAAACAGGAGGTCGTGAGTTCGAGGCGGTTCAGCTTCCTGCATCTATTCATTCTTGAAATAGGTTGATCTATCACAGAATGTCACATAATGATACATCAGTATTTGGTTGTTTCTCTGTACTAGGAAATACGTGTGACAAAATGGTCCCGGTTGACGATAATGCTATAGCAGTTTGCAGTGGGATAACAGGGAATACTAGAACTGACAAGTGTTCATTCAGGTGCAACAACGGATACTATGTTCTTAACGGTGAACCAACAGTGGCTGAATGTAGAGTGGATTTAACGTGGAGTAACAGGGGACCAAGATGTGGAAGCAAGTTGATTTTTTGGTTTTCATATAATATGACTGTTCTTATTTGTTTAGTTTGAAGCTATTTCTATGTAATGTGCTGAAATATGCAAATAATATTTTAAACGTTTTCTCGACGCTCCGAATCATGAATATCCTTGGGTTGTATTTAGACCGAATAGCCTATATTTTTGAGTTACCCCCATGCTAATATACTGAATAGTTTAATGTTTTTTGATGTATTTTCTAAATTTTCTATCATGCCTCTAACTTCAGAAAAGGTGAAACCAGTGGTGAGAAATCCACCCAGTGATAAAATTATTGAGATTGAGTTGAAATACCCAATTGAGATACGAATTGAGAAGCCTATTTTTGAAAGGGGTGTTCACCCGAAGAATATACTTCCAAGAACCTGTCCTGGCTACCCTGATGATGTTCTCCACACTGACCAAAGAGGAACCTATGTCATAAGGTGTTCCGCGACAGATGACATAACTGGCCTTAGTGCATCACATTCATATACAATTCTTGTAAAATGTACGTTCGTTTGTTTATGTATATACCTGGTATCGTATCAGAATGCTATAGCTTGCGATTGTGTATTGTTCAACGTATGCTACACCATTTTTCATTTGGCACTCCTTTGTGTGCCCAAATGATTCTTCGCATGATTGTTAATATCATGTTTATTATGACACATCTGTTTATGAATATTGAAATTTCTGCGTTTTAGCAAACACTGCTGATTGTGTTCAACTTGCGCCACCTCCCAACGGAGCATTAGTCTGTGATCAATGGTTGTTTGGAATGTACTGTCAGCTATACTGCGCACCATTTTCTCATGTTCCGGTTGAAACGTATATATCGAAAGGCATCTTTATTTGTGCTGGGGGTTCATGGGATAGCCGTTCTCTCCCGACGTGTTCAGGTGATTTTTAGATTAACGTTCGGAGACTGTATGAGTGACTGTATAAGCTTATAACATCGTACTGTTGCCAATGGACATTTTTAGAATGAAATGAGTCCATTACATCATGTTTTAGCGTTTCAGGCGATCGTTCAGCCGTACAAGGCAATACCGCGTACATGTCAAGTCAACGATTGACACACACATTGAACTATAAACAATACAGATGTCTGATGGTTCAAAATCATGTTGTGGCAAAATTTGATTTTACTTTCAGTTTGAGTACTTTTTTATAGACATATACCTTTCAAAAATGGTTGTTTTAACTCTAACTTATAATTCAACTAACTAATGATTGTGTACTCACGTAAATCTTTTCTAGCTTCCGGAGAACCATCACAAATCCGTCGTGTAGACCCAATTATGACATTTCGCGGTCAATGTAACCTAAATTCCACTAAGAACTCTTTGAAGGAAAGGTTCCTTACAAGACTGATGAATTCTCCCCACAGACTACTAATTTGTCCACCCCATGTAGAAGCTCTGTCGCTGTGCACATCCGCTATGGCTGCAGTATATTGTCATGGTGATGCGGTTTCAGAACATCATCATCGCATAGGTGAAGCTAACACTCGTATATTTAAGTTGGCAAATACAACTTAAAGTCAAATAATATTGTATGCAGATTTCGCAATATTTACAAACGTATATTAGAATGAATATAACTGTGACACTAACTTGATCTCGGCGCCATATTGTATCGCTTACTGTCATACATGATATCGAGTCAGCTTGTATTTCAAAGGATTCACGATTTGTCAAACTACTCTGGGATGCCCTAAAATTGTTCTTCTGCATTTCAGAACACTCACAAGAAACACTAATAGATCAATGTTTTGAACATAAATGTGAATTCGGAAGTACCTGCAAATCAGTGAATAACAACTACACATGCTTTTGTACTGATGGTTTCAGAGGAGACCTATGCGAACAGCAAATGGGTAACTGATTTCGTTGTTTTTGTTCATACCTTTTCATTGTTTTGAAAAAAAGTAAAAACGAAGAAAATTTGAAATATGTATTTGTATGCACGATAATTGGGAAATAACTTACCACCTATTTACTATAAGCTCATTCTTATCTTATGTAATAATATCATCTTTTAAATCATTGTTTATAATTCTAGTTAATGGCGGATGGACATTTTGGAGTGAATGGTCAGATTGCAATAAAGAATGTGGAAATGGTACTCGAGAAAGATTTAGAACATGTACTTATCCGGAACCAGCTAATGGCGGAATCGACTGCGTAGGAGATAAATCTGAACATCAAAATTGCAAGAACGACTGCCCAGGTAAGAAAGTGATTGAGTATTGGTACAAAAGCAAATGGATTCAAGATAAAACTTATAGGTGAAGACGTGTTGAAGTAAACTTACATTACGTATATTTTGAACAAGCTGATTCAAATGCCACTCAACCATTGTTTATGTTTTTGGCAATCCAGTTTCTGCCCAATGAGTAGAAATTGATAATTTATCTGAATTATGGATATGTTTTCATATTACTTATTTTGTCATTATAGTTTGCAGATCACTTAAACAGCCATCGAATGGATTCATCAGATGTAACCCGAACATACCCGCGCCCAACAAGGGTATTGAATGTACGGTTGGGTGCAATCGAGGGTTTGGCTTCAGCGTCGAAATTAAGAGGAACATATTCTGTGGAGCTCCAACTAACTTTTCTTGGCAACTTGAAGAAACCAGTGGGGATCCCGAACGCCTTCCAGAATGCACAGGTATTTCAAACTCAAACGAGTGGTATCGATATGGAGAACTTTTTGAACATACGTTTCTCTTAAAACAGTCATAAAAAAATATAAAAAATTAACAAATCGTCAATTTAATGGTCATCTTTTGAATGGTAAAAATATAATTTGAAAAATATATATATACTTTCATTTATATTGTTTTAAAAAACACATCAAACACTTATTTTGTCCCGGTATCATGTTTCGATATTGAAATGAAACAGCTTTCCGAACCTCATTGGAACAAAACGACATAAATACAACATGTTTAGGTCTCTCAATATTGCAATTGTACAAAGGAAATTTTGGTTGATTTTAAAAAAGTATTTTGTTAATGAAATAAAAGGTTTATCTTGATTTTTTATTTATTTGGGGGGGATTTTGTTTTAATTTTTTGAATACTTTTTTAAATCAACCCAAAATTCCTTTGTATAGCAATATTGAGAGGTCTAGAAACATGTTGTATATGCTATGTTGTTCCAATAAGGTTCGGAAAGACATTTTATTTCATTCTTAAGAATTGGTAGAAAGGGGCAAAAATAATTTCACTAAGAAACAAAGAATGTTAACAAAAACAGTTATATAAAATATTTCTAAATCATTTTCGCATTAAATTTTTGACAATCAGTCAACATTACATAAAATACCGTGTTTATTACAGAATGTTTTCAATGATTGGTTTAAGAGAAAAACATTGTTGAAGTCAATTCTCCATATCGATACCAATCCTTTCAATTATACAAGCATGAAATTGTTTATACGAAAATATAAAATGTATGACATAATTTTTTATATTTCATCGCAAAGGGACAACAAAGTCGCGTGGATTGGCAGTTTTCTTATCTTTTTCATTGGATGGTCAATTCGTTAGGAGTGACATAGCCATTGTTAACTCGTCCATACATGACAAGCTTCTTGAATTTAAAGAACATATGCCATGTCTCTTTGAAACATGCATACCGGCTGTTGGCATACATGTAGAACCAGGAACACGGAAAAACAATGGTTCGGGGCCTTCGGTGACAAGTAACCTTGAAATAACCATTACAGTACATTATATAGGTTGGTATTATTTTCAATAAATCATTACAATGTTCCAACTTATTTGTTTGATATACACCTTTTTATAGCAATAATCATGTCATAGAATATTTGACAACCCTGCACACTAAATGAAGACAAAATTATGTGTAAAATTTGAAACTGGCGTCGCATACTTACCTAGACTCAAAAACTCGATGCTCTTAATTGATTTCGATTTGGCGTTCTAAAGAAATGACATATAGAAATAGTGTAACGATTGATTATTGTACAGGTACAAGTTACGAATACTTTATAAATGCAATCAAAGTGGCATCAGCATATATCAGCGAGCAAAATGAGACGCTTCTTTCCATGGAAATAAACAACACCACCATTGTAACGTCAAGTTACACATCAGACTCGTACGTCGAATGTCCAGTCGGTTACGCTGTCGATGGAAATGACCTCACATTATGTTGTATGTATTAATTGCGCATAATCGTATATCCAAAAAAACAAGGCACGCCTCTTTTTTACCGACAACGTTGTCAATGCTCAGTATTTGTTCATGTTATTTTCACAGGATAAATGTTGTAGACTTTCATATTGTTTAACTCATAATCAAGTTCCCAACATATTTACAGCTTTTCAACGGCATATGTTTCAATATTTCAGCTCGATGTCAAAGGGGAACATTTTATCGGAATCATCGCTGCAACATTTGTCATCGTGGCTTCTACCAACCTGACGAAGGACAAACGTTTTGTTTACATTGTCCTGTTAACACAACAACACCATGCAAAGGTGCAAAGAATATAGACGAATGTATTTTTAAAGAGACTACACCTTAAGTCAAGTCATTTACTTGCACATAAATATTGAATCCACCTCTTGGTACTTGATCCTGTTGGTAAAAATAGTAAAAGGTTACTCAGGATATTCCCCGATTGTTTTTGATAAATGCTACTATATAAACAATTAATATCAATACGTCAAATTAAGATAAAAACCACTCGACCTCTCGAATTTGTTGTTTATCACTCCGAAAATTGGCACTATTCATGTGTTTATTAATTATTATTGAAATTTATTTTAAATTGTGCCTGTTAATTGCCCATCAACATCAAAATACTATGCTGTGTGAATGTAAGTAATTGTTTTTATTCAATTAGCAATAAATCGTAAGAAAATATTTTTTATGTTGACCTAATTTTAGTTTTGAGTTTGGAGAACGTTTTTGTTCATATTTTAAAATCTGTAAGAGTAGTCAAAAATGGATGGCACGACACTCTCGAATTGTCAAAAGTTTTGAAAATGATGAAGATAATTGAAAAAATGATGATTTGACTTGGAGTCGGACCTAGACAAAAGTTGACATAATTTCCGATTATCCGAGACACATTTGTAAATTAACAATGTAATCTCCTAATCATACGCTTTTCCAATTGGCGAGAAAATTTAGCAGGAGGAATGAAGAAAGAAAACTGGCTAAAGCAAAAGACAATCTGCAGTACAATAAATACACGTATAACACATTTTAGCAGCTATTGCTCTTAATCGCCTTAATTAGACATAAATGTTGACCTTTGACCCAGAGATTAAAATAAAGACATGGATTGCCTATTTTGGATTCATTATGATATATATTCTCTAAATATCTCTTAATACACATCGATATGAATTTTTCATCCTACTTCTAACTAATTAAAGAAGTCACATTTTACTGAAATAAACAGGAAACAGGTAGGTCACTATAATCTCAAGTGTATTTGTATGTATAGGTTTTATGTTTGTCGAATGATTCTGAATTGTCAACATTTTTCAGACTGTAAAATGATACAGTTCTCCGTGTGAACTCAAGATTTCAAAAATACTCAACTGATTTATTTTACTGTTTCAGCATGTCTAGACATTATGCATTCGCCATAATGTATGTCATCGTCATTATAAGAACAGGTAAATATTCTATTTATAATATGAAATGTACAGGTAATTATCCCCTTTGCTATTTAAAGAGCGAGGGAAAGTATCGCAACAGATTTTTGACAGTAAATAATTTTTTTCTAGTAGTTTCTGGCTGTACAAAAATGAATGCATATGAAAGGCCAGTGTATAATCTTTAAGAAAAATTCAAAGAATGGTTTCAAGATCAATTGGATTATCTCATAAGCCATGTTTAATCCACCCATCAACAAGCTTTTTTTTCAAAATACAATCGTCATTTTCACCATCGTCCCTCATTTTTTTTTACAATTTTCATGCAAAGTTACATTGTACTTGAACACATGTTTCATCACTTAAAATATATAAGGAACTCCTCGTGGATTAGGATTATGATAATCCAATATAAGGGGATCCAATGGGGCTATGCTTTTAGTACAGCACACTCATATAAGATGTCATTAGTGTGCCATAAAGTTAGTTCAAAATGTTTTCATAAATGAATGGTTGGACTTGTTTGATCCCCTGCTGTTTGATCCCCTGTTTAATCAATGGAGCATAACCGCAGCATTTCCCAAAAAATTCTGAATACCTGTCAAGTTGACTGTTTAATGTTTGAGTGCAGTTAAACCTGTGTGTGTGTGTTAGTTGCTAAGAAATTCTAAATACCTCTCTTTATGATAATTTCTATGATGCCTTATTATAGCATTTACTTTGAACAGGTTTTCTGTATCTTGTTTATCAGTAATGATTCAGGAGGTACAGTGCTATTAAAATCATAAATACAGTACAAGAATTTAGTACATCATACCTTTGCCAATAATTTTAGTAAGACAAATATTTTGATCCAGCTTCTGAAAAAACATTGAACATGTTTCTATATGATGATGTATTCTAACACACTTCCTTATTTGAGTTTATCTCCAGATTGATTATTCAAATAATGAAATGAAGGATGATATGCTAAGAATAATTTTTGCATATTCATCAATTCAAGAAATGTTATCCTAAGAAAATGTTATGAGTAACATACACTCTTACCTTAATGTTAACATTAGGGAGATTAAGCTTGCATAGAAAATCGAAACGCCAACCTATGACCAATCGCCCATACAAATGCATCGCTAAATATTTTCCATTCACATTTAGGTTGTGAAAAACATTGCAAGCTTAAAGTCCCTATTGAGAGTCTCTGAAAACCACAATCAATACCATTGAGTGTGTGGTGTATACTACCTTTTTTTCTTATTTCTAAGATTTACAATAACATCTTTTTAGCAAAATGTCCGATTTTCTTCCATATTAATGTGAACAAATATAGACAAACATAGAATGATTCTATTGGTTGAGTCAACAATTTCAGTTATTAGGGAGGTTAAGATCGCACTATTTTGATGAACGTACACATGGAATGTGTAAACTTATGGTCCCCTATTCACGGTGTTATAGCATGACGGTTACGTCAAGGCGATTTGCAAAATTTTGCGGTAACGATAACAAAAAATGGCGGATGGGAAAGGCAGCATGTCCTCTTTCTCGCCTGTAGGCAATATTCACAGATAAGATTTCCTTTTAAACTAGTTCCATTCGGTGACGTATATATGGATGGTTATAAAGACTGGGTCAAATCTGCCAGGTGGTCTACAAGAAACAGAATATAATCTGTAAACCTACCGACTGAGATATCAAAGTTTATAAGTTTTGATCCATTCTCGTGTTGTCTCAGTCCATGAGCCACTCAAAATATTAACTGTAAGTATAAGTAAACTGTGTATAACTACTGCAAATTCAAAATACATTATTATGGCTTGAGTAGAACATATTAGGTGGTTTCCAATGCTCAATTGGCTTTGTATGATCGTATGTAGGTTACATCTATATACCACAAGGTTTTTAGGCAATGTAGACCATGCCCTAACAACAAAAACAAAAATAAACAAATTACTAAATTTTTGTGTAGTTTTGAATTTCAAACTCGACAGTTTTTCTCTTATTTCATGTTATCCCCGGGCATCAATTTGCAAAGGCTACGTTCAAAATATACATTACTGAAAGTATCACCGAATGCGATTCTTACATAAATCGTTCATCCTTTCATTGATACACAGAAGTAGAAAATAATGCGCCAACCTTAGTTTTCTCTTCCATCGCGGCCATTTTATTGGATAAATCAGTGAACGTAGCTGTCCAACCTCGTTTTCAGAGGTGGCGTAACCGTCATGCTATAACACCGTGCTATTGACTATTTTCACATCACTGGCCTCTTTTTGCCTGATTGATATAATGCCAATTGATGTAATGGTCCCCAGTTAAACCAGTTGAGAGATGGACAACATTACTGGGGGTCATAACAGTACTCGTTCATGTTCAAGTTCTCACACAAGTGTTTTACACAGTCTGTAGCCAGCCAAGGGGTAGGAGCAGTTCTACCATTGGCAAAGCTTTTGCCTAGGGATGAACTTTTTGACAGTTTTGGCTAAAAAATCATGCGAAGTGCTCAGATTGGTGAGAAACTGCATCATTTTGAAAGAATCTCTTGGGGGAGCAGCAGCTCCCTTTATCTTTCCCCCTCTACCTGCCTACGAGCCTGTGTAACCTCTCTAATGTTCATGATCAATACTAAATGTAAATTTTTCACATTTTTCATATTTCTACTATTCATATTGACCAATCCCCATTCATGTCATTTTAACAGGTCCTTAATCCCTTGTTTTCTAGTCGTATGTGCTTTTATTATTCAGTTTCACAATCTATTGTTTTGCCATGCCAGTTTTACATGTTTGCATGCTGAGTTTGTTTTATGTAATGTTTTTTGTTCCTTATATGGTTTACACATTCACTCAGTTGAGTTGGGGTGTTGCCCCATTACTAAGTAATGTTGCATAGAGTTTGTGACTGTACATACACAAAGTATTTCAAATATATATTTTAGAAAACATTTTATATTCGATTCCCACCCAAGGGTCTTCCACTCACCCATTAACATAAACAAAACATGAACTCTAATAAAAATGCCAACAAGACTGCAAGGGAAACTTAATCTATGAATTGGACTTTGCCATATCACATGTATTAGTCCCGTGACCAGGGAGGGGGAGGGGGGTTGAGAGACGACCCTCTCCCCTAGGCACATTTTCTGTCAACATCCTGCAATTTTTCACCACTTTAGTACTATTCGGATGTTCGTGTGATGCTTTCATTTAATTGCTTGCACTGATGGTTTCTCTTGAAAATTCATGCACATAAGGTGATCTAGTATTTCAACACAGGACCCTGAAAGCGCTATTTGAGCTTGAAGTAGAAGTATTCATAGTATTACTGTTTGTATTATTAATCTCTATGATTTTTCAATAGGCTAACTCAGTCAGTGAATGCAGGATTAAAACACAACACACATGAGTAATTCACCCACCTATGCATGTTATTATTGAAAAACATTGCCATCTTTTACATCACTCCTAAATTATTTTTGTAAACATGCATTTTAAGAGGTTCATTTTTTCAAAAAAAACTCAAAAACAAACTTCATGGAGTTCCTTACATATTTTACTTGATGAAACATGTGTTCAAGTACAATGTAACTTTGCATGAAAAATTGTAAAAAAAATGAGGGACGATGGTGAAAATGACGAATGTATTTTGAAAAAGCTTGTTGATGGGTGGATTAAACATGGATTATAAGATAATCCGATTGATCTGGAAACTATTCTTTGAACTTTTCTTGAAGATTATAGATTCGCTTTTCCCAAGCATTTACTTTTTACAGCCAGAAACTACTCACAAAAAAATTATCAACTGTCAAAATTATCAAAAGTCTGTTGCGATACTTTCCCTGCTCCTTTTTACATAACTCATTATACCTAATGGAGTGGTATTAAATCACATGAGCTTGGTGAAATCTAAGCAAATTATCTAGTAATTAAATTGAACCATTTTAAAACGATTTGTTTCTAATATTCAAAGCGTTGGCAAAGTTTCAGAGGGCATAATATTAACAGTATTTAATTAGTGTATGATGATAATGAGCTCGTCTCGGGATATGTGACATGAACCTACACTGTCATTTCATAATATCACTTTTCTGAACAAGATTTAATAATATAAGGGGATGAAAATGTAGTATTTACGTGTTCTATTTAGTTTGTAGTGACTGTCGAACACCCGCATTGTCCTGTATTAATGGGAATTGTCATCTTTCTGGACCCACGTACAGATGTGCATGTTGGAGGGGATATAGCGGAAGAAGATGTGGTGAACTTTTTTTCTTTGAAAATAAACACCCAAATATTATTTTAGATAATATATATTCGAAATATGTATTTAGATTTTTGTATGAGTTAGCATGCTTTCCCATCTATTTCTGAGTGTTGAGCGGCAAATGCCATGAACTTTTCATTTATCATTGCAATGTGATGCACATATAGTCTAATATAGCATGTAATTTTCATTCATTATACAAATATCTACAAATTATTATATGATTATTTTCTTCAGAGAGGACGTGTTCCCAATCTTGCTTGTATGGTGAATGTGGTCCGTCCCAGACGTGTCAGTGTCAGTGCTATCCTGGTTTCACTGGAAGCGACTGTGCAGTAGGTACGACTTAATTGTGTTCCAAGTTGTCGTTGGCACTTAGTTCAAACATATAAGATCGTTCATTCAGCTCTGATCAAAAATAAGATGGAGCAGTGGTTTGCCCCCTTTCACACAATGCAAAATGCAAAAATGCAAGAGACTGCAAGTACTCTCGACATTTACATAAATCGACATATTCATTACACAAAGTTCGATATATATACTCGTACAAACAAATGCAGAACATATAAGCAGACTTCAATAAAATGTGTATTATAAAAGCTTGCATAATTAGGATTTTACGCTTTCATTGCGTAATATTATACAATGGCTACGTAATGGTTTCTTTTGTATACAATTACGCAACCTTTTTATTGATAGATAGCCGTCTCCCCATGCCAAAAAGTTTTGTAAATATGTTATATTTTTTATGATAAATCTATAGAAACTTACACATGTTCTTTGGAAATAATTTATAGTTTATTCGTAATATGATTTCAATCTTGACACGGATGGTAAAAAGACAAACATTTTTTATTTCCCCAATTCTTTCTCCTTAAAGTTTACATATACATATATTTTCCGATGCGACATCCCATAAACTAAACGATAACTACAGTACCTCGAGAAAGAAGCTATTCAGTACCGTATCCAGGATTTGCCAAGGGGGGTTCACTTTTTGAACAATTTTGGTCGAAAAATGGCGTAAATGGCAAAATCACTTAAAAAGGGCTCAGAATGGTGAAAAACTGCATGATTTTGAAATAATTTTTGGCCGGGGGGACCCATCGAACCCCCCCTGGCTAGTGGCATGTAAAATGTCTAATTGTCTATGCTACTCTGTAATCAAACATTCTGTTAAATTCAGCAATCAATTATTGCAATCCTGACCCGTGTATCAATGGAGAATGTATCAATGAACATGGTGCATACAGATGTCTTTGTTACCCAGGCTATAGTGGACCAGAATGCCAAGTTGGTATGTAAAATTAGATTCACTAGTGAAGTAAACCTAACAGCTACTAACAGCTGTATATTATGCATTTTATTAATTGTTATACTATCGTTTCTGAAGTGTGGAGGAAAGGTTCCCATATAATTACATAGTTGTTATTCATTTTTAAATCCTCCTTTAGCTTACACCAGTTTGTTGATGTTACAGAATCTAGGTGTCTTTCATTCCCATGTATGAATAATGGACAATGCACTGGCGGAGAAGGTAGTAGAGACTATAGCTGTATATGCCCACCAGGCTTCACAGGGAAGAATTGTGAATTAGGTTCGTTTGTGATACAATTCAAATCTCCCAATAAAATCATTTGGTCTACTTACTCATATTTACATGACTTATTTTTTGAAGTCAAATGTGTGCATATTCTCCTAGTCAGTAGGTAGATTCTCGAAATTTGACCCAAATACAGTAAGAAACTCGGCCATTTTCTTGAGAAAAGTTTCTTCTCACCCTCTGTTCAAGTGACGTCAGAGTTCCAAGAATCTTCCAGAATTCCATGAATGAACTATAGTTTAATTTTTGAAGGGGTGATAAATATCCAAAATTATAAATAAACAGATTCAAATGTGATAATCCAGTTTACAAACTAATCTAAACTTATGTAATTTCACATAATGTAAAAAATGTAATTAACAATCTCAAGTATGATGGTCAAGTTTACAAGATATAAAGACTTGTCATGTCATGATATTTTTTCGAATCATCCACCATTTTGAAATTTAGAGAATTAATCTGAAGAAAATGTAATTGGACATGATTCTGCTCCGCTTTTTGACGAAAGGAAGGAGGTGAAGATAAGTCATAGACAAAATGTATTATATATGGCTGAAAAGCTCAGGAATACGGCCGAATGAGAAAAGAAATTGATTTTTTGACCGTCGGACATCATGTGAAAAATATTATAAGTAGAATAGTCCAACAGAATTACCCCTAAAGATGTCATTTGATTGGCCGTCAAACATGATATGATGTTGTAGTATATTGTGAGTCTTTATAGAGGATGTTGTCGGATTTTAACACAACAAAACAGAATTTAATCTTTCATCTTGGATCTATTATACGGACTGAATAATATACATGAATAATACATGTGGCGTGTCATGACATGAAGTAGCAAAAAAAACATTTAACACCAGAGCACAATCACTGAGAATAAAATACACCCAATCTACTTACCAGGAAAGGTGCTGCTCGGAAAATTAATAACAACAATGCAAAAAGATCTTGAACATTACTTTGAGCTATAACGAAAATTGGGAATAATACTGATAGATCATAAATTGTCAGAATATAAAACACCATCCAAGAATTTTCTCTAACCTATTGATGAATTTACAAAGAACACACAATATAGGATAAACTGGTAATCCCATTGTCGAGGTATTTTTATATTGCAGAATTGAATATGATACCGTGTCTCCGCGAAGCAGATTCTGAAACTGGCGACTCCCCATGTGGACAAAATGGAGTTTGTATAAACCACGTGACACGCTATGACTGCGCATGTCACACCGGATATGAAGGTGCACCTTGTAGAGGTGATATATTTTCTTATGTTATCAAACAAATTCTTGACAATGAATTAAAGATAAATAACATGTTTCGATATTTAGAATGTATCAAATGCATACGACATAGCTGTCCTTCGAAATATTTTTTTCGGGGGGAGTCTTGCATCTGTATCTATTTTATCAATACGATAAATGGTGACCGAGTAGTTCATTATCTGTGAAATTAATTGCAACATTTTACCATTTATTCGATGGTTCATGGTGAACAACCGATACGTTATGTATGTGTATATTCCAGATATTGATGAATGTCTCAGTAATCCTTGCAGGCATGGCGGAAGTTGTTACAATTGGAAAAACTATTATGTTTGTAGCTGTCCATCCGAATATACTGGCTATAATTGCGAATATGGTACGTAATTTGGTTATGAGGCACATATCAAATTACAGATTTGCAAGTCTACTAAGTTCACACTGAACTGCATATACTTTATCTAGCATTATTACTCTTGAAACCATCGCAAATCGAGATTAAAGATGCAGACTAAAACAGACATTATGCAACTACATACTTTATATTCAATTTGTAAATAAAAACGCGTGCACTGAAGTAATTGTTCCATTGATAGGAGTCATATGTTCTTTAGAAATTAATTTTTGTGAAAGTGAGCCGTGTTTAAACCATGGTACATGTCAGCCGAATGTGGGTTCGTACAACTGTTCTTGTGATCACGGATACACGGACATACATTGCGAGACACGTAAGTATAGCGTTATGAAAATATTATAGGAATATCCTATGGTTTTGAAAAAATATCATTTATATCCATGAGTGGATATGATTTATATTTTTGAAACACTTTTCCAAAGTATGTATATTCTATTTCTCAAAATTACAGAGATAAACTTTTGTGAAAGTTGTCCATGTAGAAATGGCGGAAACTGCAGTGCGATGGTAAATGGCTATACTTGCCTCTGCCTTAGTGGTTACACCGCTTCACATTGTGAAACAGGTATGACAGAAGTCTTCAAATCGGTGCTATGTCACTTGCAACCTTTTTCTTTTCCATTTTAGGTTTATTATAAATGGCGATCGCAATTATCGTCCGTTATCTACGAATTCAAAAAGTTCATTCTACAATGAATTTGAAGAGACGTTATGAGGTACAAAGTACCGCATCCTCAAATCAAATATCACTAGACAAACAGGTTGGAATTAACACATAATAATCAGCGATTATTTTTTTAGAATAATCATAAATAACCATACACAGTCTTATCCTGACCTAATTATAACTTTTAAAGGCTAGATACAATGGCAACAGGCATGGCCTGGCGATAATCACTTTTTTCTTTACTGAATAACCGACCAACTGATTATCGTGATTGATTAAACTTCAAAGGGCTAATTACAAATGACACTGCTGGAATACAATCTCTTGTCTAAATAAAATGATCAACCTGTCTGTGATAAGAAGTATAAAGGAATTTAAAATGTATCTAATATATTATACAATTAGACAGACTGGCTATTTTAATCCGTTATGAAAAGCCATTTGTCTTTTCCACAACAGGATGTTTCTACGGAAGTTAATTTGTTTATCTTAGTGTTTAGAGGCATTGTCCCTTGACGCTTTTATGGAATAAATGAACTTTGTGATGGGCTACAATTGTATATTCTTACATTACATTATTTTCATTTTAGGTCTCTCTTATTACATGTAGTTGCATTGCAGAAGTCTAATGTTATTCTCTCCGTGTGCCGAAAGTACTTATACCCGTAGCCAAGGGGTGTGGTGGTTCAAGGAGTGCGAGTGAACAGAATTCGAATTGAATACAAAATAAATACGTAACATATAAATATATAAGTACATAATGTCTAGCCAAGTCTTCTTACATTTTCTGAACTTCAAATGCACCTTTTGACGTGTGGTAACAAAATACAAAATAAATACTTATGTTTCTCCAGCTTGTTTTTATATTAATTTGGCAATAATACATGCATAAAGAGATAACAAATTGTGCACTGTGCACAACCCGAATCCCCTCCCCGATCGGATTGCGATTATTGTGTATGTAATAATGTACAAAAGTAATGTAATAAAGACAATAACCCAGCAAACAGTGACGTCCATGTAACGTCACTCATATGTGGTATATAAGTTCACTGGAGACGTTGTATATTTCCGTTATATAAACGTCAAAGCAACGTAAAATTGTGACATTCAGCAAAACGTCGGTGGATGGTTAAAAAATGACGTTGTAGTAATGTGTTAGTAAAGTTCGAAATTTGTGCTGGTGTGAAAAACGTAACAATGACGTTGAATTTTTACCAGTTTGGTTCATTTGCAACGTAATATAAACGGCAAAATTTAACGTTGTCGTAACGTTTTTTAAATGTGTAAAATATTTGTAAGTGCAGGAAACATTACAAAGACGTTGCAGTTCTCACCAAATTGTTTCATTTGCTACGTAATATAAACGGTAAAATTTGACGTTGTCGTAACGTGTTTTAAATGTGAAAGATATTTGTAAGTGTAGAAAACGTTACAAAGACGTTGTGTTCTCACCAAATTTGGTACATTTGCTACGTAATGTAAACGGTAAAATTTGACGTTGTCGTAACGTGTTTTGAACGTGAAAGATATTTGTAAGTGTAGAAAACGTTACAAAGACGTTGCACTTCTCACCAAATTGTTTCATTTGCTACGTAATATAAACGGTAAAATTTGATGTTGTCGTAACGTGTTCTAAATGTGAAAGATATTTGTAAGTGTAAAAAACGTTACAAAGACGTTGTGTTCTCACCAAATTTGGTACATTTGCTACGTAATGTAAACGGTAAAATTTGACGTTGTCGTAACGTGTTTTAAATGTGAAAGATATTTGTAAGTGTAGAAAACGTTACAAAGACGTTGCACTTCTCACCAAATTGTTTCATTTGCTACGTAATATAAACGGTAAAATTTGACGTTGTCGTAACGTGTTTTAAAGTTGAAAGATATTTGTAAGTGTAGAAAACGTTACAAAGACGTTGTGTTCTCACCAAATTTGGTACATTTGCTACGTAATGTAAACGGTAAAATTTGACGTTGTCGTAACGTGTTTTGAACGTGAAAGATATTTGTAAGTGTAGAAAACGTTACAAAGACGTTGCACTTCTCACCAAATTGTTTCATTTGCTACGTAATATAAACGGTAAAATTTGATGTCGTCGTAACGTGTTCTAAATGTGAAAGATATTTGTAAGTGTAAAAAACGTTACAAAGACGTTGCGTTCTCACCAAATTTGGTACATTTGCTACGTAATGTAAACGGTAAAATTTGACGTTGTCGTAACGTACGTGTTTTAAATGTGAAAGATATTTGTAAGTGTAGAAAACGTTACAAAGACGTTGCAGTTCTCACCAAATTGTTTCATTTGCTACGTAATATAAACAGTAAAATTTGACGTTGTCGTAACGTGTTTTAAATGTGAAAGATAATTGTAAGTCTAGGAAACGTTACAAAGTCCTTGTTTTCCCACCAAATTGGTTCATTTGCAACGTAGTGAAAATGGCTAATTGTAACGTTGTCAAAACATGGTTTGAATGTAAAAAATATTTGTAATTGTAAAACACGTTACAAAGACGTCATTTTCTGACCAAAATGGTTCATTTTCAACGTAATGCAAACGGTTAATTTCAACGTTGTCGAAACGTGTTTTCAATTGAAATGTAAAAAAATATTTGTAAGTGCAGGAAACGTTACAAAAAGACGCTATGTCCTCACGAAATTGGTTTATTTGCAACGTGTCGAAACAGTTAATTTTGACGTTGACGAAACGGGTTTTAAACGTGAAAAATACATATACATGTATGTGAAAAAGAACGTGACAAAGACGTTGTGGTCTCAACAAATTCGTTTAATTTGTGACGTGAAGTAAATGTTAAATATATAACGAATATACATTTATGCCTCGAGTTGTGGTAACTTTAAATACTGATCGGTGGAGGCACAGGCATATGTTGGCTCACACAGATGAACTTAACGTGGTAATTGAGAGTGAGAGTGGAAATATGATGTAAAGAAAACGTTTCTCCGACGTTGTAATTTTGCCATGGGTTATTGCTGACAAAAGTCTGACGTTCTGTCCCGGGGGGTTCACTCCAATATACCTCTTAATACCTATGTGCCGCGCCAAAGACCCCCTTTTTGAGCATTTTTTCCATGTCAATTTCCTCTCAAAATTGGAAGTTTCCATGTATTATTCCTCTGAACTTCATAGATGTCCATGTCGACTTCCTCTGGAGCTTGCCGGTGTAAAAGAAATTATGGTCCCCTGGGGATTATGGTCCCCTTTCTTAAAGGCCCTTACTGGCCCTGATTGTGGATACGATAATAAGGGAGAGTTGTATTTAGGTCACCATATAAATCAATGGAAAGTAGGACCATAATTTGATAGGACCTCCTACCCTTTTACACCGGGACTAAAGATTGCGAATCATCGGTAAATTGACTAAAACTCCACTCTTCCGGCGATTTGTCAGACCTCGGGACAAAAATTTTAGTCCCTTTCAACAAGGGCGAGCGTTACAAACGGAAAGTACATCGTTCGCAAATTTGATGTATTTCTCGTTCGGCTTTTTATCGTATTCTGTTCTATCAACCAATAGAAATAGAGGAATTCCCGCGTCGAAATCAACATGGAGGACAGTTCCAAGTTCAAGATATTGCTGCTTAAAAACAACTTGGGAGCCGTACTGCCAGCTTTCGAAAGTAAGAATGATGCATGCATGTTACACAATCACCAAAGGTTAAAATGAAAGCATTCCATGGCCGGTACTTGCAGCGAGAACACAAATAATCTCATGTGAAAGTTGGGATCGTTTCAATTTTCATAATTTTTGAAATGAACTTTTGAATATTCTGATATTTGAATCGATGTTATTGATTTTCAATTTCATCACGATTTTCAATCATAATTCCCGGTTCATAATTTTCGTTAGGTCAATTACAAGGGGTCCAGGGGTCAGTTAACCATCAGCGACTCTCAAGTCAGATCCGGTCCCTGGGATCTGGCGCAGAGGTGTTGATTGGATGGTGAAGTGTTTATGGCAAATGGTTTATGCAGTTATCTTAATCTTGATGGTGATCTCTGTTAGATCTACCTCTTTCAAAGAATAGACATTGCACGGGGAGATTGCCATCTTTAGCCTGATAGATAATCATGATGGCAGAAATACACAAACATGTATCAGTTTCATATGCTTTAGAAAATGTACATGTTTGCGAACAAATAGTTCAGAAGACAATAGAATCGTCGATTTAATTCCTCACTTAAGTTACATAAACGGTTTTTCGAAAAACAGTTAAGATCTGCACTTTTAACCCGAACCGTTTGTGTAACTTAAGTGAGAAATTAAATCGATGATTCTGTT